TTGCATTTGCGGTCGGCCAACCAGGCCACCCACTGGACCAAGGGGAGTTCATACAGTTTGCACAGAACACCCTTGGAGCTATGATAAGTCAAGCCGACACTGCAGTGTTGAAAAGGCTGGTGTTCGAAGGACACACGATGGTGCTTGGACAGTTGAGAGAGTTGGTTACAGATCCAAATGCAGCAGCCAGCAGAAAACTCCCTGCTGTGGAGCGAGAGCATAGGATGGCGCAATTGAAGCAGCGCTTACAAGGAGTCATCGTTGAGCGGCAGCTTGAGCCTTCTCACGAGCTTTTGGAGGCGATGATGCAACAGAAGGAAGCAAATCAGTTGTGCTATGTTCAGCTTGAGCGAATGACATCAAGGGAATGGGAGATCACGATGGGCAAGACCAAGAAGCAGATCTCCCTGGACACTGAGAAGCTTGTGGTGAAGGAGAAATCTGACATTCCTGATCAATTTCATTCAAGCGAGCTCCAGGCCTTCGAAGCTTTGAGGCGACGTGGTGTGGCAATGGACTTTGCAGACATCCTCTCATGGGAGTCCCATGAACGGTACCTGCAACAGCTGACAAGTCATCTCAGAATGGACCCGCCTCAGAATTACAGCAGGCCAACTTTGCAGCAAATCCTCAAAGCAGATCGCCAGGTTTTCATGTACATGATCCGAGTTGGAGTCCAACTAAAACGCTTGCCGAACAACACACTGGATATGGATACGAAGTTGTTCGAGGCACTTCAGTCATATGAAGTTGGATTCCACCTGTTGCCATTGCCTAAGAGTACTGGCCGTGCAGATCCCCCACAACAAGGATACCAAGGGAGTGGAGCACCATCTGGGGCAAAAGGCAATGCGTGGCAACAGCGTTCTCACCCCTACAAAGGCAAAGGGCATCAAGGCGGCGGCAAAGGAAAGAACAAAGGTGGGAAAGGAGTCCTTCCCAAATTCCTTCTGGGCCGTGACAATACAAATATGGACATGCATGGTTGTCGCCTTTGTTTCAATTTTCAAGTTGGCAAATGCACTGATGCAGCAGATGGAGCTGAATGCACAAAGGGATGGCATTTGTGCTGTCGCAAAGGATGTTTCGCACCGCATCCTGAGAAGGACCATGACAAGAAGAAGTGACGCCAGGGCCGCATCAGCAGATTAGCAGATGCTGGTGCGGACATATCGCAATGCATGATTGTTGAGATCTTTGCAGGGACGGCCAAGGTAACAGCTGAGCTTAGAAAAATAGGTATGTCTAGTGCATTTGGCACAGACCACATTCGTCACAAGCAAGCTGCTGCGCAGGTGGTTGTTGCAGACCTCGCGACAGAGGAAGGTGTCAGCTTGCTAATGCAATGGCTGGCAGATGAGCATGTTGTGGGCCTCTTTATTGCGCCCCCTTGCGGGTCGGCCTCAAGGGCACGATCCATCCCACTCAAGAGGAAATCGCCTGGTGACCCTAGGCCACTCAGGTCTGACAAGCATCCAAACGGATTGCCCAATTTGCTGTTCATTGATCGGATTAAGGTCTCCAAAGCGAACAAGCTGTATCACCTGACAGCCCGCCTTGTCCAATGGGCCATAGAGCACAGCTGCTTGTTTTGTGTTGAAAATCCACAATTCAGTTACTTTTGGCAAACTACTTTCATTCAATCAATCATCCACTTGATGCAATTTACAACTTTCCAATCATGTATGTACGGAAGCATGCGCCCGAAGCGCACCATGTTAGGCCATAATGCAGTTGAGTTTAATATCATAAACAGAATGTGTGTCGGCGAGTCGCCTGAGCATAAGCATGAAAAATGGGGTATCCATGCCCCATCTCAGAAGTTTGCCACAGCGTTGGAGACAGCATATCCAACCATCTTAGCCAGAACAATAGCAGCCCAGTTTGCAGTAGCCTTGCAGAACCGTGGGATCAGCTTATCACCTGATGCGCTGCACTTGGTTGGGGAATTGCATGCGTCCAACTTGTCCGCCCTCAGAGCCCAGGCTGGAGTCCAGCCGAAGGCCAGTAAACTTCCCCCATTAATACCCACGTTTTCTGCAAAAATTGCGTTGTCCGGTTTTCAGCAAGACTTACCACCTCTCCATATCAATTCAAAAATCCCGGCAGAGCTGCAGGTCCCAACAGTAAATGCACCAACCATTTTACCCAAAGGGTCAAAATTGTTGCAAATTATGCCATCTCTGCTGCCTCCTTCTTGCTTGAAAGGGGGGTGTCTTGTTTCGGAGCAGCATGTATGTAGCGATGATGTGAATCGTTTTGTGTCAGCATATGAAGATAAAGGTCCCGAAAAGTGCGGGAACTGTGAAACCCAAACTTGGGGTATACCCTGGACAGAAGAACAGTTCGTTGATCAGATGGTGAAGTTTGGACACCCCACAAATGTCTCAGCAGGGTTGCCAGAAGTTCTGCAGTCCACTATTGGTTTTTACAGGGATTCAACATTGCAGGAGCGCTTACAGTACAGAGCTTGCAAGTTGGGTTTTTGGCTTAAGAGACTTGTCGCGCTCAAACAGCAGGAGTGCGAGCTGAAGGCTTCCATGGATTATGACGTTGCTCAGATCCTTCGTGATAAGAACATACTCCTTTGGCAGGAGATGCTGGCTTCAGTTGAATATCCCGATATGGGTGTGATTGAAGAGATGAAGAGTGGAACAGACTTAGTTGGCCCAGCTCCAAGGACAGGCTTGTGGCCCCAGAAGTTCCAACCATCGCTGGTGACATTGGAAGAGCTGGGTGATCTTGCAGTGCGAGATCGAGCGGGACTGCAACAACAGTTTTCAAGCGTTTCTGGTGCAGACCATATTAATGAGGTTGGGAAAAGACCATGGAGGAGGTGAAGGCTGGCCTGTTGGAAGGCCCTATTGACCTTGCTAATGTTCCAACGAATTACCCTCTGAGCCGGCGTTTCGGCATCCAGCAAGGCAGCAAGGTGCGGTGCATTGATGACTTCTCAAGATCAGCAGTGAACAGCGCAGCCCAGACGTGTGAGAGCCCTAAACCTCACACCGTAGATGTTTTTGCAGCCATGTGCGTAAACCTGATGGGGGCCATATCGGACGATACACCCTGGGTTGGTCGGACGTTCGACTTGATTGGGGCGTACAGACAATGTGCGATCAATCCAAACTCGAAGCAATTCTCCTACATTGTCGCCCAAAGGCCTTCCTCCCTTGAGCTTGTGTGCTTCAGAATGAAAGCGCTGCCGTTCGGCGCAGTGCGCTCAGTCCATGGCTTCCTTCGTGTGGCACATAGCCTTTGGTACCTGCTAACATGTGAGTTCAAAGTTTTGCTCACCAATTATTTCGATGACTTTGTTGCTGTGGCGCCTGAAAGCGAGAGTACTGCCATCACTTCTTGCGTCAATATGTTTTTCAAATTGCTAGGGTGGGCCTTTTCAGAGTCTGGGGACAAAGCCCCTCCGTTCAGCAATCTTTTTCAGGCGCTTGGTGTCACCATAAATGTTTCGGCACTTCATCTTGGAAGGGTTCAGTTGGGGAACACCGAAAGCAGACGCAAAGAGATCATCGAATTTTTAGACTTGGTCCTGAGCAGAGGAAGTATGACAAAGCAGGAAGCACTTCGCTTGAGAGGCAGGCTTCAGTTCACTTCTGGCAATGTCTTTGGCCGAGTTGGCAAGTGCTCCTTGTCGGCAATCACCAACCACGCCTACCTGCAGCGTAGCACTAGCTTGTCACAGGATGCACTGCTAGCCATTAGGTTACACCGGCATTTGCTTGATGATGGACGCCCCAGAGAACTGAAGCCGGCCAGTAGCGAACCTTGGTTCATCCAAACAGATGCTTCATACGATGAGGTTGCAGGTGCAGTTGATGCCGGAATAGGTGCGGTTTTATTTAATCCCCAAGGTAAACCCGTTTCCTTTTTCTCGAAAAAGTTGCCTGCAGAACTAATAGGAAAACTTAATGAGTCAGCCAAACAGAATGCCATTTTTGAGTGTGAGTTCTTCGCTCTTTTTTGTTCATTCTTAGTATGGGGCGAGAGGATTACGAATGCGGTTGTTATCTTCACAGATAACAATGGTGTTCGTGATTGTCTCATTTCTTGCAGTTCTAGAAATGCCACTGCCAAGAAACTCCTAGTGGCGACCATGGCCCTTGAGTGTAAACTTCAACTTACTCCCTGGTACGCAAGAGTACCAACAGACTCCAACATGGCCGATGGGCCATCCAGATACCGCTGCCAGAAAGTCATAGACCTAGGTGCCAAAGAATACCCAATAGATGTCCTTGACAGCTGGTCGCAACTCATGGCCTTATATGAAAAATGGGGGGAACAACAGGCCCTCGTGCTACCCCAGCGGAAAAAGATGTGAACACCTTCACTGAGTCAGTGCCTTGCAATATCAATCACAGTGTTGTCAGCAATGAAGATAACTAACTCTTGTGGCCCGCAGTCACATTGGTTCTGCAGCGGTTGAACAGTTGATAATATAGCGGTCAAACATGATTGCGAATTATCAACGCATTCAAGATGTGGATGCACATCAGCTGCTTGGTTCAAACGGTCATTTGGGATGCATGCTTACATGTTGCAATATGTCAATCCATTCCCATGTCAACTCTTTACATCACTTGCCAAAATGTTCACAGATGTTTTTCTTTGTGTGATTTTCAAACTGCCCCACCCTCTGCCACCCTGGCAGTTTGGGTTCCAATGCCTTCGCTGGCCAATCCAGCGTCGTATTTGCCTTCGCTTGCCCATCAAGCGTCGTATCAGTTCAATCCTGGTCAAAGCCTCGTCTACCAATAGACGATGTATTGCGAGGCCAGACCCTCAGCCTGAACAACAGGCCCTCGTGCTACCCCAGCGGAAAAAGATGTGAACACCTTCACTGAGTCAGTGCCTTGCAATATCAATCACAGTGTTGTCAGCAATGAAGATAACTAACTCTTGTGACCCGCAGTCACATTGGTTCTGCAGCGGTTGAACAGTTGATAATGTACCTAAACAGTCCAGATTGGAAATGAACATTTGTCATGCCACGCGATTCGGCCTCTTGCTGCTTCATTGCCTTCGCAGGAACCCAAAATGATGCTGGTTGGAAAAGGTGTCGATGGAACAAAAACCCTTGGTGGAGCAAAACCATGGGTGCTCCACGACAACATACCGACCAAGACCTTGCAAGAAGAATTGCAAAGGTATTTGGATGAACATGTTAGGCCAGATGATCAAACGGAGGAATCTGATGAAACGGAGGAGGAATCTGATGACACGGACGAGAAGTACCCGTCTTACAATCAGCCCTCCAAGGAGATGTTGCAATTCCTGAAGCCAAGCATGGGTCAAGATGAGTGCCGCGTTAAAATCTCCAGCCTGGCTGCTAAGCTTACCACAGAGTGCCATAGAGTTAGGAAGGCCGTGACAAAGAAACTGGGGGCCCTCCCTCACTGGCAGATGAATGACAGGTTCACAGGCTATCATGATCTTCCGGAGATGACCTGTGAGCAAAACGTGAAGGAGATATTTTTCATGGGCAACGACCTGATCCAGGCGATGCGAATTCCCAAGAAACTTCTGGAGGAAAGTGATTCCTCCTTCGAAGAGGAGCACCCCAAAACCCTGCGTTTGGCACAAAGCCTTTGGTTCCTTAGGAGTTGGTTCCCTTACCTGGCAATCACCAAGAAGGACGCAATTCTATGGGCGGGCTTCTGGACCGACCCCAAGGTGGGCTGAAACTGCAATTGGAACTAGAAGAGTTTACTCTTTTGATGTCCGTTTTCGGTCCGTTTTCGGAATTCTTCTCGCTCTTTCTTTCACTGATTGGATGTTTTGGATGTTTTGGATCTCTTGATCTCATGCATCTTCCATGTGCCACTTGGCCTACAGCATGCCGGAGCGCCAGGTGGGCCGTGAAGGACGGACATCAAAGGAACGCCTCTTCCAATTTGCAAAGTGGACGGAACACGACACCGTCCACCCTAGCACTCCGCTGGGGCGACTGATGGAAGAACACAACGAGCTTTCTTCGTGCTACAGGAGTGGCGCCCTTGGGAAGAGTATGGCCAACAACATGTGGGGCGTGGCCAGTTTTGCATTTGTCCTTGGAATGCGAGAGAAACAACAAGGAACAGTTATTGCCCTAGTCAACAAGGAGATGGAGGGAGATCGCGCTTTGGAGCATTCGGTCTTGTCCAGATATGAGCTACCAACACTGGGAGTTGCTGCGTGGGGGCTCGGCTGGTGGTCTCCCCAGGTGCTAGTCATTGACCTCATGGGCACGTGTGAGAGGACAAGCCCCTTCTTGCGCCAGCAACTCTACAGCGGGCTCAATGCCTGGTTCCAAGCAGCAGCCGAGACTATGACCGCTAGGGAGTACGCCCGACGGTCTGGGCGCATTCTTTGGAAATGCATCAATTGCCCTTTCGCAGGATGCCAACTTGACAAAAGGCTGGCAAAGGACATCCAGACGCTGATAAAGGCCCCGCGAAATTTGTTGCCTTCGCTCTGTTTTGTATGAAGGTCAATGGGTGCTGTGCAATCTCCAAATGCGTTGTGCAAGTCATTGCAAGTTTCGTTGCAGAGTTGCGTGAATTTCCTGACACATGTTTGATGCCCAGAGTACCCCAGAGGCAAAGCGGAAGGCCGACAAAACGTGCCCAAAGGCTGGCGAGTCCTGTCACTTCATGCCTGCAACGCAACCATTCATGGACCTTGTAATGGACCTTGCAATCCTTCCTCTGTGGTTGAAACATGCTGTAAATTGTCATGTTCTTGAACAATGTTCTTGTCGCAAAGCTTACGGCATCACCTTCCCTAGAGGCATTGAAAGCAGCTGAAAAAGGCCAAACTCAATCGCTCAAAAAAATGCTCAAAGAGGATAAAGACCTCATCAATTGCCAACAAGTGGATGTCAGGGTCTCAGCTCCAGTCAGAGCAGGTCCTGGCCTCAGCTCGGTCCGGGTTGTTCCCTGCCCAAGGAAGTTGGCTTGACGGCAAGTGGCTTCACGGCTCTCCATCTTGCGGTACGCGAAGGGCACCTGGAGCTTGTGAAGAAACTGCTGCGGGAAGGAGCCGATGTCAATGCTAAGGACGCCGACGGCAATACGCCACTCCTTGACACAATGGTGCTCAGCGGAGAAAAAAGTTTGAAAAGCAAGATCCCGGACTTCGTAAAGGTCCTCTTGAAGCAAAGAGCCGACATTGATTCGAAGGATCAGTTTGGATATACGGCGCTTATGAAATTTGCAGGCCTGGGAAACGAGCCTGTTGTCAGAATCCTGCTGGAGGGCAATGCGGATGTGAACATCAGGAATCTTGACGATGGTGGCCAGACAGCCTTGGACATGGCCGAAGAAGTAGAGGAGCCGACAATTATCAAAATGTTGAAGGATGCTGGCGCCGTGAACAGTCCTTACGGTCCAAACGTGGAATCCTTCGAATAACTGGGCGCCCAGTTTCAGTGGAAGTTTCCGACCCAGCTGGGAGAAAGTCAATCCGAGACAGGGGCCCGAGGTCTGACAGTGGTAAAGTGGCGTGTTTCTTTGTGTAACATTTGCCCAACAAACCTCGATGAAGTTCTCATCGCATTTAATTCCGGTGGGCTAGGAGATATAAGCATGGGCAAACCCTTTGTCCCACAGCTGTGCAGAGGGTTTGTCAGGTTTTGTTGGCTCATTGAGATTGCAAGGCCATTTTGCAGATGTGTTCGTTCTTACATTTGGAAACCAGCATGACACTTTTTTTATGCCATCCCATATCCCATCATATCCCCAGATTTGGTTGAATTAATCGTTGATTTCCATCGCCAGGACAGGCCAAATTTGGGCCATGGCACCAAGGTCCACCAGGCACCAAACTGCGCACAAAACTTTGAGAAGGAAAAACATGTGGGCTGAACTCCGCGAAGCATTACCAGATGTGGGATATGAATGGATATGGGTATGAATGGATATGAATGGATATGAAGGTTGTGAAATGCTGGATAACGCTCTTTGGACCAATCATAACCACATGGTGGTTGATTTGGAACGCGACACAAACTTTCCTCGCACACTTGGCCAAAAACGAGAAACTTGTTGCATTCAAAAATATGCAAACATTGAGTGAACTTAGTTCGCAAAGACCTTGGGATAGAACCTCAACACAAGCCGTACGTACCATGGAACCAACAAATTGCATTGAATCAACTGATTTTGAGTGTCGGTATCAGGGCAAAGTTTGGGCTTGACTTCAGATGACATGTCTTCATAGATGTGAGGCAAAATCCTTTGGAGGAAAACCGCAACCGGTGCTGACTGACTTGCAGCCATTTGGCCGTGGGTCAAAATGCGAACCACCCTTTTGTGGGAATCTATTTATAAACTAGTGGTTTCAAGATGTTTCAAGGGTACCGAATTTTGACCCATACCATCTAAGTTTCCACGAAAATAACCCAACTATGGCTTAAACCCAACTTGCGGTCAAAACTGGTCCAACGAACAGTCATCCATTCCACCGCGCAGATGTGGAATTGTAGAGAGAAAAAACTTGAGCTTTGATCTGCAGGCGTAGGTGCATTTCTGATACACTCAATACAACAGCAATCATTGCTATTTTTTGCGCTGGATGCACCCAAAGTGAAGATACTCGCTACACCCCTGATTTGCCCCTTGCTTCCTCCTTGGTACAGGTCAAATCATCAGTCATGCTGATCGAGCTGCAAGTGTGCGGAGTGTTGGCCCTGGGAGACTCTTGACTGTTTGACCTGCGTATTGGTTCATTACCTATCGTGGCGAATAAAAATGAGAAAGGATGTTGGTATACACATAAAAGCAAACTTGTGTAGGGTATGGCAATAACGATGGTTGATAGTGGATAAGTGGAGAATAAATGATGTCCCAGGGACATAATGATTAATGGTCATTATTGATAGCTGCAAATCATGCACTTGAATCGATGTTTGGTGCACTTTCGGTGAAAATCTACAAACATGGCATACAAAATTGAGGGCAAGAAACACGTCCCAAGCTGCACCAGACAAAATCAGGAACCTGCCACCAACCTCGAAGAAACCACTGTGCCGGAGGCTGGCAGGGCTGCCAGGGTCCGGGCTGGCGATTGGGGTGTAAACACGGAAATAGGACTAGAAATCAAATTCAATTGGGATTAAATCTGAATTTAATTCTTCTCTAGTTTCCAACCTACTGGGCATGTATCAGAAGAATTAAATTCAGATTTAATCCTTTTCTCAGATGTCAGTCTTCTGGCAGATGGCTGCTCATTCTTCTGACTTTTTGAGCTTTTCGGGAAAGGTCCAAATTCCGGACCCCCGCGGGTCGCAGTATCTGTGGATGAGTCCAGGGGTTCACTTTGGTTCCGGAGAACGTCTGGTTCCGCAGATGAGATAGATCAGATAGATCAGATAGATGGATAGAGATAGATAGATAGATAGATAGATAGATAAATAAATAAATAGATATATAGATAGATAGACAGATAGATAGAGAGACAGATAGATAAATAGATAGATAGATAGATAGATAGATGGATGGATGGATGGATGGATGGATGGATGCATAGATTGGATAGATAGGATAGATTGGATAGATTGGATAGATAGGATAGATAGGACAGATAGGATAGATAGGATAGGATAGGATAGGATAGGATAGGATAGTGAAGGATAGGTAGATAGATAAATGGATAGATAGATTAGATAGATTGGATAGATTAGATAGATGAGATAGATGAGATAGATGAGATAGATCAGATAGATCAGATAGATCAGATAGATGGATAGAGATAGATAGATAGATAGATAGATAGATAGATAAATAAATAGATAGATATATAGATAGATAGACAGATAGATAGAGAGACAGATAGATAGATAAATAGATAGATAGATAGATAGATAGATCGATCGATAGATCGATAGATCGATGGATAGATAGATAGATAGATAGATAGATGGATGGATGGATGGATGGATGCATAGATTGGATAGGTAGGATAGATTGGATAGATTGGATAGATAGGATAGATAGGACAGATAGGATAGATAGGATAGGATAGGATAGGATATGATAGTGAAGGATAGGTAGATAGATAAATGGATAGATAGATTAGATAGATTAGAAAGATGAGACAGATTAGATAGATTAGATAGATGAGATATATGAGATAGATGAGATAGATGAGATAGATTAGATAGATTAGATAGATTAGATAGATTAGAAAGATTAGACAGATTAGATAGATCAGATAGATTAGATAGATTAGATAGATTAGATAGATTAGATAGATTAGATAGATTAGATCAGATAGATCAGATAGATCAGATAGATCAGATAGATGAGATTAGATAGATGAGATAGATGAGGTAGATGGATAGATGGATAGATGGATAGATGGATAGATGGATAGATGGATAGATGGATAGATGGATAGATGAGATAGATGAGGTAGATGGATAGATGGATAGATGGATAGATGGATAGATGGATAGATGGATAGATGAGATAGATGGATAGATGGATAGATGGATAGATGGATAGATAGATGGATTGATGGATAGATGGATAGATGGATAGATGGATAGATGGATAGATGGATAGATAGATAGATAGATGGATAGATTGATAGATGGATAGATGAGATAGATGGATAGATGGATAGATGGATAGATAGATAGATGGATAGATTGATAGTTGTATATTTTTACAACCGGACATGTTTGAAAATAAATCCAGGTCTGAAATATGTTTTCATGACAGTTCCCAGACTCCATGCATGCTGTTACCACAAATATTTGAAAGGACGTATTGAGCAGCGCTGCAAAAGCCTTGAACACACGTCTGGTTGGGACCAGAGGGCATTTCCATGGCTTCAATTCAGGTATGCGAAATGCAGTGAATTTTGTCTTCATTGATGATGATGACGAAGAAGAGGACCTTTTAAAAATGGGCGATCAAGAGCTCTTATTGACTGCCCGATTCGGGATGCGGAAATGATGATCGCACCGTCGCATCCCATCGCGTCAATGTCTATGAGTTTGGCTATGAAAATCTATGAAGAGATGTAACGATGTATCTGACATACTGAGATGTGACAATTACAACAATACTCAGCACCAGGATGGGTGTACCGTTGGCATCGAAGAGGTCTTCAGCTTTGATTTGGAGAAAGTGGCTGAGGCGGGGAATCAACACTTTACCATCGGCTCTTACAATTTCCGGATTTGACCTTTTGAAATGTGATAGAATTTGATAACTTAATATGTTTTTCCATTTCTCCAGAGGAAACTGACATGACAGATGCGACAAGACCTTGCAGAAGACCTCGGCACTGAGGCCTTGCGCCGTGGTGCTGATCAGTGCCTTGGAGACCCGTGGAACATGTGGCAGGGGAATCTGTTCACAACCATTGAAGTCAGCAAAACGCCAGAAAGCAATTGCCGACATCTTTGGTTTCTTCGGTTTCTTCATATATCCAGAGGATCCAGAGTGTTCCAGATGCCAACACAGTAAACACAGACCGCATGTGGCTTTGCCAAGGGACGAACTCAGTCACATCATTGAGGAAGCCTGGGACCTCAGCACATTTCGGCATGCTGGTTCATGGAATGTGCAGCTGGCACAGGTCAGGAGACCTGTCTCTGTCTCTGTCTCTCTCAAGTTTCGCTTCATTTTGGCGGTGGCCATCCCCGGCCCAAGTCATGCTTGAAGTTCTTTCAATTTATTGAATTTTCTACTGCATGTTTATTGTTGTTCATATCGTCTAGCCAAGCGTCCAGCTGTTTCAGCGGCAGACTGAAACTTCCGTATGGCTGTGAGGATCACCTTTCTTCATCTTGATCTTTCTTGACCTTTTAATGTTGAAAGTAGATTTTGATTTTCTTGCAAGGCCATGATCCAAGATCTTCCTCAACGAATTGCGTCGACTGGATCCGGTGAGGCCGGTGTCCTTCAGGTGCCTTCACCAGTGTAAAAGATGGTATTCACCAAAAATGGATGTAAAATGATGTAAAGAATCGTAAAGATACTATATAGAGCAGCCGAATTACCTTGACATAACATGGGCCATCGAGTTTCACCTGAAAGTTTCGCAGAACGCAGAATGCCACGAGTTGCCATGAGAATGTGTGGTTTCCACAACATGCATAACATGCCATGGATTGGCCAAGCCAGAGGCACGACATGAAGAGACTTCATCTACAGTGACTCCTCGCACAGGCCAGGTGGTTCAACGATTGTGTTTCGGAAGAATGCCGGCCGGTGTGCACCTGCTGCACCTGCTGATTTTGGAGTCTGCTTGTCCGACAGCTCAAGGTGACCTCTCGGCACTGATGACACCTCCATGCGAAGCACCTGACGAAGGCCGGCTGTTTGCATTTGTGGGCACACCAACGGTGCAGACCGACGTGAAATCAAACATGAATGACATCATGCGGCATCATGTGACATCAATGATCATGAAGGAACTTCTGTTCTTTGCGCTTTACGATCTTTACGCGCCGCCTTTTAGCTTTGGCATGTCAGATGGCCATATATTGCCATATTATATTGCCCTCAAGTTGTTGAAGCCGACACATCTCAGGTCCTGTTTCGCCACAGTTTGGTGGAGGAACTTCTTCGTTCCGAGGGTTGGTGGGAGTGCACCGCAGCTGTTATGCGGGCTTGTCATGCGAACGTCATGCAGCAACCTGGCAAAGGAAGAGGAAACAAATCTCAACAGACAAACAAACTCAATGTTCGACGCATTCCTGAATGGACAGGGGCAGGAGATGGCAGAAATATGGGGACATCACACATGAGGGAGAAGAAGCAAGACGTGGTCGTAGCTTTGGTTCACAAGGAAATGGATGGAGCACGGCCACTCAGTGAGTCGATCCTTTTCCAGTACGAGGTCCCGACAATTGGCGTTGCCTCGTGGGCATTGGTAGTCCTGATTGACTTCTTGGGCACCTGCAAGCAGACGAGCCCTGCTCTGCAAAAACAGTTGTACTCCGGTTTGCCGGGATTATGATTTTTTTGCAAAGGAGTTTGAATGGAGCAAATCGGACTTCACTTGGCGTTCGAGATTGTCTTGGACCTGTTTGGATTGCCCGCATTCTCACTGCCAACTGGACGAGCGTCTCGCGAAACAAGTGAAGGTAATACTGCAGGCAATTTTTCATCTTGATGACTGCGTTTCCTTTTTCTTGGATAGAATGCAACAGAATGTGGCGAAAGGGATGTTGGCTGGACAAGTAGCCTGACTCAGTTTTGCGCAAAGATAGTTTCTTTCTGATCTTGTTGGCGCTTCCCCTTCAGGGGAAAAGAATCGGATTTTTTTCTCCCCTGAAGGCGAAGCGCCAACAAGATCGGAAAGGAACCGATTTGATCAGAGCGGCAAAAGCAGGAAAGGTCTCTGAAATGTAGAAACTCGTGAACGAAGCAGACATGAACTTCCAGGACCTTTCAGGGCCTGTTGAACCAGACACTTTCCATTTTATCATTTGGAATCTTCTTTTTCAAGCAGCAAAACAACATGACTTTTTCACTTCATTTCGCTATCCTCTCACTGTCATATCACTACAAACATTTTGGGGCAGGACAACAAGGGCAACACTCCCCTCTCCTTCGCGGTGCAGAACGGTCATACGGCGGCAGCCCAGTTGCTGTTGGACCACAACGCCTACGTCGATGCCAGGAACTCTTGGGGCCGAACTCCGCTCTTTGACGCTGGAACGAGAGAGTTGCAGAAGCTCCTGCTCCAGCACGGCGCCAATCGAAAGGCCAAGACTTTTAGTGAAGACATTCTCCAGTTGAAAATCTAGCCGTTCAAAAAAAGGCCAACAGAACCTTGCCGTGGAAAAAAGGAGAGCGACCCCAGTTTGGCAGAACGCCCTTGCCTTGTTTGTATTCCAACCCTTTGCAAGCCGAGGCGTCCATTCAAATGAATTGAAGAGAAATGTCATCATGGTCTCAAGATTGCCATGAACAATTTCTCACTGCTCAATGTGTTTTTGCAAGGCGTCAGAGGGATTTCGCAAGTGTTTTTTTTCTCCGGACGTACCATTTGGTATTAGTCCCATAAATGGTCATAAATGAAACTATGCTTACTTAAGGCAGACGAACATGGTGAGAGTTGTTTGTTCTTCAATTGAAGCGTTGTATCGATCTTTCATTTTAAAGGTGTTTTCAGAGCGTTTCCATCCAACAAAATTGTTGTTTGCCGTTCTACGTTTAGGAGTTTCTAGGATGATCTCTCAACAGCTGATCCTTCATGAGTCAAACATCATCAAACATCTATGTATCCAACATCTATGTAACATTTATCATATTGATGGGGGTTTTTAACCAGAAGCCATGGCTTTTGAATGGGTTCTTACAAGAAAAACTGCAACCAACTCCAACATTTATGACAGTAGGTAGAAAATACATAGGTCTCTAAAGGAACATGTTTTGCAACAATATCCAACATCTATCCCAATAAAGACATTTGCAGAGTTCTTTTGCGGTCGGAAGATGGAGTTTAGAGAACAGTCTTGACCCAAGTGATGCTTGGCAAACAAAATGCTAAGGTCCAAGAGGCTAAATACTGATGATTAGCAACACGGAGACATCATTGTTACCAATCGGTGCGACACTTCTGCAGTCCGGCAAGGCCGCACCCTCTGTTCGATGCTTTGCCGAACCTCCACTAGCTGGGAAACCCAGAAGTGCAGACCCGGGTCAGGAGGTGATTCATTGAATCAGTGACTGTGCAGTGACCCAATGGGAATGTCGCAAATGACAATCTCTGTGTGAAATGTCAGTTGAAACTTGCAGTGGTGGAGAGGAAATGCCAACGGACAACCTGGGGGTGACTGTGGATATCAGAGACCGCTCACATTTGATGCATGTCAACATAAAGGTGCTGTTCAGGAGCTTGGAAGAGGACCAGGTCTTGATTGCGACAGTTTTCCCTCACCGAAGCCATTAGGCAAAAGTGAAGTCATATTTAGGTTGCCTTCCAAAATCTGACATTCTTCATGCTTCATATGTTCTCGTGCGTTCCTTTGCTGTCCGTTTGCCTTTTGGTGAATGCCGCGCGCTTAGAAGAGGAACCTGATCTGTTCGACACTTCAGCAAATGGCGCAAATGATCTCAGAAATTTGATTGATTTCGAGCACAGCGGCCTGTCGAACCATGAGAATTCCAATTTCATCGAGGAGACCTCAGAGGAGACCTCAGAGGAGGCACCGCAGTCGCGAGGAGGTAAAAGCGGCAAAGGGCCTAACAGTGGCGGACCGTCAGGGGAGCAGGTTTCGGCCGATGAGATGCAGCCTGGACTTCTGGAGTTCCTGAAGCAACACCATGACACTGGTGGTTTGCCGGAGTACAAGGACCCCCCCAAAAAGTACAAAGCTCTGTTGGCGACTGCCATGGCAAAAATCGAGGGCTGGAAAAGTTGGAAGGTTCCACCGAGTTCGTGCCTCGAGCAACTGGGGGGTTTGCTTTGGGAGCTGAACTCCAATGTGCTGGAAAGCCATGAAAGGAAAGATTACATGGGCAAAAACAAGAACCAAGAGCATCACAAAGTTGGTTCATTTCGGTCATCTTGAAGATGTACCAATCCCGAGATGTATTGAGAATGTAGAAGGCCTTTTCCTTCACGGAAGAGATGTAGTGCAAGCGCAGCAAGTGGGGGATGACTTTGCAGCGAACGCCCCCCTTTCCACCAAACCGCTGCTGCAAACTGGAATGACTCTGAAAGCATGGATCATCAATCTGGCTACTGCGAAGAAAGCTGCAATTCTTTGGGCTGGATTTTGGACCAACGCAACTTGGCACCGCTTAGCAAGGCTTGAACCCGAACGTTGTAGGTAATGGCCAGAATCTTCGTCAAGCTTCTTCTACATTCATTTCCACGTTTGATTTGCTCTATCAAAAATTGATGACATCTTTTAAATGGTTTGTGAACTGCATGGGTGAAATCAGGCCTCAGACCCGGAGGGTCACAAGAGTCGCACGTCCAAAGAGAGTCTCTTCCGCTTTGCCGACCTCATCGAGAGCCAAACCGTGCACCCCTCCACAAAACTCGGCCAATTGGCAGAGAAATATGGCAATTTGGACGCTTGCCAAGGTCCGGTCGAGAACGAACTGAAGGGCAACATGTGGAGTCTTTTCAGTTTTGCCTTTGTTTATGGCATGAGGGAGAAGAAGCAAGACGTGGTCGTAGCTTTGGTTCACAAGGAAATGGATGGAGCACGGCCACTCAGTGAGTCGATCCTTTTCCAGTACGAGATCCCAACCATTGGCATTGCAGCATGGGGCTTGGGCTTTTGGTCCCCACTGGTAGTCCTGATTGACCTCTTGGGCACCTGCAAGCAGACGAGCCCTGTGCTGCGAAAACAGTTGTATTCTGGTTTGCCCGGATTCTATGAACATCTTGTGAAGGAGTTTGAATGGAGCAAATCGGACTTCGTTTCGCGTTCAAGATTGTCTTGGACCTGTTTGGATTGCCCGCATTCCCACTGTCAACTGGACGAGGGCCTCGCGAAACAAGTGAAGGGAATACTGCAGGCCACTCGGCATTGTGACGTATGCGTAGTTTGGAGCAGAAAGGAATGTTGGTTTCAGTATAGTGGATGTACCCTTTGGATCCCTTTGGAGGTAAGGAAGACATGTTGGAGCAAAGCACTTTTGTACAAAGGTTTTCTTAGAGGACCGGGCCGTTTTCTTGTACAAGAGTTCTGCCACACAGTGTTTTTCCTTTGAAGGCAAAATGGCAAGAAAAAAGCGAGGGGCCGCGTTGATCAAGGCCGCGAAAAAAGGAGACGAGTCCAGGCTGGAACAGTTGCGGAAGAATGGAGCAGATGTGAACTTCCAGGACCAGATTTTAGGCACGGACTCGGCATGGACTCAGCATGGACTCACGGACCCTTTTGTCACTCTTCCTGGCAGACTTTCCAAACGGGACTCTTGACCCTTGTGACATTGTTCTGCATATCAAATCACTGTCTCTCCTTTCGTTGTCATGTCATTTTGAGCATCTGACAGCCTTGGTCTTTGCATCGCTCTTTCTCCAGGACAAGGAAGGCGACACACCCCTCTTCTTCGCGGTGCAGAACGGTCACACAGAGGCAGCCACGTGGCTGTTGGACCACAACGCCTACGTCGATGCCAGGAACTCTTGGGGCCGAACTCCGCTCTTTGACGCTGGAACGAGAGAGTTGCAGAAGCTCCTGCTCGAGCACGGCGCCAAGCGAAATGCCAAAGACTTTGCCCGAATATCCCCGTATGATTTTATTTCTGCAAATCGCCCGTACCTATGATTTTATTATATTTCTCAGGGTCCAGCCCCACCTGGGTGTACCCCAAGGGGATATCGAATTGCATGAAATCCTAAATGCCACAGCACGAAAGATGCAGAGCAGTGAAAAGAGCCGCTGTGGGAGGTGAGGGCCAAGCTGAGAAGCTGTGAACATTGCAGGTTTCAAGATTTCATGGTGAAAACAACATCTACGCAGTCTTATCCAACTCATATATCATGTATGTTTTCAGACATATCTTTTCCTGTGACTTCTGAGCAAGGGATCAAGCCTGAAACCACCTGGTATTGTGCTGTAGCCCACTGCACCGAATTCTCCTGAGCTGCGGGCCCTGTCCTCTGAGCTGCGCAGGTGGAACCAAGGTCTTTGTCCACTGAGACCCTGGCCTAGTTCGAAGCTTTTCGATGCTTAGACATGCTGAGACCAGCAAGACACTGTAGGCATTAATCAGATTTAGATGACTCTTAATAGTGTTTAATGAGAAGTCCAAGTCATTCCAGCCAAACAGTTGGATGACATTGAAAAATCAAAGAAAGGCTCGGGCTTGGTGGCCTTGGCGGCCTTAGGCTTGCACATCATGCTGCCCACATTCTCGTAATTTTTTGGGAGAAAGGTTGGAACTTCGGGAAGTCGGAAATATCTCGAAATTCCTCTAGCTGCCACACCTATCCATATATGGCTCATGACTGTGCCGGAGAAAGATATTGTACCTTTCTCGGTTCTACTTTCAAGGGGCAAAGATGGGCAAGGCATCAAGTGTACATTTCACTTGGTTTAAGTTTAGGTAATGTTTTGACTCTTTTAGCTAATTTGGGCAGGTCTTGGTTTCTTTGTAGTGGCAGGCAAGGAACTTGCCAGAACGTTGGCACAACTGATAGTCATCGACATTTATCATTCTTGTTGTGGATTTCTCAGGATCTTAGAATTCGAACATTTCGAACATGGCAATGTGTGGAACTGTGGAACCGGACGTGGAACCTTGGATGACACGGAGGAAGCTGCACTCTCCTAGCTTGGCTCAAAGCAGCCACTGAAGCAGTGATAGTGGAGCCACAAGTGGAAACAATTGGAACAAACTTTGAGTACTCTATCAAGCTGGGTAATCCTGGAATGGTGTGATATGGTATTGATATATTTCAAGACTAAGTGCCCCGAATGACTTGGCCTCTACCTGTAGCCCGTTCGGATTGCTGACATTAACGTCAAAAACCATGTCCCTTGATGTCCCTTGATGTCTTCTGATGTCCCTTGCGACATTTCTTGATGGAATGCGCTGAGAACCGGATTCTCGGCATAGGCAGGGACCACAGTGTGATTTGTGCCAAGAAAATCAGTTTCGCAGTTGTCGAGGTGCCGGCCTCTTCGCAGTGATCCTCATCTTCACCTTGAGCTTCTCAGCTGTTGCGGGGCTTCTCAGTTCTTCGATCTTCCCAGCCTTTAGTTTCTAAAGTTCTATTTTCAACCAACATTTCCAACGCTTCCAAATATTTCGAAATATTTTCAAACATTTCAAATAATTATTTCCAAATATTTCCGACGTGTGTTGACGTCCTAACATCGTCGTCCTTCGTTGAGGCCTTGGTGTCCTGCGCCGCCAGGCCGTGGTGGTGGCGGTGTCGCCCGATGTGCGGTTTCCCATGGTTTCCCGGTTGGACAGGTCCTGCCGACAGAGCTCGTTCTGCCTGGTGCTGCTGCTGAACGTGGCATTGCGCAGCAGCCCAGTTCACCATCAGTTACAACCGATGATGGTGATGAGTTCACCATGGTTGAACCCCGTTGTGACATTGAGTTGGGCGGAAACCAACTGGGTGGATTTGTTTCATGACTCTTCCATTTTTCATGGGAAAAGAAGTGAGGAAAAGTGATGGATTTCGCTAAGGATTGGGCTTTTGGTAGCCTTGCCGAAGGCTCTGAACGGGAAATTTCATGTGGCGACATCATGGGATCAACTGCTGCAAACAGATTGATCAGATTGCTGTACTTCGGAGTGTCCTGCCAGGGATGTCGGCAGGTGGTGCAAACCATTGGCATCAACCGCACCTTGGCAAAGAATCGTTCATCCTGCCGGCTTTTTCTCAGAATCAGGTGAAATCAGATGCAATTGGATGACAATTTTTCAGCAATTTGATGTATACCAACTCCCAAAAAGATAGAACAGTAATGAACAGGAGTATTTTCCGTCTATTTTAGTATATAGGATTTTACTTTCGGATTCTTTTTTTGGTTGCTTTTGGTTGCTATACTGAAAGTGGCAATGTATCGCTGAGGTCAAGGTCAGTTCTTGGACATCGCTGTGGCAGGTGCGGCCTGAGCCAAGCAGGGATACATCGACTCCAAGTATCTCAAAACCAAACCACACTTAATGCATCTTAATTCTATATATATTCTATGATTTTGAGAACCACAGTTAATTCTATAAAGGTTTTCCCATGGGTTTCCCACGATTTTCCGGTCATTTTCCGGTGGTTTTCTCGCCAGTTGTGATCATTGGAGCCCTGGGATCCACGGCGCTGGCAGCCAACGAATTTCTGCTGCGCAGCACTTTGGCGGTTCCCCGGGATGAACGCCTCGCGGGCTGGCGCTCCTCGTCCTGAGAAAACAAAAAAGGCTCGGGCACGTGGATCGGAGATCCAAACAGTTGTGATTGGTGTCTTATTGATGTCTTATTGATGTCTTATTGATGTCTTGGAGTCTTAACCTCGGCTATTGATGTCTTAATCTTACTGTAACTAAGAAGTTGAATTCCTGAGAGAGGAAAAAAACCAACCGCCTGCCGAAATCGGAAGATGATGGTCGTTTGGCGCCGGTTTTGGACGGTTGTTTGAAGGAGAATGGTGGGAGATGTTGTGCATGGACGTGTTGAAAGAACGTTCATCTCAAAACAGTTCCCACGGCCTGGCTGAGGCTCAAGACATATCAGAATTCAGGATAGGTATCAGAGAAGCCATGAGAAGCCAACAGCAGTTGCAGCAGTTGCAGAGACGTTAAAACCAAGTCCTTCAGAGCCACGTTTTTTTGAGGGAAATGAGATGTGAACCGTGTGGATTGTTTGGCAGAGGTTATGAGGTGATCCCAACTTCACATCTCCAACCTGACATTCTTTGCCATTCAACCGCCTTTACTTTTCGATTTCCATTTTTTGAGGCTGCAGGTCCACAGGTTGTATCCACTATACAAGATTGAACTTACATCATATAACTTTAATTGATGGTTTCATCCTTACATAGCCTTCCGTAGTCCTCCATAGTCTTCCATAGTCTTGCTACCATACCAGTCTTGTTACGTGTCCACAATGCATCCGCTTTCCGACCCTCCATGAAGAGCCTTCCGCGACTCCTCGGTTTGGTGGCACGGCACCCGGACCAGCGCCCAATGCAAAGATGTTCCATCCGGTTTCCATCCGACTTCCATGGTTTGGTGGGTTTGGTGGATAAGTGGATCATTTGATGATCATTTTCATGTTGATCATGTTGAGCACTGTCGAATCGTGATGTTGAGGGTTGCCGTTCAGGTCTTGGCTACACAACTCCAGGACAACCTGGGGCCTTTTGCAGCAATTTGTGAGTCCAGTTGGCTTCTTTGACGGTAGATTCGTAGATTCTTATCCAAAGATGCAATATGGATTAACTGTTTAACTTGAAAACACTTGGAACGGATCGTACTTTGGATTGTACTTTGGATCGTCCTCGATGTCACTGGGATGTCACCAGGCCTCCTTCGCTTCCTTTGCCTCCTTGGACTCCCTCTACATCGATGGACACTGCGATGCCGCGGTGAACGGCGTGTGGGAGCAGTCGACCTCCACGGCGAATGTGGAAAACGTGACCTTCCAACGGCAGGACCTGCGGCTGTACCGCAGAGATGACGGCGACTGGGTCCTGGTGGCGCCAATCGGCACCCTGGGCCGGTCGCTGGAGCCGAGCCCGGTGCCACCGACACCGAGCACGCGGAGCTCCGAGTGGGAGATATGGTGTTCCGACGCGTCGAATGCCATGAATGGCACCTTGTTGATGGCCCGCTTCTCCCAGGACATGAGATGCTGATTTGGGCAATTCACCCCCAGCTGGTGAACATGGTTCAAATATGTTCAAATATGTTCAAATGACAGGTGGGTTTTGTGTCTTAAACCCGGAGATCACCAAATCGGCTCAGGAGATTTACGACATTTCGACCAATCTCTGTGGTGAGAGGCTTTCCTTCAGCCGCATCAGCAGACATCTATACTTCGCCGGGAATGCCTCAGGCTCTGGACATTTCTTGTTCTTCAACTGTAGCAGATCTTCCTGGCATATCACAACATCCAGCATGGGTCTGTTGGAATTGTCGGAATCTTGGAGCAGTTTTGGGCAAATTTTCATGCCAGTTGTGGGACCACCGCAACGTCAGATTCGGGTTGAGAAGCGGGAAGTATGTCAGATCCAAATCTATAGCGCTAGATGCGTGAGTGACAATTCCATAGAATTCCATTTTTGGTGTATGTTGGAGATTTGCGTGAAAAAGCCGAGAATTTGTTTCTGTGTTTGGGTCAAAGATTGTGCGCCAGCCGCGAAAAATGTCTCTGGATCCAATGATTTCAAAATTCGACCATATAACCCGATCATAAACCCGATCATATCTCACTACATCATGCCATCAACCTCCATTTCCAGCGATTTGGAGCCAAGGGGACGTGCGAACCATCATATCCTAGCCACTCCTGGGCCATCTGCGATGGCAGCATGATCAATTTGACGCTACACCAGGAGCAGGGTAAGCAGGGCATAGCAGCTCTGAGAGGATGGAAAGGAAACAAAAAAACCGCACATCTAGGTCCCTTACCATGAAACGGTGTGACTCACTGATCAAGTCCAACACAGCACCTCCCCTGGCAGTGGAGTCTCAAAATTCCTGGAACCATAGAGACATTTGATTGTTTGTGAATCCAGTTCTCTTTAAACGAAAGTCTCTGATGTCTCAAATATAACTCAAATGAGTTCGGATGATTCATGTCCTTGAGCGATTTTCATGAAGGGAATGGACGAGAATGCTTAGCGAATCCAACTTTTCTTGTGGAATTTGTAGATCTTTTACGTGCATAAACTCGGAGGAGTTCTACCCCGTCACTGGATGTGGATCAGAGTTCTTTCCAGAAGGGCGCACTGCCAATGGAGCGCCTCTCTACCGTGACCCGGATTGGATTAGGAGCGCTATTCACTCCATATGTTGATCTCCAAGAACAGTGAAATCAGAGTGTCACCTTCTGCATTCACCAACGCATGGCATGTTGAGATATGTTGAGTGCGGTTGTTTTTTTTTCAACTTTGTTTCTAGGGTATTTCTGCCATTCACAAAAACGGAAGGCATCAGAGACTTTGATTGCCTGAGATGATCTGTTTTGAATTGGTTTCATATGTTTTTGCAGTTTACCATGTGAATCATCAAACGATGGCGATGGATAAAAGATGATGAACGTGGCAGGTGCGGATGATCCGAGTGGTGCGAATCGTTACAATCGTTACCTCTACTTCGATCACTGTGCTTCGGGAACCGCTTCGGGCACCTTCCGGTGGATTCTCAGTGGCGGAAGCTGTGAGGGCGAGACGGGTGAGACATCCGCTGCCACCGGGCCTCCCTTGGGAGATGCCGATACCTGTGACTTCGCGGCCAAGGTGCACCCCACTTGAGATCACTAGGGTAGAGATGATTTTTTCATATTTTTTCCTTAGGCACATAGATTCTCATAGATTCATTAGATGCTATCTCAGCAACGGCCCAGCAAATGAATTCCTCTGACCCTAGGGTGGTAGAGATACAGACACATTTTCAAAAATGGCTGAAAGGAGTTGAAACTTGAAAGCTGTGGGATCGTGGCCATTTAAAAATATTAGGACGCGCGTTTTTACAGGGTTCATACTCCTTGGTGAAATTGCTTGATTCCGTGTGTCAGGACAACATTCAGTTGCCCCTGGACGTCTACAAACTTTGGACATTGCCGGGCTTCTCTGAGGCCTTGTCCGAGAAGCAGAAGCTCTGCGACGTCGCACCCACGGCCTTCGTGGGGGAGTTCCAACCGGACTTGGAATATCTGAAGGCCATGGCAGGGCCAGAGACCCTGATCAGGCCAGCGTTTGGATGGGTTCGGGAATTGGGATGATGATGGGGATGATGGGGATGTCTTGAGCATGATTTTTTTCTGGCTGAGTTGAATGGGACGTGGGGGCTGGAGACTCAAGTCTAGCGTGCAGTTTCAAGTCAAGTTGTGAAAAGAGTTCAGAAATCTGCAGAACCCCCAGCCCCTCCAGAGTGAAGCAGTCTGGACATAGGTTTTGTCGGTTTCTCCTGGCCTTAGGAGGATGCTGATCTACTCCCGAAACCCAGAAGACCTGGAGGAAGTCGCCAAGGTTCGCCACACATATTGCTGGCATAGATCACCATTATTCACCATTGATAGATCAGATCTGAATCACCATTATCAATGGCATCAATGGCATAATCTAATCATTTCACCACTCATTCGATCCCCAGGAACTGGACGTGACCTTCGTGGTATCTCAGGGATGGCCCTTTGTCTCTTGGCGTTGCGGGTTCTTTGCGGCCAAAGCTGGTGAAGATCCGAAAAAAACTGGAACTACGAGTTCAGAGCTGTTGGATAGTTCAAACTGAATTCTTACTGGAGAAATGTGGATTGATTACTATGAATTCTGATCAAACTGTTGCTGGATGATTAAGATGATATTGGATACTTGCTGAGAATTTGAAGCTTCCAGAGTCATCAATCTTCTATAAATGGAAGTGTGATCCTTCAATCAACCATCATTGCTGGGGTTTTCACGACTGCTCAAGTGGTTTGGGATGGCTTGGGTTTGGGTTGACTGGGGTACAAACTTTCATGTCCTTCAATCAAGCACATATTTTGGTCTTCCAAATTTCACCAGATCTGTAGACCCACAGGTTTGACCCAAACCCACTTGAGCCATTAGAAAACAATAGCATGTTGTACCACCAAGACTGTTCCCGAACCGATATTTCATGGGATGGGCTTGTGGTAGTTGTGTATCTTTCATGGCATTGCAATAAGCCAGCAATTTTTTCCAGTAACATCCATAATCAAGTACATGATCTATTTAATAATCCATTAATTATAGCAAGTATTGGATTTTCCATGGATTTTCCCTATGGTCACGACGACCTCAAACGACGTCGCGACGAGGCATTCATCTTCGTTTGGCTTCCCCTGGCCTTGTCGCTGCTGTGCTCAGCCATTCCAAGCTGTCACTGCTGTCGTTGCTTCGCCAGGGAGCGTAGGAACCTGGTGAACCGCCACCGCTCCAAAGATTGAAATGCTGATCAGTTGTGGTAATCAGTTGTGGTCCAAATTACCAGATCATTTCTGATAATTTGTGATGTTATCACAGTTATCACATTGAAATCATGAGATCTTTGTGACTTTTATGTGATTTTCTCCTGGCCCTGGAAATTACATTGAAAGTCCTCCACCCAAATATCGGATTTTTATCCTAGCCAGGACCAAATATCGGATGAAGGTCCTTCTCTTCATCATTTTGACTTTGGTCCTGATTGGAATAGCCACCTGCATTGGCATTGCTTCAGCTGGCTTGCAGACTCTGGAAGAAGGACAGTTGATGAGCCATTGCGCATCATCGTACCTTTCATTCGCAAGGAAATCACTTTCAAATTTCCATTTTATTTACTTTGGGCCCTTCTTTGAAGCATGTGTTTTTCCCTGGTATTTGTTCGAGAACTTTGTTTTGTTGCACAAGGTGCTTTTCTCTCATCCCCAAAGCCTCGTTTCGAATTGGTCAAAAACCATCAACCATTATCCAGCGCTTACATGACAGTAGTTTTCCCATTCTTAACATTTTGAAGACATGTTGAAACACACATTTTTTGTGGGCGTAAATGCAACCGTCTAACCATGGATTTTTGATTTATGGCTTCAATCTTAAATCCCAATGTTCTTCGGGATTCTCCCATATCTTTCCACACAAAAATCCAGGTTTTTGGGGGATGTTTCCGAATGTTTCCAATGGTTTTCACCAACTTGTGCCCAGGCAGCTGATGTCCACCACCTTGGATGGCGACGGTGTTGACTTCGTTGGCCTCCGACCTCTGCTGCAGCGCCTTGATGCGGTGCTGCAGGGGCAGGAGAAGGAGGCGCGACCACGACGTGGAATTTGGATGTTACAAAGATATAGAAAAAGTATAGACAAGTATAACATTAATTATATAGTATCAGTATCAGTATTAGTATTGGTATTAGCATTAGTATTAGTATTAGTATTAGTATCAGTATCAGTACTAGTATTAGTATTAGTATTAGTATTAGTATTAGTATCAGTATCAGTATTAGTATTAGTATTAGTATTAGTATTAGTATAGTATAGTATAGTAATAATAATGCAGTATATAAGTGGATAAGGATGGTATGTATCTCTATCTCCACCGCATATCCAAAGTACTGAACCATATCTGAAACATCCACAGATTTCTGGTATTTTCTCGTATTTTCTCGTCTATCTCGTCACTCCATCGAGCCCTTCAGGCCTTCCTGTCGCGCACGCAGCGTGTGGTGCGCAGTGCCCAGTTGGCCACGGCCACGCTGCAGCTGCTGTCGTCCACCTTGGACGCCCTGGACGTCGACGTCGCTGCCACGTGGCACCGCTGCGGCTACTGCGAGGAGCTGCGACCCACGGTGCAGGCGGCCCTGGAGAAACTGGAGAACTACCTGGCGAAGTCGCCGGTGGCCACACAACGAGCACTGGAAGGCCTGGAAGATCTGGAAGGTCCTGGAGGATTTGAAAAAATTACTTTACTTCGTGTGATCCCCACCATGACATTTATACATTTTCTTACTGGCAAATCTTCTGGCATTCTATCTGACATATCTTCTGACATTCTATTTGGCATTCTATCTGGCATATCTTCTGGCATATGATCTGGCATATCTTCTGGCATATCTTCTGTCATTCTATCTGGCATATCTTCTGGCATTCTATCTGGCATATCTTCTGGCATTCTATCTGACATATCTTCTGGCATTCTATCTGGCATTCTATCTGGCATATCTTCTGGCAAATATTCTGACATATCTTCTGGCATTCTATCTGGCATTCTATCTGGCATATCTTCTGGCATATTATCTGGCATTCTATCTGACATATCTTCTGGCATATATTCTGACATATCTTCTGGCATATCTTCTGGCATATCTTCTGGCATATCTTCTGACATATCTATCTGGCATATCTTCTGGCATATTATCTGGCATTCTATCTGGCATATCTTCTGGCATATATTCTGACATATCTTCTGGCATTCTATCTGGCATTCTATTGGGCATTCTATCTGGCATATCTTCTGGCATATCTTCTGACATTCTTTCTGACATTCTTTCTAACTTTCTTCTGCACATTCTTTGTCCCATATCTTCCTACATGAGGTCCGGCAGGGAACCCTTGGCGTGGATACTCGTGGTTGAGGTCCGGCAGGGAACACTGGGCGTGGATGGTCGTGGTTGAGGTCCGGCAGGGAACACTGGGCGAGGATGGTCGTGGTTGAGGTCCGGCAGGGAACATTGGGCGTTGATGGTCGTGGTTGAGGTCCGGCAGGGAACACTGGGCGTGGATGGTCGTGGTTGAGGTCCGGCAGAGAACACTGTGGATCGCGGGTCGCAGTTGAGCAAGGACGACGAGGACGACGAGGACGACGAGGACGACGAGGAGGACGAGGAGGAGGAGGAGAGGAGGACGAGGAGAGGAGGACGAGGCAGGAGGAGGCGGAGGAGGAGGAGAAGGAGGAGGAGGAGGAGAAGGAGGAGGAGGCAACTGACATAAAATCTAACAACCCTCACCTGGCAGGTGGGGAACTTGGAAGGTGGGAAGAGTTAAGAAGATTGGACGGGGTTTAAACATGTGTTGAAATGCGGACTTCATATAAGATATAGGATTATTGGATAATTACGGATTATGGTGAAAAAATGATTGGATCTATGATGCGGAATATGATGATTGGGGGTGGTTCAAAGAGTGAGATAGATGTTTTCTTGATGAGTTTCGAGATGGTCATTTCAGTGTGACCTGCAAAAGGTTGCTGCAAACTTGTAAAATTTTGATGCTTGATATTGTGCTTTGGCTACCAATCCCTTGTAGGGTGTATTTCTGTAAGATAAGACAACTGTGCTTCCAAGTCATGTCCGCTATCAAATATCTTCACCTAATTGGACCTTCAACCATCCTCAACCTGGGACATTTTTGTCACCAAACAATCCCTACAATTCAATCGCTCGTCTACAAATCGGCCCAACATCCAATTTCATTGGAACAAACTGATGATTTCATGATCACAATCAACCAATATATCCAATATCAACCATCCAATATCAATACAAATCATCCATTTTTTCCACAAACCATGGCCATCCGCCATGGATCCACCATGGATCCACCATGGATCCCCCCCAGCGTCGCAGGGCGCGACCTCCACAACCGCCTCAGCGCTGCGGCAGCGACCCTCAGCCGGCTGCAGCAGCTGGCGCTGGAGGCGCTGCCGTTTCTCTACGCCGAGAACGGCCTGGGACGCGTCTGGAGCGAAACCTTTGGTGCCCTGGCGAAATGGTGGGAAACAAACTGACCAAAATCTATAGGGGTTGCGATAAGAAGACAGCAACCAACTAACCAACATTTACGACAGTAAATAAACAAACACATAGGTCATAGGTCTCTAAAGGAACATGTTTTGCAACAATATCCAACATGTATCCCAATGAATGAGTTTCAACCATAAGCAATGGGCTTTAAAGGCCCATATCCAACAAAATCCAAGAACCATATCACCATTGAATGGTTTTTTACACAATGGAAGTAAAAGATTGATAGGCTCAATTCGTGGTGTTTTGTTAATCTATCACTGGTATCACCTCCCAATGCCTCACTCATACCCATGAAAAATGGCATGAATGTCACATGGAGGAAGGAAAAATGACCAAACAATGGCGGATAAGCTTGACAGATGAGTGTACAAAAATGTAGCTATGGGCAAATTCGGATTAATCTAAAACATGCAATTAAAGCCATCAAATTAGCCCTAAGTACCCAAGTGATGGCAAGATATTGGTGAGTCAAACATCAAGAACGGGGGTTTTAACCTGAACATATTGGGGATTTCAAATCCCCTAATTGATGGCTGATTGATGGTGGTCTGCTGGGGGTATGGAGTTAGAACTGGTTTAATGATGTTCAATGGGGATTGTGGACGAATGGCCCCATCCATGTTTTTTGTGAAGATATCCGGGGGAGGCAATGGCGAGTTCAAGTGCGACTTCACCTATTATAGGGACAGTTTCTGGTTTCCAAATCTTTTCCCATCCAATCTTTCTGCAAGTTTTCCCATGCCAATGGCAAGAGAACTGCCAGGAATTCTGGTGGGTTTCATCTTGCTGCAGACCATTCTTTTGGTTGTCACCTTCATCATGGCGTATGGCTCGATGGCATCCTTTGCACAGGAACCCAGGGAAACCGGCATTACGGGACAAGGTGGGCGTTGGTTCAATGGTTGACCCCCTGAACGACCATAGCTGGGAGTTCCACTGAAATATATAGTCCTTTGAGTCCTTTGTAGATGGTTTACGTATTAACGGTTCTTTTTCGAATCCATTACCATAGGACTTCCGAGCAACCAGATGAAACCAATCTTAGATATTTTTCGAAAAAAATCAGGTGAATATTTGCGACGAACCTCAGCATGCTCTTGCTGTTCTTGGTGTTTCTTTTCCGGCTTGGCCGTGATGATGTGTGCGATGGCTGGATGTATTGTTGTGGCCTACTCGCAGCTGGGAGGCTTTTGCTTGGAATTGCACAGTGATGCAAAGGCGGATCTCTTTCGTACCACGGGGCTTTCACAACACATGGCAGACATGCACGCGTTGGATGTGTTGGGTATACTGCAGGTGACCAGCAGTTGTCTTCCAAAGGAAGGTTCTCCTGCCACCGATGTCTTCGCCCTTCTCCAAGCGTCACCTTCCGGGCCCTCCGTGAGAGAGGTGCTGTCAGATTTCACGGGCCGGATGCCAACGGCTTTGCCGGAGATCAGCGAACTGCGCAGATACGTCGCTCAGTGGAGAAATCATTCCGAAGTCAATTTCCAAGTTTTTTTTTTAAAATCCAATATTTGCCCAATACTTTTTCCAACATTTCTCGAATCTGTTTTCCAATAGGGCGGTTTCAATTTCACAGGCTTTCCGTCTTGAAAATTTGCCGAAGTTGTTTGGAGGCTCAGTGACCTCCTGATAAGCCCCAAAGTTTGCATCCGTTTACCGTTTGCTCGGCCCCTCCTTATTTCAGCATATCTCAAGTTGATCTTGCCTTTGTAGTGGCCAAAGAACATCAATATACAGTATACATAAATATATGGATAATGTGGCACATAGAATATGGAAACCCATCCAACAAAACTAGAAATTCAATGAATTTCATCTACAAATGCCATGTTTTCCGTGTGTTTTCCTTTGGTCCTCGACCGAGGTCCGGGATACTCCGGTGGATGCCCTGCTGCTTCCCAGCGCCGACGCGCAGTCGAACCCGCGCTACCGCGCCATGCTGACGGACCTGCGGACGCGCATCGGCTTCAGCAGCTCTGTGGCGTGTGCCGATTGGACCCTGCCCGGACAGCAGGTGATCCCAGGAAACGATGGGGAAAATCGGAAAAAGCCATGGGAAAACGAGGGAACTGATGGGTTGATTTGTGGGAAATTTGGTGATTGGAAAAACCTTGGGGGGTTTTAAGGCTTCTTTGGAGCTGTATTCGTTTCAGGGAAATGGGCACGAGTTGTGGCACCATGGGAAAGGATCTTCTAACGTTGGCCTTTCTGTTTGCGAAGCTGCCAAATCACAACAACGTTCAGCTCAGTGTTGGGTTCTACAACGAGTTTTACAACTTTGACCTCCACAAAGTGGTGCCTCAGGGTTATAAGTTATAACCCTATAGCATATAGGCTATAGGTTTATCATGGTTTATCATGGTAGCTGATTTTCTGCAGGAATGGAGACCTTTTTCGAGTCCTTTCGGTCCATGGGTGTGGCTTCTGGATCCTGCAACAGCTCCAACCAGTCGTTGATCTGTTCAGAGGTGGTGACCACATCGGGCCAGGCGTGTCGCGCAGCGCAGCGCTTCGTCAAAGCCAAGAACCTCCTCCGGAAGAAGCGCTTCCGATGCGACCTCTTTGCAGACGCATCGGAAGTTCCGTGTGATGTCAAAGACACTCAACTTCCAAGTGTAAAAAGGATTCAACAGATTGATTATATTACCTCTCTATCAGTTATGTCACGTCATTTTTTTCGGAGATCTCTCAACAATGAACCCATGAATGTGTCTTATTCATTCTTATTCCGCATCTCTTTGGATCGGTGGTGAACGGTGCCGTTTTCGAGGACATGGTGAAAGTGAACGGCGAGTGGCAGCCTTGTGTGCCGCACACGGTGCATCGGAGGTGCGACCTGGATGAGTTCAGGACGTATCTGATGGATTTCGATGTGCGGCTAAGCAACGTCTTCCAAATGCTCGGAGAGGAAATGGAGGTTGTGAACTCATCTGATTTGACAGATCTCAGGATTCTTACCGCACCGATACCTGGTGGATGTGAGAACTTTGCATTGTTTTGGCAGAGATTCTTGAATGGACTTTGTTTCGTTTCGCTCCCTGGATTGCGCACCATTACCATGTCCTTCTTGGTTGCCTCTGGTGTGGCCCTTAGTGGAGACGCTTGGAACAAGTCTTAGCACATCGAACGTGGGTGACCTCTGAGATTACAACCGTAAATCCTTGGATTCCAACGTCGTAAACCTTCCTACTTTCCATTTTTTCATGTTAGATTTTGGCATTCTTGAGGATGTTGAAAACATGTTGAGGATGTTTTGGCATTCTTCAACATTCCCCATGTTTTTTGATGGTTTTGGCGATGTTTCGTGCCGTTTGGCGAGGTGATTCTGATGTATTTCGTGTGGCGTCGGGCCTATGACAACTTCTCTCGCTCCCAGGAACTCTTCAAAGCTCCCGACAAAGCCCCGGGATCTGCCACTCCCCGTGCACAGGGCACCGCCCGCACTGGCGGCGCGGAGCGAACGGCAGGGGTCACGTTTTGGATCAGCGATGAGGATGACACCCTGGAAATTTGAAATATTTGAAATCACCGGATCTTTTCATTTGCTTGACTTTCACGGATTTGCTTATGTCGTGTACATAATTACTGGCGATCAGACTATTAGATGTACAAAGATGTACATTATGTGTTTGGGATACTGGGATACTCTACAATGTGATGTCCTTTGTGCCTATTGTCACAATCTGACACAATGATGTGACTATGAAAGACTGCCAGATTGACCCTTCCATCTATTATTTCCGAAATTGATCAGAGAAATGTCGAGGCAAATTTCAATTGATTTCTTGAGCAGTCAAGAATTCACAGCTCAGCGCAAAGGAAAGCTTGAGCGGCACCGTCTTTTTTTGGGCTGCCGAAGGCACCTGCTTCAACTACTCGTCGCAACTTTCGTTGCTGGTAGAAAAAATCACCGGTGATGCAGTGACAAAGTATGATACTTGTGAAAGACGTTTGAACCAAATCACTGATGTGTAACCTTGATAGATGGGTTTGCCTATGTTGGCAATATAATCAACATCTATAGAATCTATAGGTTCTAGAACGTTCTAGATATTTTCTAGATGATCTAGATGTTTGAAACACATCATATATCTACATCAACTCCTCAACTTCAATGCCGGAAATGCCATTTTCCGCAGAGAGCCATGCCTCGGGCCATGCCTCGGGTGCCTCTGCCATGAGTCGCGTGCCGCGGCCGCCCTCGTCGCCGCGGCGGCCCCGCAACGGCCGCCGCGCGCCGCACGCGCCGCACCCGCTGCACGAGCGCATCCAGCGCTGCAGCAGCGTGCCGGAGACGGCGGAAGCGATGTGTTTCCTCTGCGAAAACGACAAATGGAGATATGAACGACCTGAACTGAAAATCCGAGAAAAGAAAAAAGATCGCAAGGTCAAAGAAGAAGAGAATGAGAAAGATAATCTCTACTCTTTGATGTTGGCTTTATCCAAAGTCTGCAAGCATCGTGATGCCGCGGGAGATCGGATGCCCAGCTATGGTGGAGCCGACCTATGGACTTGGCTCTTGGAACCTCTACGGAGCTTGGTGCCTTGTGAGGAGGTGAAATTTGTGGTCCGGTGCTTGGGGCCAGTGCCTGCCACCCCGCAGTTACCCTTCTCCCATGATGCCGAGGTTGGGGTGGCTGGGTGGCTGGTGAGATGGAACAAATCAGTTTCTTTTAAAACAAAAATTGAGGGTAGTTGGGGCATTCGATCTTTGAACAAATTGGATTCCTCATTCGAGCAGAAGGACCTCAATCATCACATTGATTCACATTGATTCACATTGTAAGATTTCAAAGTTCAGGCTGAAGTTCAGATTCAAATCTTCAACAAACATCCCACTTGGCGCCATCCCAGGCGCGGCGCCGCGTCACGGCCATCACCTACGTGGAGAAGTGGCCGCAGCAGCGGATCGAGGGTCAGGCCGCGTTGATGCAGCGGATCCAGGCCATCTGGGCCATCTTGGAAGATGACATCCATCCATCCTGAACTCTCGTTTTTTGTATTTTTTTTTGACAGTTAAACGATCATTTTATGGGAATGGGGGATATGGGGGAATGTCCTCCACTGAAGCTACAAGAGAAGAGGTGCCCTGAAGAATCAAGTGTGGCGCCCATGCTTTCCAAGGGAACATTGATTTAACTTCAGATCAATGTTGTTCTTTTTTCCCAAACAAAGGGTGACAATGAAAGAATGTTATTGTACATCTTTTTCCCGGACCAGCCCTGCAATCTTTCTTGTCGTTATGACGGTTCCCATGTCGAAAATCAACTTACCGAGCAACCCCCCAGTTTTTTGATGGTCCTTTCCTGATTGGCTCCGACTTGATGGCAAAACCACCACTCTTGATGGCAAACTACAACTCAGTCCAGCGGCCAGTGTCTGATGATGGGCAAAACTACGGAAAGCACTATGTATTAGTCAGGATATGAACAACCATTGCAATAGATACACAACTATAGAACAATCTAACCAATATATCACCATTGAATATGAATACCAATATGAATAACAGGCGATATCATGATCCAATGTAAATCTTATGTACTTCCTAATTATAATTGATTTTCAACATGGATATCAATTATCATTGGATTCAAAAGGGTTCTCTTTATATCCAACTATAACCGCTAATTACCAGTGATAATCCAACATCAGATGATAGCATTTTCAACTACATGTGCCATTGATAATTCAGCTGTACCTAGGGTTATCCACATGTCTATCCAAATGTCTAATCACCAACAGTGGTTACAAATGGTTAACTACACCATTTTCCAATGGTTAGTCACCAAAGGGTAGTAGAGTACCACTAGGTTGACTACGGCGGGTTATTTTTTCCAACCATTTGCCAACATTTTCCAACCGTATACCAGTTAGTAACAATGGTTATCAACTTCTCATTGGTCATGGGGAACCTATTACTTATTATATCAACCAGTAGTGGGTCCGAACTATGGCTATCTAATCATATACCATAATGGCTACAGCTATGGATTTTCCAACCATATATCATTGATCCTCCAATTAATGGTGTAATGTAGTCCTCCAATGGTGTATACCAACCAACCATGCTTAATTGTGATTGACTGTGGCAAATTTCCTAACCATGGCTACCATAAGCATCGCCGTTGATGTCAATGACCATTGGTGTACTAGTGGTTCTTAATCAAGTTTGTCATCATATACCAACCATTGGTTCTCCATATACCATTCACATTAACTCTGAATTTTCAACAACAAACCGGGTACATCTGGGTACATTTGGTAACCATATACCAAGTTATTGTACCATTCTATTCGCTACATACCAACCATTCACCAGTTGCCCAGTGATGCCCAGTGGACCGCAGTCGCCAGGTGCTCCCCTCTCCGGAGGCCGCGCGCCACGACTGGCAGCGCTTCGAGGTGATCCAGTCGCACTGCGCCTCGCCGGGCGCGGGCCGCGCCGCGCGCCACGTCAAGGCGCGGCCCGGACCGGGGACCGGGGAAGGCCACCGAAAACATACCGAAATGCTGGGAAAAGGTGGGAAAACATTAGGAAAACAAAGGGAAAACCATGGTTTTTTTTCAATTAGTTTTGATTTGATTTTTTGAGCACAATTGGAAGCTGTTGGATAGATCAAAAGATTTGGGAGATAATATGATATCTAGATGGTGATACAGACGGATATATACTATTTTATGGCCGTTTCCATGGTGTCTCCCTCAATTTTTGTGGTAATTGCAAAACACGAAGCATGGAGGACACTGAATCAGATGATCAAACATAATGAGATTGATAAGGGTTGTGGGGGGCCCAATTCAGGCATATACCGCAGCACAGTCGAGAAACTTGCACCTTTTCTACAGGACATTCTCAGAAACGAGTCAATGTGTCGGTGTGTGTGTGTAATGTTTCTATCCCATCAAAGTGAATTACAGACACTATACCACACAACCAATAGTATGAACAATATCTCGCGTACATAATTTCCATTCTGTTTCGAATATAAAAACATGTTTAAAACATACCAGTAGTACCGCACAAGGCGGTGGCGGAAGTTTCAAAGATAGGACACTATAGGAGAGGTGAGTTGTTGTGATGCATAGATGGCAGAGCGAACCCACTGATGGACCGAAAGGTGGCTGGAGTTGTGTTTTTTGGAGTCGTTGCAATGGTTGCAGTGGTCACCTCACCCACAACTGCTGGATGTAGTGTGGTGTAGTGCAGCTGCAGTTGTAGTTGTAGTGTGGTGGAGTTGTAGTTGTAGTGTAATGTAATTAGCGTGGTGCAGTTGCAGTTGTAGTTGTGGTGTGGTGTAATTAGTGTAGTTGTAGTGTGCTGTAGTGTTGCGTGCTGTAGCCTAGTCTAGTCTAATCTAGTCTAGTGTGGCGTGGCGTGGTGTGGTGTGGTGTAGTGTGGTGTAGTTGTAGTTGTAGTTGTCGTTGTAGTTGTCGTTGTTGTTGTCGTTGTAGTGTAGTGTAGTGTAGTGTAATAGTGTAGTGTAGTGTAATGTAGTGTAATGCAGTGTAAAGTAGTGTAGTTGTAGTTATAGTTAGTGTAGTGTAGTGTAATTGAGTGTAGTGTAGTGTGTTGAAGTGAAGTGCAGTGTAATGTAGCGTAGTGCAATTAGTGTAGGGTAGTGTAATGTAGTGTAGTTGTAGTTGTAATTAGTGTAGTGTAGTGTAGTGGAGTGTGGTGTGGTGTAGTGTAGTGTAGTGTAATGCAGTGTAGTAGTTGTTGTGGCTGTAGTTGTAGTTGTAGCGTAGTGCAGTGTAGTGGAGTGTAATGTAGTGTAGAGGTGGTTGTAGTTGAAACTGCGACAAAATCCTCATGTTTTGCTCACTTTTGACAAGGTGCACAATCCCTTGCGCCTGCCACGCGAAACGTCTGAACGTCCAAAAGTGGTCCGAGACCGTCGGTTTTTAACACTTTTGACTTGGAAATGTGCTTCGCGCCACAACGGCGTGCACTTTTTCGACATCGCGCAACTTCCAAAAGTGGTCTGACCATGGTGTGTTTTAACACTTTTGACTTCGAAATTTGCTTCGCGCCACAACGGCGTGCAATTTTTCATCTCTCATCTGGCCAGATGGCTTCGCGCTTGCCGCTTGAGCTAGCCTACTTTTCGACCCTCCGGAGCCACAAATCACTGGAAAAAAACACAGTGTTTCGCAACTTTCCTACCTTTTCGCGCACCTGCATCTTCTTTCTTCTGACTATTTCTCTTCCCTGATCTTCTTTCTTCTGCTCTTCTCTTCCCTGACTCTTAGCACCTGCTTTTCCATCTGTCCATATTGCCGGAAGTTTGACTTCTAAACTTCCTTCGATAATACATACATACCTACATACATACATACATACCTACATACATACATACCTACCTACCTACATACATACATACATACATACATACAATACGCAGATATTTTAGATCTATTTAACATTCTTTAACAACTCGAAAAATACTGCACAGCGTGACAGCAAGGCGGGCACCGACCTTCGCTGCCTGGCGGCCGTGCCGCTGCTGGATGGGGGCGGCAACGTCCTGGCGGTGGTCACCGGGCAGCATGGGACGGGGATCGATGGAACACATGGGATGGGTGGAACATGTAAATCAAATGTGGACGAAACTATATTGATTTATATTGATCTAATGAAGATCCAATGAAGATGTAAATGGATGTAAATTGATGAATTATTTTTCTGAATTGTTTTTTGTGAATGATTTGTATCTGAATTTGTTCAGATCTATCGAAAGGGATCTGTATTTTTTTGGTTTTGGTTTGTAAGCGAAGACTTATTGTCTGGAGGGTGATGGGTTATAGCCAGACAATTTCTGGATACTCCCCGTAGAGATCGTTAGAGGTCCACAAGATTTCTGGTCAAAAAAGATCATGACTATTTTGGAACTACAATATGAGTGACATTGACTTTTCTGGCATTTCAGTTCCTTTGTTTCTGCGGACCGTAGCATGAGATAGTGAGAATCAACGAAAATGTGAAACAGCCAACCTCCTGACCACCTGGCCATTTTTTGGTTTAATTTGTGGCGTGGATGTGACCATTTTTTCTTAGGCCAAATTCCTGAATCGTCGAATGCGGTCGGCAGATGGGTGGCAGCCCTGTTTCGAGCTCCTTGGGCTGCAACATTTGTTGCTACCCAGCTACATGTCGTGGCCTTCCATAGATCTTTGAATGGATAGATCTTTGGAATTCTTTGGATGGATGATTGGATGGATGGTTGGATGATTGGATGTTTGGTTGGAATCTGGGTGCGAATTCTTGGAGATTCCCAGAGGTTTTCCCAAGCCGACCTGTCGACCCTGGCGGCCTTTGCGGCGATTTTTGAATGCGTCCCTGGCCCTGGTCTGCGTTTTGAAACATTTTGAAACATGTGAAGTTGGCAGCAAATTTGCCCGGTGCTTTCAATGCTTTCATAATCTTTCAGTCATATTCATATCCATGATTTTTCTAAACGGGGGTGGTATCCAATTTTCAGTCATATTCATATCCATGATTTTTCTAAACGGGGGTGGTATCCAATGACCACCATTCACACCTGGATGAGCAAGGTGGCCCCATATCCTTTTCTGAATCTGCTGGGAGCCCCTCTACGGAGACCTCAGGCCGTCTTTTGGGCCTTGGGGGGTCTTTAAAAAGATGTGTTGTGAAGTCATGTTCGAACATTTGTCGAAGATGTCTGGCATCATTTTTTCATATTTTTTCAGTGTTTACTATATGTTGTACTACATTTTTGCCGTATTAGTATGTTTTGCATTTGTGTTTCCATTTGGTGCCTCTGGCCACTTTTCGTGCCAACTTCCACGGCATACGCACTGCGGGAGGCGCGCATCGCGATGAACGACTTCGGGCTGCTGGCCACGTTGCAGTGGCACGTGCCGTTGGAGTTGGGAGGTGGACCTCTGAGCCATGAGGCTGGAAGCTCAGTGATTCTGTGACTTGATGCACTTAGATTTAGTAGATAGAGTAGAACACATATTTCTTATATATGTATATATCTACAATGTATCTACAATATATCAATGGGAATTTCAGGATCCTAAATTGGAGGTACGTACCTTATATAAGGCCTATGTAAGGCCTATGTAAGGGAATATCCCCACAAAATATGGCCTTATATGGTACAGTACCTCCATTTTAGCTTCCTGAAATGACCATTGAATATATGTCATATATATATATGCACAATACATACATCATCTATATATCTGTATAATGTCTATGTGTATTTTCTGATCGTTTTCCCTTGCCGTGGCAGGTCTGGTTTGGCCCCGTGGAGGAGGACGACGACTTCGAAGGCTGTGCCACTCGTGCCACGGCGCTGCGGGAGTTGTGGCAACACGTGCCCTGCGGCTACATGGAGCCCATCTCGGAGGATCGCCGTGAAGAAATGACCGGAAAAACATTTTGCTTCTAAGTAAGTTTTACATACTTATGTCTATATATATATATTTATATATATAGGTGTTTGAACCTATTTTCATATTTTTGTAGCTTATATTTACATATATGCCACGGTCAAGTTCCATGGCTTAGTTTCCCAACGTTTCCAATGTTGCCGATGGGAAGAAACAAACCATTAAGAAAAACCGAGAGATATTTTTCAGTTGATTGTGGAAATTGTTCGGGTCTGGGCCTGAAGTGAATCCCGATGCAGTTTGTCACCCGTTTCATCTCAAATTGTCACAGCACAACCAGAAACTGTGTTGCTTTTTGCATCAGATTTCATCGCTTGCAAGTATTGATCTCCAACCAACTCTCGTCATGGTGATCTAACTGGTGAGAAGTGGCCAGTTTGAAATGCACGGAGGATGACGACTTGGAGAATTTGACCTTCCAATTTGATGTCCAGATCTTAACTTCGGTGCACCTCGATGCGTTTTTGGTATGGGGTAGATTTACGAACCTTCAATAACTCCATTTGGGGATTGTTACTGCACGGGTGAATTTTCAAATAATCCTTTTCCCCAAATATGAATCTCTGATTGAGTTTTGGATTTATGCATATGTGCCCACTGAATCATTGGAGGGAAACTCCGCACCTGGCTTTGTCTCCAAGCCAGCCGATTTTGAGAGCCATCGGATAGCCTTCTGGAGTTTTTTCATAAACACGTTCATGAAACAATAGGACAAGTCATAAACAGTCCATCATGAATATAATTTTCATGGATATTCACATGGATTAACACATGGAACAATTCTGAGATAAAACCAGCTGTAAACAGCCGAGATCTGTCAGCCGAGGTGCCAATTCTCCATGAAGGCTTGACATATGCCTTTCGGGTGAGGTGCAGGCAGGTCGCCTGTGTCTAAATGTAGTGGTGTTTTTTTTTTCTACATGTTTTCTAATGGCAACTTTGGGAGTTGATATCTTTTCATTCAGACACACCCACGTGTACAAAAGGCATAAGTCAATCTTTCATCTTCTCAGATTTCTACATATCTACTATACAAGAGGCCCTATTCGAATCATTAGATTTGACATTTGTGCTTCGATTGGCAGTAAAAAGATGTGAGCTTTGGAAACAATCGATTAATGTTGATTGACGATAATTTTTTCATCAATCAACAAATCAACAAAATGATAACCCCCATGATTTCATGATATTTCTGTTGATATTTCTGTTTCAATTTTCATCAATTTCCCCAACTGATTGACGTCTCCAGTTTCTCCACAGGAACCAACACACCGCCCTGGACTGGTCCGAGCCTTCCCTGCGCGTCTCTGCCTGTGTGGTGCCGCCCTATCCCAGTCAGGAGGCGGATGGCGAAAATGGCGATTTTCTCCAAAGAAATCTGCTGGAAAATTCGAAAAAAAACATGTTTGTCGATTGTTGATATATTTCTATTGAGTTTTCAATGTTTGTTATACATGCTCAACACATTTGCATCTATTTAATATTATTTAATAAGGGTAGTTCTTGGAATTGAATGGGATTATTACCCAATTTTCTGGCCATATATGGCGAATTCGATCCAAATGGCAGAGATATGGTAACATGACATTTCTATCGATCCATCTTCGGGTCTGGGTGAGGCCTTTTCGCTGCTTCCCATCAGCGAAAGTGCTGTGCAGCCGGGGCATCCAGAACCATTTTGGTGGATTTTACGAAAGATGATGATCATCAATCAGGGGTTGGTAACTGTCCCATTTTGGGTATATTAGACATCACCAAAAATAGTAGCCATCTAGTAGACCATATACCTAATGGTTGGGTGATGTTCAATGGGGACATTTAATGACCCATGTCAATGTAGGCCACATTTCGCCCCAAAAGCCAATGACAGTGACCAAATTGATCGATCTCTGAGCCTCTAAATTTCCAAAGTTGGGGGCCCTGAGGTTGGAATGGGCTCCATTCTATGCCTCAGATGGAATGAACTTGGTGGAGTATCGCGTCATCGCGCAGGCGAAGGGATTGAGTCCAGATCTTCGTTGGGTCAGTAAGATCTGCATAGATCTGCAATATCCCAGGCCAGTGACTGCTCTGAAGTCTGGACCTGAGATGCCATGGACAGTGTGACAGGGCCACAGCATGCGATGAGAAAAGACAGCGACAGCTCTGTCAGCTCTAAGGCCAGTGAGCAGGCTGGGACATAGCTTCCTTGCAGATCGAAGTCGGAAGTCTGTTCGTTTCAAGCTGTTTTTTTTTCCAAACATGATGGATAAGCCAAGAAATGATGAAATTCAAGTTCTCGAAATTCAACTTCTCTATTTTATTTATCACAAAATGGTGAAGCAGCACTTGGTTTCCCCACATTTTCCCAGGTGGTCGCGTGTTTCATCTCCGATGGCCGCCAAGCCACAGAGACTGCGACGGTGACCGCCTCAGTGACCTTCGGCACCGCGGCGCAGCGCGCACGAAGCGGAACCGAACTGGTTGCCGAACGTCGCTCCGCTGAGGTGACGTATCTCCAGCCCAATGCCACTTGCTGCAAGATGCTGCAAGATGCTGCAAGTTCATGGGTTGGTTTTTGGTGGATTTCCGATGGATTTTTGCCACTTGTTGCTAGTTTCAAAAAGCTGTGATCTTGATGTTGTGGCCAGGTGTCGTACATCTTCGCGGTGGAAGCCCGCTACCCGCACGTTGGCTCGCGGGTGGGGCTCTCAAATCAAAGATGAGGTAGATGGCCTGCTTGGGACTTAGTCAACAGACATTTTCATCGATCCTTTCAAATGTCGTTTACAAGTCGATGATTGGGATCCAAGGAACAGTGTATGCTGGTTTTGGTTGCTTCAGAGATAGGAACTTCTTTGCTCACTATGTGCAGAAATGAGCATTCACTGGTGTGAAATGACTATGAGTAGATATAAGTAGCAGCACAAACCGCCTCCAATTTTCCAATTTCAGGACATCGTTGAATGATGATGAACAGAAACCAAAGACGAACCACCAAAATACAATATCTGGCTATTGAATCATAGTAGTAAATAGATAACTACAGTGGCTGTCATTGCAGTATCACTTTTTGCGTGATCATGATAAAACATAGTAGGCATAGTAGCATTTACGATAGTCCTAAGAGCTATTGGGTACTTCTTAAGCTGGACATTTCTTTTCAAATATCTAGATGTTTAGCCGATTTTAAACTTTATTCAGATATCTCACCATATCTCACCATGTCTCACCATGTCTCATCATATATTTCAGATCTAACATGCCGTGCCGGACGTGATTTTCCAAGGACTTTTCCCGTGGTCTCACCAGTGAGCAGTTCTCCTTTCACACGGCCGATCTCACGCTGCCGGCGCGGGAGATCCGGGAGAAATCTGTTTTTTTTGCCTTCCTTCTGATGGATTTCGAATCTCCGGTGAAATGGTTTTTATGAATGGTTTTTATGAATGGTAAATGAATGGTAAATGAACAAAAATGGTGGTTGTGATAAATCTTTGTGTTGAGTATGATATAGCTGGATATACACTTGGGGTATTCATACATCATACAGTACATCATTCAGACATAGGTTTGGGGTTGGGCTGGCTATGTGCTTGCAACCTGCCGGAATCAATTCATGATGGTGTGAAATCTGCCAGTGCTGGTTTGATATTTCGCACAAAAATCCTTTTGCAAGACTTATTCCAACGGTGAAATATGGGTCCTATGGTTATATCCAGAGTTTGGTATAGTATAACATTCCAATTAGCCCAATTCAAATGATGCATGCATACCACATTTAAGTCCGATTGCCATCCATTAAACTGCCATGCGTTTGGGAAACTGCAACCCAGCATTTGTAGATCATTTTCCTCAGGAAACTGTTGGTTTTCCACATCGATATTGATTTACTGGAGGGCATATCCATTTATATCCCTTACATACTGACCTTCGACAGCTGGACGATCCATATAAATGTACATGCCAAACAAATAATCGATATTTTTGTGGCCCCTTTGAATGATGTTTGAGCAGCCCAATTTATATCCAATGTATATCTAGATAATTTATACCAGAGACGAATGTATATCATGTATCCCCGAAAAAAGATCACATACTTCCCATGGTTTCCCCATGGTTTTCCCCGTGGTTTTCCCATCCGAATTTCCGTCCCATCGATGGTCAAAAAATCGCCCCAGGCACCACAGGTGTTGGCGCTGGATTCCGCGCCGGTGGAAGTGGCCGGAGCTTCTCAGGCCTAGTTTTTGGGTGATTGGACAGTAACCATCCAACTACCCAATTTTTAGTCCAACTATCAATCCAACTATGATTGGTCCATTTTTAGTAACCAACCGAACTATTGGGGTACCCAATTACTTGACCCATAGCCTCATGATTTTGGATGATTGAAGATGGTTATATTACCCACGATGAACTACTTTATGTGCAGGTGTAATGTGATATCGAATGAGAATATTAATATTGACATGTTTTTGGGGGATATATCAATTGATATCCACCTATTCAACATCTATATAAACGTTTTCCTTTTATGAAAATTGTCACAAAGCCATGTTTTTCCCACGGAAACCCTGGATCTTCTCAGGGTGCTGTGCCTCTACTTCTTCGGTGGCCTTATCCGCAGGAGCTTCTGCAGCCATCCTGGAGTCATCTTGCAACTATTGGGATTTCCAATTGAACAAATGGAGCTTTAATGGGAGATTACTATGGGATATAATGGGATATTGTCTAGCCAACTATATCTTAGTTTTTTTTTGAGTGTTTTTTTGTACAGTATGTGTCTGAAAATGGGGGATCCAACACCCCAGAGAAGGGTTAGAGTGACCTCCGACTGGAAAGCGGTGAGAAACCTCAGATCCAGGAGCTTTCCAGCCAGCTGGTCCTACAATACCGTCGCCTACCTACAGAAATGGTCATGGCACCAACAGCTGCTGAGTTTTCTCACGTGTCTGAGTATGATTCAGTGATGTGTTGCACAGATTCCAAGACTCTGCAGCACTTGGATCTTTGTCCAATCAACATTTTCCAGGTTCAGCGATGCCAGTACAACCAGGACGTGGTCGATATCAGGAGGGGCAGCCCCATCTGGTGGATATGGCTGTCCCTGAACTGGTTTCAGGAGCCTTCTGCATTTTTGGACACGAAATCACATTTGGCGAGAGAAGGGACCTCTCGAAATCTTCAGCATGCCACTTGATAATATTTGATATCCATGTTGAAATCTTGGCTTTCCTCTGAATTTTCAATCTTGAACCAATCCATAGAATCCGGGCAGAATTTGGTCAGGTGTTGATGTGGAACTGCATCCATCCCAGCGCTTGTGTTCAAGCACAGTTGAGGCCATGGGAGTTGCAGCCATCTGGCCGTGGATGTTCATCCCCTGGATTTTATCCCAGTGATTTCCAGCCACTTTTCCAGCCACTTTTCCACTCTTCGTCAGGTCCGTGGATGATGAGCCAATGCAGCTCAGAGTCCTCCGACTGAATCTACAGGATTGCACAGCGGTGCAGCTGCGGGTTGTGTTGCCCCGAGGTCGCTGCCCCAGGAACCGAAGCTTTCGGTTGCAACAGGTCGAGATCTTCCTTTTGGAATCGCCCCCCCATTTTCAGTCGGATTGGAATGCTGGGGAAACTGAATAGTTCCACCGTTCCACCCCATGCCTCCCATCCGCATCATCTGAAGGGGTTCGAACGGTTCGAGGTTCCGGCAGTACGGCCTCACCACCTTCGGCCTGGTTCTGTCCACAACCACCATCCAGGTGTGGATGGCAATGGATGGCAATCGATGGTAAACCATCAAACTATGGCTGGCTTTTTGTTTTTCACTAACATTAGTGGATAGTTCAGTGAATGGTAGTGACTGGTAGTGGAAATGGTGGGAAAGTTGGAACCAATAGCTGGTGGATGAGAAGGATGAGAAGGATGAAAATCAGGTCCAGCTGACTTTTCAGCTTGACGAGGATGTCAGGATGCCTGAGAAGATTCGACAGGACCTCTCTGTGAACCTGGCCTGCCCCAAATGTTCCAAATGGAGTGTGAAGGAAAAACATCGATTTTATTCGATTTTCATCAAATCTCTAAGCTCCAAAACAAGTCTGTCATTTCAGCTCACTTCATCTTGCAACTCTCCATATCTCGAAGGCCTCAAGGCATGAAGCTGCCGTGTTCTCAGCAATATCGGACTGGTGGCCATTGAAGTCACATCAGCATTTTCAATTGATATAGAAATTTCAGAAATCTTCATAGAAATACAGTTTATGAGGATGATTTGTTAAAATTTTGCGCAGTTTTGAGAGGTTTTTTGAACATGCTTGGCAGTGGCCGTTTTGGATCTCTATCTCCGCCACGTCGGGAATAAGGCGATTGGCCGTGGATGGAAGCGGTGGTGGAATCAAGGCTTTGATGTCTTGGGTCGGGGACCTCAACCACAGTCCAGCTGATTTGTGCATTTTTTGGATGAACATCTGGATGTTAGTTAAGATTAAATTAAGATAAGATGGGTTGGATGGATCTGATTTGGATGACTTGGATTGGTTCTCAGACCGACTCGATCTTCCAGTTCGGTGTTCCTTTCCAGTTCGGTATGGGTCAACAACAGGCTACCAACGTGGACCCCGAAAGTCATTATCTTTGGTATTCAACAATCCCATTCCATGATATTTCCATGAACTCCTGATATTGGAACTAAATGAAACCCATGAAATTCCATGATATTTCCATGATATTTCCATGAAACCCATGAAATATATGGATGATTGGATCATGGACCCAGGACGAACCCATTCCATCCCATCAGGAGCAATTTCGAGCTCCGCGTCATGCGGAGGAACTCGGTGCTGCCGGTGGCTTAAGAAAAATATGGGGAATTTGAGGATTGACAGAACCGGAATGTGGGATTTGATGCTTCAAGGTGCTTGAAATATATGTATATAGATATATTATTCAACTATTCGTAGTCTTTTATTTGAGAAGATTCTAATAAGCTGTCAATCTGTCACTTTGTGTTGAAGAAACGAGATGTTTTACTCCGGCTGTTCATTTTCTCCCTCTGAGGTGGCCTGTGCCGTTCAGCACGACTTTGATCGGGGGAATGGGCCTTGTGCCACTCGATTTCAGGCGAGGTTTCAGTTATCAGAAGCGTTGACCATCGACACATGAGATATCGATTTGGGTATGGGTCAAATCATTGGCATTGGGTACCCCAATCATTGGATGGGTACTAAAAATGGACTTGAATCTATCGTTTTTCGGGTGTTCAATTTTGCCCCATACCTATTTCAATCCATTTGATGAATCAAGTAATTTTATCCCATTTTGGATCAAACAAATCAAACAAACATCATGAATCATTAAACTATATGGATGGTGTTTTTATCCATACATGAGCAGATTTGCAGAACTGACCATGGTCCCATGGAGGTTCGTCTGAGGATGGAAGGACAGATTTGGGAAGAACTGCAGCCGCAGTTGTTGCCACGTCCAAGGCGCCGGCTGTTTGTCCAAACGTCAATCTTCCGTTGTGGGAAAACTCTTGATGATTTCTCCGGGGTTTCTTTTGAATCAACTTTAAATACATCTTGATTTATTTGAATCAGTTTTTTCCTTATTTAGTTAATTCGCTTTGGTTTTTATTCGTAGTTGTGGCCCTTTTTATGGGAGAATTTCACTTTTTGGGTCACCCACCTGTTGCATTCTGGTTGAACTTCTCCATGTTGAAGTGACCTTGACAGGAAAGATGTGACTCAGCAGAGAGAGGTCCTTCCGCTCAATTCCTGTTGCAGATTTTTTAGAGTAATCGAAATGTTGGGGGATTCAAAATCCTATGGTGAACATGGGTAAATCGAATTTCATTGATGAATCCATCCAAAATTGCTGCTCCATCCATAGGTTCATGGATCGAATCCCATGACTTTGAGCTGGAGATGATCTGTGTCCCGATTGGCTGCTGAAAACCAAAGTGGTGCACGATCCTATGATGACAGGTTTATCCCGCGAAAGGAGGTTCTTTGACTGTTTGGCCATGAAATATCATGAAGCATCCCACAACAAATTGGTAATTCCAATCAATAGTTCCGTTCTTTCACAACTGAAAAAATAGATACCCTTCCCCAAATCAACATAGACCCTGAAATAGATAAAACATGATAAAGCTTGAGTGGAAACTCATCTTCCAACCCTATTTGGCAGGGTCTATGTTCAAAAACCCTGCGGTGAGTTTGACGACCCAACGTCGCAGGCCGAGTCCTACGAATGGAGCTTGCAGGATCCGCGCTTGGCCACTTTGGGACAGCTGGAGGCAAAACGAATCCCGCTATGCCATGAAATATATTTCTACATGGGACCTTAAATCGGTGAGTTATTAGGGGGAAGGGATTATGTACTGATATGTTTTTTTTTGATATAACCATAGTCATTTCTGGGTATGAATGAAACTTGAGTTTTGAGACGTGAAAAGGATTCAAATCCCACCATGGTCTCACAATTTCTCCATGTTTTTTTTTGGAAGTTTTGTTGGGTCTGCTGTGGCAGGTGCAAATGCGCCATGGAAATGCCATTTTGTGGTCCAGCCTTAGCCTGAGCAAAACTGACTCGTGCAGATGACCCAGGTCAAAACTTCGGGTGTTCACATGCTCAGACGAGTTCATTTGATGATTCAAAGCTATGCCAATACCGGGGTTTTCATCTCCTTTTTGGGGGATGTATGGAAAAAATGCTGTTGGTCATCCCCCCCACAAAGCCCGCAAAACTCATTCACCCCCCCCACAACCACTGAGGTTGGTCGGAGAGTAGCCGCCTATCGGTGGGGCTGGAAGCGCCACGACCGGTAGGGGCGCTTCTCTTAGAGGACATGACCACGTAGAAAAGATGGAATATATTGAAAAACAATTGAACGCATAGATATGGGTTGTTCATATACGATAGCTTGTGTTTCCTAGTGTGCTTGATGGATGATATACACCATCATGATATTATGGAATGTGTACTAATACATGTTATTGTTATGAAAAAATCAATTGTGGAACTCATTGTACAATGACATATTTATTCATATATCATGGAACTATAGTGACAAGTATTCATCATTCGTTTATCGTCATTATTCAAACAATGTGTTTCAAGTTGTTGATTCTCATGAGCTCTTGGAAGGTTCCAAGTTGCAGTGCGGTGTGAATCGCTCACAGCACCAGGAAGTGACACCCTACTGCGTGAGTTTGTGTTGGCCTCCCTTCGCGTCCTCCGCGCAGCTGCCACTGGACTGGAACCGTTGCTATGCCTGGGCATGGCAGGATAGTCATGGATATGTAATACTCATGGATAGTCTAGTGATTCAGTTATAGTTATTATCATGAACAACATTCATGAACACTAATGATGAGATAATGGAAGAGATTCTCCACCCCATGACTTTGAGTGTATTCCGTATGTTTTATCCATGTTGTTATCCTTTTCACACCCTTTTTGACAGCCACGGGGTGTCCATTCCTGGCTGTCGTTTGGCCAGGAGTATCGCGTGCAGTGCAGGGAGAGCGACAACGACAGAGAGTTGGCGTGGCATACCGTCGGCGTCTTGGAGGCTGGGAAGATCTGAAACTGTCCTTTCTGCCAGGTGTGAATGGATGGGTTTTAGGAATATACCACACATATCTACAGAAATATCTACAGGACATATCGGACATATCTACAGGAGACCATGGAACGCATGGCTTTTACTTCCAAATTTCTGGGTTTCCTGTGAACACTTTTTGTGAGAAGGTTCAATGAGATTCGACGCGACGATCACGGTTGACCTTTTTGGAAGATCTGATTCTTTGCTGTCACAGAAATTGGTCTATTCACACCGGTTCCACATGATGCCCTGGTCATGGCATTTCTTGCAGGCCACAGGCGAGTCTGACGCCTTTTTGTTGCTTGGATTCAATCAGTCTTGAAGGAAAACCATGGATTTTTGATGATTTTTGTTTCCTGATATCCTTGGTTAACCTTAGTACTCTGTTTCAGCACCTCGCAAAAGCTATGCAACGACTCGGAGTCTGAATCTCATGGCGTATCTCGGGAATGGTCTTGGGCTGAGGCGTCACAAATTGAAGTTCCTGAGACCTGAGAAATCCTACCAGTTCGCCATCGAATGCCGCTGCTTGGCTCTGTTGGTTCTTTTTGGCTGCTTGTAGAACATCTTTCCCAACACTGGTGATAGAAAGTGGGGGGGCCGCCCTCACGTCTTCTCCAACACTGAAAAATTCCACTATCTTAAAGAACCAGACTCAGACATTCATATTTTAATGACGAGAAATCGATTTCACATCCCTCCACAACATGCTTCAACAATGGCAAATCCAGCAGCCCACGTCTGAGGGTACCAAAGTCTACCAGCAGTACCGGGGCGTTTGGAGACGACCCAAATTCAATTGGGTCCCAGGCAATTTCCAAATTCAAGCGGCGCTTGAGGAACGCACTGCTTCGGCTGCTGATGTGCAATTTTCATCAATTTTCCAATTTCCAATCTTGTATGGTTAAAGAAGGGTTGCATAATTTCCATTGGTGAAACCATGGTGTTTCCAGCGTTTTGAGAGCAATTTTTGCGTAGGACGGTCGACACAAACCCATGAAGGGCGCAGGTACAACATGGTAAAACATGGTAAAACACTGTTTCCACAGAAACATGTGCGAAACATGTCCATTTTAGATGAAGCTGGATTCCTGGTGATTCCCGGGACATTTGTGACATAGAAACGACATTGGCTTGGAGCCTCGGTCCACAAAGTTCGGCTGGGGTTTGAGTGCAAAAAGCCACTCGGGCCAGCGTCTCACCGTATTTCGAACGCCACCTGTACAAGATGTGTGGGAGGCGGAGGCAAATCAGGCAGGAAAAAAGAAAAAGAGATAGATGCCAATAAGACTCACCAAGACTCACCCAACTTCACAGACTTCAAGGGACATTTTACAGGACACTCCGATATTTCATAGTTCAAACATGTTAAAACTCTTAAAACTATGGTTTCCTGCAGATTCTCCCCTCCAACCGACCCAACTAAACAAACTCAGCTGCCGTTTTCACCATGGTCTGCTGTCCCCAGCAAATTCTGGTTCAGCTTGTTCATGGCGACTTGGTGTCTTGATGCAACAGTTGAAACCAAATTTGGGGTGCTAAAATCGTTGAAATCAACAACTCTTTCCATTTGCATCAGCTGCATAAGCCACTGGTTTTGTTGACTGCAACTCTTCATTCTGACGGCCGTGGAAGAATGTGGTGATGGCAGAACCAAGTGAGGCTCGTTCAAACCTGATGCATTTGGTCTTGTGATCATTGTTCCAAATGCTGACAATCATTATCACTGTATCACTCCCACAATTAAATTGGACCCCAAAAAAGACAGATCAGATCCACATTCCATCCAGATTCCCCCAGCTGTGTGCAGGATCTCAGCCAAGAGGCAAGGCTCAAGGGATGAAGGGATGAAGGGATGATCTCTGGATGCTGAACTGTTCAACAGTTCTTCACCGTGATTCACCGTGATTCAGCAAGTTGCAGTGGTTTTGTTTGCAGAGTTCAAGATGTTCAAGTTCTGCAGGATATCCTAGCGGAGAATGCGAGCCTCAGGTGCGGCCTGTCCGAAGAGAAGTTGCTGTCACATCAAGAAAAAAAACAGCGACACACAGCTAAACTCTGTGCAGGTTTTGGTCAACAAGCTTTGAATATCGGATTCTGTTAGCACATTTTTCCCCCTACAAGAACATCCGATAACATCTCAGTTTCGCTCTGTGCAAAGCGCAGGAAACAATTGGCTGACGCACAACATCGGCCGATGGCTCAGTACCAGGCCATGACGCATGTGCACCTCATATGCACAGCTGCCATGGGCCGAGGCTTCAGAACTTGAACGAACAGTACTTGGAGGAGGTGTCCTACTGGAGGCCTGGCCAGAACGGATTTCTCCCAGGATTGGACAATTGAGGATTGGAGTTTTTTTATCGTTTTTCTTTTAGGACTTCCATCATTTCCCCGTTGAAATGCAGATTTCTCAATGGTTCAGGCATGATGTTGGAGGTTTAATCTACTTCACCATGTTTAACGAACGGGACTCTGATAAAATGGTTCCAAGTCGATCCAAGTTGAGTGTTTTCCAAAAAGGAACCCCAAAACCATCTGGTAAAAAACTGCCCAAAATTTTTGGATGAAACAGTCCCAACAATGTTTTTGGATGAAACAGTTCCAACATGTTCCAACATCATCTCATTTTTAGGCCGAAATCTCCCTGTATCTCTGGAGTTCCCAGGTCGCGCGCCCTGGAACTGAAGTTGGAACTGGCCCTTGCCGAGCGCAGCAGCGGAACCGCCGACGCCCATGGGCCGAACGGAAATCATCGGCCCAGCGATGGACGCGATGGACGTGTCCAGGACCGGAATTCAATGTCTAGATGTTTTTTCCAACTGATAGAAGCTGTGTCCATTGAAGATAGAGATTTCAAAACATGATTTCACTGGATAATCCAATTTCCATGTAGTCTAGCTTTGTTTTGGTTCATTCATGCGGACGAATGCCCAGTCTTGTCATTCTGTTATCATCATGTCATCATCATGTCAACAGCATAGTGAGCAGTTTGCAATGTTCGCGTGTGGGAGCAGTAGAGGAGAGTAACATTTCCGGAACATGTAAATTCACCGGTGAAGGACTTGGAGTTCTCCCCTGGGGTTTTTGCCAGAGTTTGCTGCAGCAATGGGACCTTTTGATACATTTTGATACCATTCTAGACTCCAGACAGAAAGGCTCTGTAATTCGGAGATTTCGTAGATTGATGACTTTTCGGGAAAGAACATGATGAGGATTGCAACTCGAGGTTTGTTTGCAATTTTGCGGCGACATGTTTGCCAGGAACTGCAGGTGCGGCCAGAGGAAGTCGAGAAGAAATTAGAGGACTTGATTTTGATTGGAACAAATTAACAAATTGCAACTCAATTTTGGCACATCAAGGGCCGTGGCTTTCAAATGCTGCTGCTTTCAGTTGAATCAGCCAATCAGATTTGATCTATACCAGGAATCTACCAGTACTTCAAATCAAACAATTCATCAGGACATGGACGGCTGTGAGTCTGTTGGTTCGACAAATGTCGAGGATTTGCTCGCTCGAAAGCGGGAGACTGAAACCAGACTCGTCCAGACCTCTGACCTCGACCTGGGACGTGCCGATGGCATCACACTGGACCAGTAGTTGCAACGAAAAAAAACAGTTGGCAAATCCTGGAGGTTGTGACAAAACTGGGTGGGCAGCAGTTTCCTGGTTTCTACTGACATTTCACTCGACATGAAACCAGAGTGTTTCTTCAAAACAGAGCATGAAGTATTGGGAAACGAGATGAACCGAGCAAAGAAGACAAGGGATTTTTGAAAACACGAAAGAACCTCCAACATGTTTCGAGACTTACCCATCAATAAATGGACAATCCACCCATCTTTTTCTTGGAAAATCATGAGTGGATCATCCTGATGGCCATGATGAGTCATGATGAGTCATGAGCTTCAAGTCTCCCAGAAATCCATAGAAATCCATAGAAATCCGAGGCCAAAGGATTGGAGTTGTCTGCAGAACTCCAACGACAGATGTGCCAACAGGACCCGGACTTCACACATCGAACGGGGTTCACGGGGATCACTTGTGCTGTGCGTAGCTTACCTTCTGGATCCTTGATGATAATTTAACATATGGAAAATCACCATGTTCAAGAGGTAAATCATCTATCATGGGCCATTTTCAATAGCTATGTTCAATTACTAGAGGGTAAATGATCTTAATATGTTTTTGTTGATCCTCTAGTCCATTGGTCCTATCCCGATCCTCTCAACGTGTGCTCTGAGTAAACTTTAGGAGTCTTGTGACACTGTGAGGTGGATCTGCTTCATGAATCCGTGCTGTTTAGCAAAGCTGACTTTACTGGCAGTTTCAAGAGCCATTTACTGGTTTTTGGATGATGACACCACTAGACCACACCACATTTTCTCCAACTCTTTGTGATGACACCAGATTTTCCAACATCGACTGTAAAAAAGGCTGTGAGCCTACTGACTCGAGATGGGGCTGGGCCCACAGATACCTTTGTGTCTCTCGGCGATGAAGCGGGATCCCCCAAGTTTCGGCACTTTTTTAAGGGAAAATCATGGTTTAATCAGTTTAATCCATTGGATTTTGGAGTATTCCATTGTCAGATTCAGATGTTGCCGGAGATCGGTTGATCGGTTTTGTTGCATACACCCGACCCATTCCCCGGAAGGCCTATCGGTATCATTAATTGGTTCAGAAGAAACATTTTTTTTTCTAAAAACCAATCATACCAATCAACACATGCTGACTTTTTTTTGCTCCAATGTTGTACAGGTGTATGTGGGTATTTGAAAAATGGATATTGATATAAGATATGTGCATATGGATATATATATATATACATATATATATTGTATATATATATATACTGAATCTTTCACAAAAAATAGGTTTTTTAAGTGAACCATGAATTCCATAAATTTTCAACATCACATGGTGAAAGCGGCCCAGGAACTTCCTGGACCAGGCAGATCAGGCGACCCTTCGCTGGGTCCAGCAGCAGATCGAAACGCGCTGGAAAGATCTGGTGTCCTGGCCGTGGTTACCAGGTGGTTCCCAGGTGGTTCCCAGGTGGTGGCAGAGAACCCAAGAAATCCCTAAGAAATCCCCTATGAATCTGTTGTTATTGAAGAATCTATGTTGTGTGGCTGTTTTTTTTGTTGAACACTTTTTGGGATATTTTGAGTAAATACTTGTATAGATGGACGATCTATGATGTTAACACATGTCCATATAGAAGCACTATTGACACTATTGACATATCTATAGTTGTTGGATTCGTTGGATATTGTATAGAGAATAGTATTACGACAGATTTCCAGGAATGATCTATTCAGATCAATGGATCTACAATTCTTAGGCTGCACCCGAACTAAGGCCACATTTCTCTCCATGCCCGAAACAATGCAGATTCATTTTGAGTGGTTTCCTCTGGTTGTACAACCTTTTGGTATCGCCTCAAACCTTCAATTTTGCAATCTTGAGGACTATTATATATATATAAATATATTTATCCATATAGCTGCTATTAGCTGCTCACATATCCCCTCTTATCCTTTTAAAAACTTCAGTTTCTCCCAGGATTGTAATCTTTCCCCATGGCAATGGCCATCTCGCTGAGGCGCCCAAGGGGAGTGGGAAGACGGACGCACGCTTCAAGAAGAAAAACCTCGCGGCTCGCGGGAGCTGACGGAGCTGAGGGCTGGGAACAAGTGAAAGTGTTTTCTTTGCCATTTGACTCGGTCTGAATGGACATTTTTGGGGCTTGATTTTTGGGAAAGTAGACAATTTTGGGGATGTTGGGGCTGTTTTCAGCACAGTCGCACCAGCCGAATGTGGATGGACGGTGGCTCAAGGAGTATTTCCTCCTTGCAAAGTTTCAGGAAAGGGAAGTCAACCGCAGGCGATGAAACGAATGGGGTGATCAAACACATGTTTCAGCATTATGCGGCAGTGATTATTGGTGTGAAAACTACCTACATTGGTGAAAGATACATGCGAGATACATGAAGCATGTATGAACCATACATCACCACTATGACTCATGACCAATCCTGTAAAGTCTGGTATGTTTTTTCATTATTTTGCAGGATGTTGCACCACATTTTGCACCCGGAAGATCAGAGTTCCTGTTGGAGCCATGGCAGCGGTGCCATGGAATATCATCGGCCTATGCGTACTCTCCTACACCATGGTACACATCTCGGTGCAGGTGCGAAAGATTTCTCAAGGGACATACAAATGTGATGACATATATATATATATAGATGTACATCTATACATCTATACATGAATATATGTATATATACACATATACACACATTTTATGTACATACATATTCTATGACATGACATATATCTATCTATATGTACATGAATCTATCTACATGAGAATATCATTTCTCGCTGCCCAGATCATCACCTGCTCCTTGCCGTGCCTAAAACACGACACCAGCTTTGAGGTGCGCGGAGAATCGCCGCCCTTTGGGATGTGTCCGTTTGGAACCAATCCCAAATGGTACCAGAATTGTCCATATATTCAATATTGATTCAACAAATGGTACCATAATAAAGATATCACTGGGATATATTGATATATATATATATTGGTGATATACCAGATATTTCCCAAACTTAGAGTTTGCTAAGCCCAAAAAAAGTTCCCATTTATGCCATGTCCAGGAACCTTGGAGCACCACTGACTGCGGACGAGTCATTGGACCGCGACCGATGACGTTGGTGTGGCAAAAGACCGCGCTTTCAGAGTAGATTTTGAATGTAAATGTGTATAAAATGTATATATATATACATATTATAGGTACATATATCTATATATACACGTGCATAATTAAATTACACATATGTATATTGATGTGTACGTATGATGTGTATCTACAGACCGGTGAATCGCAACAACCTCCAAAAACGACATCACGATGATAAATGATGGAGAACCACAGTTTTTTTCCATTTTTGTGAAGTATGATAATTTAACCAGCTAGATGACCACAAGTGTTTCCCAGAATTCTTTGGGAAAACCAGCAAAACCCAGCAGGAAACGAAAAACTTATATTCTTTTTTTAGCACTGAAGAAGAATTAGAATATTTCTCTGTAGATTTTTCGATTTTCCCATGTGGCCAATGCCACAAAGCCTGACCGCAGGATTCGCTTCCTTAGCTGCTGCGCTGGGCTATGGAATCCAGGGCCCTGCCATTGACCGTCCGCACCTAAGAGGGGATCCGGTGGCCCGAAGGGCGAAGGGATCACAGGCTGAATCTCCGGAGTTTTTTGAAGTTTGATTTTCATTGAAAAAACTAGGAATCATATCTTTGTTGTTGTTTTTTCCCATAAGACTCAAATTTTATGTCATGTTTTTGGTTAAGATCATCTGATTTCAAGAATTGAAAGGCCCAGGGACACTTTGGAGGTTTCACATCCCGGTTAAGACCAGGAGTTTGCCAAAGACAAATCCTTAAATCAACCCATTGTGGCTTGTTTGAAACGGTATCCTGAGATTCACTTGCCTATAATATACATTAATGAATGTTACATATATATATATAGAGAGACATGATGCATGGCTGATGCATGCCCAACATCTCATGGATGCAATATACATATATATATATATGTTATTATACAGTGATATGTATGGGTATATCATAATATATTCAGACCAGCAGTCTCCAGGTTTGTCGACTTGGCCAGGATGGGGTGCCGTTTTTGGTCTCAGCATGGCACTGGGAGGATGTTGCTTTGGTGCCGGTTTAATGGCCACCTCCCAAACGCAGGCGCCGGGGAAACCATTGGGGCTTGGCTTAACCAAAAAGAACCGCCGAATTTCCCAAAGCAACATCTGTAGTTTGGTGCACAAACCATAATTCACATACAAAATGCTAACTTGACCTTGATCTTCGAAAACCAATCCAATGTTCAATCAATTGTCACTCTTAAATGAACATCTGTAAAGAACTTTCATCAATTTTCATCAGTTTTCACTATCAAATTTTCAGATTCAACTGCCACGGGTTTCACCTCTGGAGAGGCGCAGTTCATTGCGGGCGCTTCGGTCTTGCGCTTCAGCTATGCTGCAGGATGGCCAGCCGAGATGAAGGTTCCAAAGATGATCTGGGAAGATCAAAACAATGGATTTGTAGAAACTGTTGGTTGGTGAATGTCGGTTACCATCTAGATAGATAATTATTGAAATACATAATGATATAATTATATATAAAATGTGTATATATATACATACATTGAAACCAAATGTAACTAATTGTATTTATAGATGATCCACAAATGTAGCATGTCTATCATTTCCGCTGACAAACTGGTTACTATTCCTGATGCTTGTAGATTTTCTACCCTTCGTTTCTTCCTCCGACAGTAAGACATGACTGCCAAACACAAGCCAGAGACACTTTGATTTCTCATTTGGAAACTCTACCATCCATTTTTCCTATCCAATTGGAAAATAATAATGATGTTTAGTGAATCATTGGAACGTATTTATAGTGATAAATTTATGATATATATATATACATTATACATAGATCTATGTACGTAATAGAAGTAGATTTTGCGATCAAAATCTCTATCCATTTCTCCATAGGATTTCGCCATTTTTTCGATTTCGCCAGGCTCTGAAGCTGTTGGTCCCCGAGGAACATCAACCGATGGCCGTCTCCACCCTGGGCTTCGCCTCGCGCGGCGGCGCCATTTTGGGCATGTGCGTCTTCGGGGTGCGCCGCGGAACGAAGGGAAAACATCTCTTGAAAAATATGGTAAAACGTGAGGAAAACCATGTAGGATCAATGTTTTGGTAATTCTTAAGTTAGAGAAAAAGAACATGGATTTGTAGATTTGCAGTTTACAAAACAGCGTGCATGTCTAGTTGTGTCACCTACGACACCATGACAGAATGGTAAATGAGTGCATAGACCGACAACAGCGGCTTTGCAACATGTAACCACAAGAAGCATTGATCAACTCCCCCCAAATTGGTGACCTCAGAACCCTTTCAGGAACATTGTGGCATGTAAAACAGGTGAACATATCATATCTCATATCTTAAGAATAAAAGGAACATCGTTATTGGGTTCCCAGATTTTTGGATGTTTGAATTATCATGAAATATCCCATTGGGTCTGGATTTTTGGATGATGTTTGAAATATCCGTTGTAATCTCCAAATCTGAATCCGTTAAATCTGGGAGTTCTTCGTGGCTTTTTGTGGCTTTGCAGGTCCTGACGCAGAATGAGATTTTGACCTGGCGGGAGATCGCCATTCAGGTGCCAAGCAGTGCCAGCAATGCCAGAGATCATGAGTTGTCACAGCGCGGGTCAAGGTTGGATGACTTGCTGAATTGATTTAGAAACTTCCCCCGTTTTTGTGTCACTGTGAGTTAACCTCGCAGTTTTTGGCGGAAACTTCCAGAGTCTTGAATGCTTTTGATGTTTTCAAGGTTGGTAAAAGTGCAGTATCATTATGATTCTACAGATGAGGTCCAGTCAAGGTCCGGTCCATTTTGTGTGGAAAATCCATTTCTATCCGTTTCTTCTTTCTGATTCAAATTGATTTGACTCAATCAACAGCACGGGTTTGCCAAACATGACTTCTATGGCCTGCAGAGGCAGCCCTGATCTTGCTTGTGATTGGAGGCCGTTGTGAGCTTGTTCGCTGGCCAATATTATTAATATGTGGCTGTGTTTGGATTTTGGGCATTCCATTTTTGCACCCCCAAAATCCATCAAACTCCAATGTTTCTCATCTTTTTGCACATTTTCAATGGCAGATCAATTCGTTCATCATGGTTCATCACCTGAAGTCATCGCAGGTGGAGTGGTCGTCTTAGTGAGGCAACTGGTGAAAGCTGCCCCATCAGAGGCGCTCCATTTTTGGGATGGTTCCAGGATGAGAAGTCCCATTTTTGATATTTTTGATGCTGTACTTAGATGCCATTCTGCCCTGCAGGGCCGAGGCAAAGCACAACCATTCCTATCTTTGCTGCAGGACTTTTGCTCGGCCAGTCGCATTTTTCCCCAGCGAATTCGCACATATCACCAGAATCTGCAGAGAGATTGTGTCTCCCCACAAATCTTTCAGTTCACCAATTGGCATCGAACTCGTCAACCTGGGGTTGAGCTATCTGTTGAGAATGTTGAGAGGAGCCTGCAGTGTGGCTCCTGACCTTTGCCTTTGCATGTCTGTGTCACGTGCAGCACGCGGATGATTTCATGTCCGGATCCCTGAGATTGTCATGGATTGCTGTAGCCTCAGATGGATATGATGGATACCATACCGTACCACATACCTATCATATAACATTATAAGTATCATACAACATCATATCATACTAGATATCACATATCACATATATATCACATATATATCACATATATATCACATATATATCACATATATATATATATATCACACATATATCATCTTATCTTCAAATCTTCAAATCTTCAAACCACATCACCCAAACGATTCTAACCATTCCAAGGCCGCTGCTGTTTCATGGCCTCACTGGGTCGTCGCACAGTGTCACCTTCTCAGCCGTCTATCCAGGTGCTTTCGGTGTTGCTGGCGATTCTGTGGTGATTTTATCGATTTCTTTGGGGATAACGAGGATGAACACAATCTTGAGACACCAGATGAGATTGATGTTGTTGCATCTTGGAAGAATCGGAAAAGAATACCACGGACATCCGCCAAAAAACCATGAAGCCTTTGAAAATCCACACGAGAATCCATATGAAAGTCATGGCCACAGGCGGCGGAATTGCTGCCATGGTGCTGAACGCCTGGAAGGGGCATCTGTTGACGCGTCGACAACGGGAGCAGCTCTATGCCACTGGGTCAGCGTTTGGGAAAAAAATCAGACATGATTTCGATGATGCTTTGGATGATTTTTTAGGTGATTCTTTGGATGTTTTTTTTGCTAGCTGAATTGTTTGGATTATGATTCTTAGATTGTTTGGATGGTTACAACAGGTTACAACCAATCCGTAAATAAATTAAAATGTGGCTGATTAGATGGCTGGTGTTTTTCTGATGATTAAACCATGATGAAGCCGCCGAGGTAATCTAGTTTTTTAATGTATTTTTGGGGGTCGCATAGCTTGAAGGAGACCCATGTAACCCATGAATCATTTGGTTATAAGCCCAGTTGCTCAGCAGGAATCCAACTTTTGGAACAACCATGGGAGTACATTGGATGAAAGGAACATAGCTGTTGACGTTATTTTGGCGGTGTCAAAAAAAGAAACAAGTCAGGCTTCCCGGCACCATTGTGGACTTGGATGGTTTGGTTGCTTTTTTCCAAGAAATCAATGCCGGAGATGATTTTTTTCATGATTGTAACTGATATTGGATGACATTTATGAATATTTATGACACCTCAATCAGTAATCAGTACCTTCATTGATTTTGTGGGGTACCTGGCAGGCAGTGGGTACCTGGATAGATCATCTGAGGTCATAGCCTCCGCTGCCTCGGCGGGCTGCTTGGCAGTACTGCTACTGCTGCATCAGACCCAGGTGCGGCTGCGCCATGCTGCAGCCATCGAAACAATAAATCGAAGCATAGTCAGAAACAAACCACCAAACAAGAATCGAAGATCCGAAAATCATAGTAATGTATTGATATGTATTGATACAAACTAATATAGGATCATATATAGGTTTTAACAGGATGTGATGCTACCAGTGGTAAAGCTATACCGACAAAGTAGCCAATGTTAGCCGCCAGGAAGGACCTGACTCAAGCCCTCTGATGACTTGGCTCATTGCGATTATCCTGTGGCTTGGTATCCGAAGATCATCCCAGACATCCATAAAATGGATCTTTGAAACCAACGCCCCCAGTGGGTGAATTCGGATTCAAAAAAAAAAACCATCTTTTCTGGCACCAAGTTCCCAATGGTTCCAAGATGTTCCAAGGTTTATCGCAGCCTTCTGCTGCGCCATGCCATATTACCTGGTCCCCAACCTTTTTGCCTTCGATCTCATGGGCACTGAATGTCGGAAACTTAGAGGGCGCAGGTGGCAAAACCATGGGAAACACATGGGAAGAATCGTAAAAACGTGGGGAAGAAGACATCATTTGCCGAGATTTTTGATGTTTTGGACAGTTGAACCATGGTGGTCACCTACTTTTTCCAAAGGAAACTGGATGTTTTTCAGTTGACATTTCCATTTCGGCCTGAAGGTGCAACCCTCATTGCATTCTTCGAGTACCTTGGACGCAGATCTTTTTTCCAGTAAGGTATGGAAAACAACTGTGTTTTCATGGGTTTTCTCATGAAACGATGTTTCACTAATATATAATATAATCTAATATATAATATAATATGATATATATATATAATATTATATATATGCATGTATAATATATATACACACATACTTTCCACATCTTTTCCACATCTTTTTCTCCTTGATGTTTGGCAAATCATTTGCCGAAGAGATCGCAAATCGATCATCCAGGTGGACCTCGTTTTGCAGCAAAATGCCGGCGCATATGTCGTTGCCTCAGAGAAGTGAGCTGATTTTCAGGCCCTGGAACAGCTTGGAACAGCTTGGAACAGTCCCAAAGCTGATGCAAATGATAGACTGATAGACTCTGCTGGGGTTTCAATGATGTTTCAATCAAGAATGACCTACAATTAGTTGATAATTAGCCGAAAAATACCATCAATTACTAGCAGTTATCATCAATTACTCGTGATTTTCTCCAAGGTTCTCCTTGCACATGGCAGAGACCAGTTGGGACCTGGTTCTGTTACAGGCAACGGCAAGCGGAGTCCAGTTGGAAACTGGCTCCATGGGCTTCAACTGTTCTATAAATCGTATACTGTAAATGTTATAGATGTTATATACCTATCCATGTAACCACATATAAGCACCAAAATGATAGGAAGAAGTGTTGTATTATGCAAAAACAGAGGGTATCTAGTAAATGGATAAATGGTATACATGTTATATCGCCGCATATAAACACACGGAAGCACCAAAACGATAGAGCCAGTGTTGCAAAATATAATCCACTGTCTAGATTCGTTGGATTTTCTATTTCTTTAAATTTGGACATGGGGGTTTGTTAGAAAATGGGGTATGTACGTGTTGTAATGGCTTAGAATGGAACTATGCATGCTGCAATTGGTTGTTATGGTTTTCTCCAAAAATGAGGGTATTGTGGCCCAATTCGTTAGCAGGTTTGCTGGGGAACATGGTTTTCTACCCCATGAGATGGAATGGCATACCCTATTTTTCTTTCCCGAAGCCATGGATTTGATCAACGGGGGCAGATGACCATCACCATGTTCTTGGCGGCGGTGTCAATCCAAGCCTTACTCCCACGGTGAGCTCAGAGATGGCTGGTGGAATTTTCGTTGATGGATTTGCTCTCGAAACAAACACGTAAACAAAGAATATCTATCTCTAAAACTGATCTATCTACACATATATCATCATATATCTATAGTTATATATTAGTTATATATATATATATTTATATTATATATATTAATATTATCTATTTTTGTATTGAAATATAGATATGTGTTATGCTATTCAATAAGATCCGGGTCACGAATCTTTTGAATCTTGCCATCTCCAAAGGTGGCGCGCCCTTCAAAAACATCGGCGCCACGGTGGGATCTCACCCATGACCAACTCACCGGTGCTGAAAGCAGGCGATGGTTATCCAATGGTTGAAACCTCCGTTGATTCCAATGGTTATCCAATGGTTGATCCAATGGTTGATCCCATGGTTGATCATGATTTTCCGGAACTTGAGGTGAATTCTTCTGGTGAATTTCCCGGTTTTTGGGCTTGCTTCGGTAGAAAATGAACAGGAAACCATGGATTTTAAAATGACATATAGGGGTGACACCAGTGACAATTTGCCGTTAATTCCATTGAAATCTGCTGGTGGACAAACTGGCGGAAAATCCTGAGCTTTTAGACAATACTTTCGATCGCATTGTTTGAGGCGGTTCAGCAATTGTGATGACTCGAACTGATCTTGGCCCAAACAACCCACAGAATGTCGATGCATTTTCCGATATTTTCAAAGCTTCGGATGTGGAGTTCATGAAATTTACTCATTAACAACCCACGCTTATCCACACTTTCCCCTGTCGGATGTTTCGCCAGGATCGCCCATGAAAGGAGGTCGACTGGTCTCGGAGATCTCCTTGGAGGAAGCGGCCACGGATGACCACGTGGCGAGCTACACGGCCTTATCGAAACGTGGCAAGTGAGGCCCGCTGTTGGCCTTTATTGGCCATGGGACTATAGATGCTGTAGGACACAAACGGGAAATTCCGATGGGAATTTCCCTAGATTTTCTCAAATCAATCACTATTGGAGTTATTCAATCCATTTTTGTTGAACTTCTTGATCTTTATCCCAACTTCAGATGTTCACAGCGAAGGTTCTTCGTTTGCAATCTTTGTTCAAAGATGTGTTGAGAAGTTGGGATCAAGTTCGAGTGGTTGATGTTTGGGCATGGGCCAAGACCGAAACAGCACAGACTTTTGGATAGCGATTCAGCACAATTGGACCTACTACTCGTTATCTTCTCGTTTTTGTCTTTAAACGAAATCGTGAATCTCCGATAGAATGGCAATGTTTTGATGTTTTGACCCACAGCCACCTGTTTTTCTTCGTCCGGTCACATGTGGCACGATTTGAATGTGTCCTGTGACGCGGAACGACTGGCGATGGCAGAAAAGGTGCATGTCATGGCCAAACAGATGATACAGATGGAGACATGACATGTATCTATGTATATATATATATACAAATACAATATAAATTATACATATAAATTATGTATATATATAATATAAATTATATATATATAAATTATAATATATATATACATATTATTTATATATAAACCATATATATATAGTATAAATGATCTATACATATTATATATATATATGTATATTATATAGATTATATATATATTATATATATATATGTATCGCTAGGGGACTGACGTTTGCCCGAAATTGATAGTATTCTATGCGGGACTGCAAGCTGCTGTGTTGCTTCGGCGCGTGTTTTTTTGCACACGCAAACATGCAAAATTTTGATATTTTCTGCGTCTCTTCGCATTCTTGCGCTTACCTCCAAATCGCTTTTTGAACTATTTTAACACATATCATATTAATTATTTGCAATGTTTGGAGCCTCGGGCCTTCAACTCAAACCCTGAACTAATTGTAAAAATAAACCCTCCAAAAAAAGTGAATCGACCCTAAATCAACCCTAAATATGCAGTAAGCCTAAAGTTACTTATTCCCCCAATGAAACTTTGAATGAACGTCCGCCCCGGAGGGGTGTATATATATATATATCTATACACATATACACACATCGTAGTAAATCCGAATGCTTGTGATCTCTTGTGCACATACACAACCTCTCCTGCAAATCACAGGCACAATCACTGCCACGCATTCCCTGGCTGCCTGGCTGATTGAACCGATCCTTAACGTTTGTCTGAAGAGCCAACCGGGTGTGTCATATTGAGTTCGCACAGTTCAAGATAACATGCGTTAAAGACGGGCTTGTAAATCCCAAAACATGTGAGTAAAAGGTTCCATAGTGTAGATAATATGCTATATACATATATATCATATATGTGAATTTTCATATTTATCATGTGTATTTTCAGATGTAGATTCATATATGATTATGTAATTATATATATATAATATTCAACAGCATAATAATATACCTATGATATCCTATGATCATTGTGAAGTTTGGCGAATTGGCATCGCCAGCTTTCAGGAGCTCAAGCCAGAAGACGCAGATGTTCAAGGGCAAGAGCAAAATCCGCAAAGATTTCGAACGCATCCAATTTTGTCATAGTTGAATATACCCTCTGGTAAACTAACATAACTATGGAAAATCACCATTTTTAATGGGTAAATCAACTATAAATGCCTAGTCCTTTGCCTAGTCCTTTGCCCTTTTTTTCTTTCTTCGATTTGTGATTCTGACGGAGCCGCAGATCTACCACAGATCACAGATTTGCAACAAATCTACGCTACAGACGTTGGTTTGGACTTCTGAGTTCCAATTTCATGGCGCTACCGGCGGCGTCAGCCCCTCCGGGGCTCCTTTGTAGGCTGGACACCAAATTTGGAACCACAGACCTATGATCCAACAAGAATGGGGGGAATGGGGGTATGAAGAATGGGGTATAAAGTTTGGGTGGATTGGGCACTCCAAACCGCCAATCAGTTGGTGCCTCTCCAACAACCTTAACTCATCTGCTGGGCTCCTGGGCTCCGTTGTGTCGAGAATCATCCGTCCAGGCCCTTGTGCACGCGCAGTGCAACCAGTGCGACCCGCAAGGCCCCTGGTCGCGTCACCGTGGCTCGGCGCCGACATGGGGGACATAGGATATGTCGATGCCTTGAGGATTTTATGAGTTTTTTGAACAAAAAAAATCAATATCAAAAATTTAACAGAAATCCCAACATAAAATTTCCCTAAGTTAGAATTGGGATGTGAATCAACTGGATCTGTGAAAAGACGAGAATCTGTTGGGAAGTTTTAAAGAATTCCAGTTGGATCCAACCGAATCCAACCATTTTCGACCCGATTCGACCCTTTTCACTGAGGCCACCGTTGCTTTGGTGTCGGCTTTGTCTGGGAGAACTGGGAGGTGAGAACCTACACACACACATACCTCTCTACCTACCTACCTACCTATCTATCTATCTATCAATCAATCTATCTCCATGAAGATATAGAGAGTATACTCATGTATACTCAATATTTAATTCTAGATGACATGCATCTGTATGGTGGAAGTTGCTCTGAACTCCACTTTGCTGGTTGCAGCCAATTCTTCAGTTTTTCATCATGCTATCCACGGTTTTTTTCCAGGCTGCTGAACCTTGGGCGTCGAGCAAGCGTGAGCACCTATCGCAAGCGGGAGGTGCTGCAAAGAGACGGCTGAGACTGAGATTCAGAGGGAAAAACAAGTTCTTTTTCAGGTATCAATATCGATATTGTCAACAATTATCAAACAATGATCGATGTATTTATTGTTTGAAAAACTAGAGTTTTTTCGATGAACGACTCGAGAAGGACGTGTTTTGGGATGTAGGAGAAGCGCGAGCAACGGCGACGTTGGCTCGAAGACATGGAGCGGCCGGAGGAGGAGACTGAGGCATTGGATGAGAGGGTGACAGCATTGGATGGAGATATCTGGGGATCTGCTAACTATGAGGGATGGGGTTAAATCGGTTAAATATGGGATGTGTGAATATGGTTTAACATGGTTTAACATGGTGACTAATGGTGACTAGTGGGATATTTTGTGGGGATGTTTCATGGGATAATGTGAAAGTTTGACAGAAGTGGTTTCATGGTGACATGATGCGGATACACCTGGGATATACTTGGGTATTTGATGGGGATATTCAATGAGGATATGTCATGAGCTTTGTGTTCCCCAACAGTGTCATTCAACAGTGGGGATGATAATGCACCATGGATGGAATGGGCTACCCGGCTACCCCATTATTTCAGACCGACCCATGTGGCTTGATCAAAGTTGGATCAAACATGACTTCAGGTTGGCATCGGTAAAATGAAGCAAATTACAGCAAATCTTCAGGTTTGGCCCATGGCAGGGCTTGTTTGAATGACCTGTTCGGGATGACGGCTTGGGGTCATTTGGGGTCCCTTTTTCAGGAAAACCGCAGAAACACCCATATGTGCCATATGTGCCATGGTCAAAAGCTAGATTACTCATATTGGGAGATAGTCATCAATCCAGTCTCAGAGGGGTTTATAGGTATATAATAGATTTTCTAAATATCTAATACCTGTTATGTAGGTAATCCCTAATGAAAAAAAGTGGGATATTCCGATATTTCCATTATTCATAGCATGGATATTCCCATATTCCCAATAGCTAGTGGGAATGGTGGGATATTCCTGTTCTATGGATGACGCTCCCCCATTCATCCCACGTTCTCGCAGAAAGTGGAAGTGCCTAGTGGTGCCGCTCCCGTTTTCGCAGCTGCTGCTGAGGAGGACCGATTTGGGCCTTAGGATTGCCACCCGGTCACAGATGGCATCCGCGATAAATGGTGTGTTTTCATGGGAAAATCATCTGCAAATAGGGGATTTTCCATTGCCATGTTTGATTACCACAGGGTATGCATGATGTTTTTTCTTTGGGCTCAATCAGTGACAATCATTTTCATAGGCGCCCAAAAGAAATATAGTTCAGTTGAAGCTGATAGAAAACATCGAGCACATTGAGATGGTGCAGCTGTTGCAGCTTCCGGAAGCCATTTGTGAAATGGTCAAACTCTAAAAGTCAGGTGACATTTTTTTCCTTCCAATTTTTGCCATTTCTAGCATTGCAAAGTTTGACCTAAAGGAAATCTCCGTTTTTATAGATCTTGGGGATGAGGACTCTGGTGGAACATCATCCAGAACCCAACCGGAGCCACTGAACTGGGGTCGCTCCCTCTACGTTTGTTTTGCCTTGTCGCTTTTCTACGTTGTCGCTGTTGTGCGTGGGGTTGGCCGATTGACCTTTCAGCTCGTCGAAAAACACTGAGAGAGAACATTCCATTCATTACATTCTCATTTTATTCCTATTTTTTTGCTATTCAAGTTCCTTTCCAACATTTTTTCCAACTTTCGGATGTTTCAGGGCCGTTCAAAACAGATGTCTTCACCGGGGGCCTTCCGGGGAAGACCATGGCAGATGATCCCGGCCTCAATGTCTTGGAGAGAGCGAGACTAGCTGCAGAGGCCTGGTGGAAAATCAATGGCTGCTGGTTGATGGATCATTTCTGGATAATTTCTGGATAATTTCTGAATAATCATGGATCATCCATCATAATGAGATCATAATGAGATCATATTAACATCTAATAACAATGATAATAATAATCGTCCATCCCACACATCCACCTTTTTTCATGGCAACACACGATCAGCATTGTCATACCCCAAGCCCAACCAGTCAGCGGAGGATTGGGGCGAATGGGACGAATCCGGCTGGTCCACGGATCCAGCTGCCAGCTATGGCACGGACGAGGTGATTCCCCTCCCTCGGATCTTCAAAAGGAGGCCTGGGGATCCTGGGGTGGAATCTCTCTGGAATCGATGGATCTGATGATTGATGGGGTCTGGTGACTTCAAGCACCAAAAACCTGGTTGAAACGGGAAATGATGAACCAGTTGAATTTGAGGCACAATTTTTAGAGAAGCCTACGGTAGGCAGCCTACGTGAATGAAACGAATGGGATAGGAACACCACCATACACCAGAAATCGTGAGGCTTTCCGTTGCCAGCGAACTCACCTACCCTGATACACCTACGAATTTGCATGGGTAATCATGCAACGCACCCTTCATTATTGGTTGACAGCTTGATCATATTTGATCATGGAAAGGCTGTCGGAATTTGGGATTCACAATAGTCCGAAGATGTCCGAAGAATCTTTGACGTTGATCATTATCTTTTTTGACTTGCTGTTCTGTGGTTTTGCAAAGATCATTTCCGAAGTTATCGAAATACCAAAGTCATTCCAGGATCTTCCATTTTTTTTGGTCCTCCCCGTCCCCAAAAACTGGTGATTTTCCCAGATGGTCCCAGATCCTAGGCGGGGAGAAGCTGAGGCCCCCAAGGCGATCAAGGCCCAACATGTGCTGAGAATCATGACATCATGAAAGGTTTTTATCGTTTTATGTAAGTCGTATAAAATTTATTTGAACAACAGATGACACACACACATATATATATATATATATATTATATTAATATACATACAGTTAATTATATACATGCTTGCCACAAAAGATTGTTTTTCAGCCCAAAAAAGTAGCAATGTGATCAGTGTGTCCACCACTCGCCAGAACTTTATCGAACTTCACCAACTTGGACTTCGCAAACTGCCCAAGTGCCTGGGCGACGGCTGATATGTTCATATGCATGACATACACGACATACACGACACACACACACACAAATCACAAATCACAGAGAAGAAACAGACATATTTATGTATATATATATATATTAGTGTTAACCATATATCATTAACCATATATCATTAAGTATAGCTATCATTTTAAATCAAATTCTCTTGATATTTACATCTACACTCTGTAGCTGACACGTCAGGCTGGCCCGGGGCGAGACGCGGCCCGCCATCTTCTGCGGCTCGGATCCCGCGCACGATGGGCGACGAGGCGCCGGATGTTAGATATCCATACATAAACTACACATATAAATAATTTATAGATGATGTATGTTATATATTATAACATACAATATATTATATATATACATATATATATAGACATATTGTGAAGTATATATATATATATCAATGTATCAAGAAATAATGTTAAATCGACACATTTTTTTTACATGTTTGATGTAGTTTCTTGATGATTTTTGAACGATTTATTGATGTTGTTCTTGATTTTTTTGACAAATTTGGAGCTGAATGTTTTGGATGATACTTTAGGATGCTACTTTTTGGATGTTGGATGACTACTGCTTGGCATTTTCGGACTGGGAGTTTGTCCCAAAGAAACTGATTGGCGGGAGCTTTTGGAAAGCACATTTCGCATGTGTTCCTTCGGATCCTTCGGCTAATTGTGCAGGTGCAGTGGACGATGGCAGAGGCGTTTGAATCTGGATGCTGCATGGAAAATTCGAATCTTTTGCCAAGAAACCACTGACTTTAAGTCTTATTGGTGTGGAATGTGGATCGCAGAGTTTCACATCAAAATCGATCAGGATCCTTCCATGATCTACATGCTGAGTATGGTGTCATTTTGGTTTCTCATGCTGAGTATATTCCAAGTGCCAGTTTGATCCCCATGATATCCATTCTATATCCATCGCAGGCGATTCACTGGGTCGTATGGCTGTTGCCGTGCACAAGGTGCTTCTGGCGGAGCTAAATCCCAGTTCTGGTGGGAAATTGCGAAATCAGCGGGCCAAAGATGGTCCTGAAGTACCGTTTGGTTCTGGAAGGATTTGATATCAATTTCTGTATTATGCCCTTTCCATCCTTAGAAAAAATGAGATGATGATACCAGTTCAGCAGAGGTCAAAAAAAGTTGATTGACTCTGAAAATGGCGATTATATGGATATAAAAAGCGAATATTGTCGTTATTCCTCAAGAAAAATGGGGGATTCCCATAATCCAACTGAGAATCTGCAGAATTCCCATGGATTTCCCACGAAAAATCCCAGCCCAAGGGCTTCATGCGTCAGCGTGCCCGGTGTCACCCCACGGGTGATGTGACTGGCAGCTTTCCTCTACCCGAGCGACCAGAGGTGGGATTTTCCGGGAAAAATCAGGGGAGAATCAGAATAGTTTTCACATTTTTTCTTCTCATTTCATTGAAAAATGCGAACAAAAAATATAGGGATCTATAGATTTGATATATCAATCAATTACCAGATATCAATCAGATTTACTATAGTAGAAAATGAAGATCAATTAATTAGGTGATTCTCGATATATTTGATATGATTACCAGAGAGTCCGCCAGACCAACATGATGAAACATGATGAAACATGATGAAACATGATGTGACACCCAATGTTTGGACAAAGCCATACCCAAGTTTCACCCATATCCATTCTATCCATTCTATCCATTCTATCATATTCTATCCATTTGGCTAGTGGTCAACTTGATTTTGGGTAGAACTCACTACGGACAATGCTGAGACAATGCTGAGAGTGGTTTGCCGTCAGTTTCAGTTGTTTTTTAACCGTTAAGACCGCGCAAAAAATCATGGACCTTAATCTTAATGAATCTGAATGTTTCGGCTGTGGTACCATTGCATTTATCAAGGTAAAGCGCGCTTTAGCTAGCCCTTCAGCCAGGTGGCCTTTATCGGTGCTTCCAATGTGGGTAAGTCGTCCTTGTTGTGACTCGGCTACGTCGGAATGGCCAGAAAATCGTGGCGATCACAGCAGTTTCACAGGGATTTTCCAATCCATTTTACGAGTGAGCGCACAAGAGGATCAACACATATCAAAACAAGACGAAAGAAACGTGACAAACACAGATTCTACAGATATTGCAAGATTGATCATGATTGATCCCCCCAACAAAAAGGATTAAGAACAATTACGGTCATTCATGTGGTCAAATCCGATGCGTTTCATCATTGTTTATCTCCCTATGGCGAATGTGGTGGTGTGTGGGTCGTACCAAGGAATGCTTTGACTCGCACGCAGAAGTTGGCACCTGCCAAGGTCCGGGCTGGTAATGGTGATGGTTAAGGGATGATTAACGATCAATGGATGCTTAATAATGATTAATGAATGGATGATTAATGGCTGGTTTTCATGATGGATTAAACTTAATGGAAAAATTACGAATATCTCAATCCAAGAAACTCGAACTGATACCCTGCCGGATTCCGAATTGACGCTGTGTTGATCAGTTTGATCGATCTCACAGTGCATCACAGTGGTGTTGCCCCGTTTCTGGTGATATTTGGTGATGTTTCATTCGTTTCAATGAATCACTGATACAAACATAAGACGCGCATTTTGATGCATTTTTTGCTGCATTTTGGCTCTCAGACCTCTGTCAGCTTACTGAACCTAGAGACTGAACTTTTTTTGGCGGCACGGGGTCGGTCGCAAAGTGGAAGATGAGTAGAAAAGCTTCACTTGTAGGAGCAATCAGCAGATCTAATTCATTTCGGATGAGACTCGAGACATTTTCAACAATCTTCAGCCATCTTTGCCAAATTTTCCCGGTTTGACGATTTCTCTCCGGGACAAAGCCGGACGCTTTCATTTGGTCATGAAAACTGCCCTGCTGCTCTCTGTGGTGACAATTCACGCCTGCGGCTCAATTTTTCGCATATTTTGCAGACGTTGGTGCTGTGAAATTTGCCATCACGATGGAGAGCATAATAAGAGACAGAAATGATGCTATGACTTTGCTATGACTGATGACATGAAAGAATACGAGTGAGAAGCTCATGATGCATGATATGTTCTGACAAGTGATGGATTGTAGCCATGCAGCTAGATATATATTGCTTTCCTGACACATGCGTTGACCTTCTATCCCAGTATAACATTGACAATCATGTTCTGTCCAAAGCACGCCACCAGGATAAACTGTTAGCAGGGAATCAACACGCTACCAAGACGTACGTATGTACGTACGTACGTACATGCATTCCGCTGCATACCTACATACGTAACATGTTTCTTTCTACGCCTCGGATGTAGCAACACTCAGCATTACTTGGAACGGAGTTGCGATGTGAGGCCCTAGCTACCGGAACTTCCTGCAAGGTCTGACCCAAATTTCATGGCATTTCACGGCTATTTGATGGCAGATCTTAAAAGGAAGTGGATGGAAATGGGGTCTAGACGATGTGGAAGAGGGTTCCAACTTTTGAGGCAATGAACTGGCCATGGATCAAAAGCAAACGCATGAAATGACACACTGTTCTCATCATAACTATGTCATAGCTGTACTCTTTTGGATGTGGATGTCCGCATGCCATGCAGAAAATCATCGGTGGCACCCATCTGGCAGGATGCAGACGACAGCTCTTTGGTCCAAGCAGCACCGTTACGATCGGTACGTAAGGCACAATGATCTGGGTATATCTGGGTATATGACCATTGTGAAGGAGAGACCGGTGATACGGCACTGCATAGCTGATCAAGTGTTGTTCAATCTCGGAGTAAGTTGCTTGCTGCATATTCCCCTGCAGGTGCTGCCCACTTCATTTGGTAAGATAAATGACACTGCAACTTCTCAGTCGCTTTTGAAGCAAAAACCCGAACCAGCAGAAGCAGCAAGTGACAAGACTGCAGCGAAACCAGCGAAAGAAGCTGCGACAGTGTCACTGCCAAAAGCAGCCAGTGACAAGATTGCAGCGAAACCATCGACACTAGCTGCAGCACCGCCAAAAACAGCAAGTGACAAGACTGCAGCGAAACCATCGAAAGAAGCTGCGACACCGCCAAAAGCAGCCAGTGACAAGACTGCAGCGAAACCAGCGAAAGAAGCTGCGACACCGCCAAAAGCAGCCAGTGACAAGACTGCAGCGAAACCATCGAAAGAAGCTGCGACACCGCCAAAAGCAGCCAGTGACAAGATTGCAGCGAAACCAGCGAAAGAAGCTGCGACACCGCCAAAAGCAGCCAGTGACAAGACTGCAGCGAAACCAGCGAAAGAAGCTGCGACACCGCCAAAAGCAGCCAGTGACAAGACTGCAGCGAAACCATCGAAAGAAGCTGCGACAGCGCCAAAAGCAGCCAGTGACAAGACTGCAGCGAAACCAGCGAAAGCGACACCGCCAAAAGCAGCCAGTGACAAGACTGCAGCGAAACCAGCGAAAGCGACACCGCCAAAAGCAGCCAGTGACAAGATTGCAGCGAAACCAGCGAAAGAAGCTGCGACACCGCCAAAAGCACCCAGTGACAAGATTACAGCGAAACCAGCGAAAGAAGCTGCGACACCGCCAAAAGCAGCCAGTGACAAGACTGCAGCGAAACCATCGAAAGAAGCTGCGACACCGCCAAAAGCAGCCAGTGACAAGATTGCAGCGAAACCAGCGAAAGAAGCTGCGACACCGCCAAAAGCAGCCAGTGACAAGACTGCAGCGAAACCAGCGAAAGAAGCTGCGACACCGCCAAAAGCAGCCAGTGAAAAGATTGAAGCGAAACCATCGACACTAGCTGGAGCGTCGCCAGAAGCACCAAGTGACAAGACAGCAGAACAACCAGCGAAAGAAGCTGCAACACCGCCAGGAGCACCAAGTGACAAGACAGCAGAACAACCAGCGAAAGAAGCTGCAACACCGCCAGCAGCACCAAGTGACAAGAAGCAGAACAACCAGCGAAAGAAGCTGCAACACCGCCAGCAGCACCAAGTGACAAGACAGCAGAACAACCAGCGAAAGAAGCTGCAACACCGACCGCCAGCAGCACCAAGTGACAAGACAGCAGAACGAAGCTGCAACACCGCCAGCAGCACCAAGCGACAAGACAGCAGAACAACCAGCGAATGAAGCTGCAACACCGCCAGCAGCACCAAGTGACAAGACAGCAGAACAACCAGCGAAAGAAGCTGCAACACCGCCAGCAGCACCAAGTGACAAGACAGCAGAACAACCAGCGAAAGAAGCTGCAACACCGCCAGCAGCACCAAGTGACAAGACAGCAGAACAACCAGCGAAAGAAGCTGCAACACCGCCAGCAGCACCAAGTGACAAGACAGCAGAACAACCAGCGAAAGAAGCTGCAACACCGACAGCAGCACCAAGTGACAAGACAGCAGAACAACCAGCGAACGAAGCTGCAACACCGCCAGCAGCACCAAGCGACAAGACAGCAGAACAACCAGCGAACGAAGCTGCAACACCGCCAGCAGCACCAAGTGACAAGACAGCAGAACAACCAGCGAACGAAGCTGCAACACCGCCAGCAGCACCAAGTGACAAGACAGCAGAACAACCAGCGAAAGAAGCTGCAACACCGCCAGCAGCACCAAGTGACAAGACAGCAGAACAACCAGCGAAAGAAGCTGCAACACCGCCAGCAGCACCAAGTGACAAGACAGCAGAACAACCAGCGAACGAAGCTGCAACACCGCCAGCAGCACCAAGTGACAAGACAGCAGAACAACCAGCGAACGAAGCTGCAACACCGCCAGCAGCACCAAGCGACAAGACAGCAGAACAACCAGAAACAGGAGTTGCGGAAGGGTCAAACGGAGCGGAAAGTGGAACTGGAAATATGTCTGTGCCAGCAGCAAAAACTTCAGGAAAGCAGACAGCACAACCGCTTATCCCGCTACTGCCTTCAGAGCCAGCGTTGGATTCTTCTACAAGGGTTGTGGAAATCGTCGTTCCCAATGCCAACAACTCCCATGCAGTGATCCGCATTCGGAATCCTGATGCCATTGACATCGAAGATGTGAACGTGTCCAACCCTGTGGCATCCCTTCGCTCCTTGGCTGAGTCACATTGGGACCTGAACCTGAAAAAACGACTAAGACCTGGATGGTAGGCACAGCACTTCAGCATACTTCAGCATACTTCAACCATCAGACTTTCCAACACTTTCCAGCACTTTCCAAGACTTTCCAAGACTTTCCCTATGGCCTTTGGCATCCTTTGGCCTGAGGTTCCAAAACGAATCTGCCGCTGAAGGCCCTGGCAATTCATCGGGTGCCCACCACGATCTATTCCAAGAACGACAGCTTCGATGGGCTGCGACATTTACGGCTCCAAGTTGAGAGCTTTGACACCATGAACTCCTCCGTGGAGGACGGGCAGCAAAACGCATGGCGCATTCCAAAGGGAAAGATGATTTTGACATATTTTGACATATTTTGACATGGGAGTTATTCACATTGATAGTTGCTAAATGTTGTTACTGAACTGTTAATAGTTATATTATATTAGTTATATTCATAAATATTTATAGTTATGGTTCGGAATTTTGCCTCCTGAATCATCTTAAATCATGATCAATCTCCAATCTGAACATCAAATGAACATCGAACACCAAGATCTCTGGTGATTCTTCGATTTCTGACTTCAAAACTGCGTGAAGTCACTAGTCACGAAGGACTATGCCACGGTGTCGAAAGATGCCTTGCTGGAAATGATCAAAGCCCTACAGCGGGCATCGCCCATCTGTCACAACTTGTCACAGGCACCACTCTTTTTCGATTTCAGCATTTTTCCATATTTTTCCCAGGTAGGTCAAGGATGGTCAAGTGATATTTATAGATAAACTATAGCTGCTATAGCCATAAATCGGATGAAAAGGATTAAAAACATCAGATCCATTGGATAGACATCTTAGAAATCAACATTCAGCTGAATCAGGTGAATCTAGATGCTGGTAGATGGCAGAAACTGTCCCATTGATGCACAGTGTGCCAGTTTGGTCTCCAAAAAGACACACATATACTATATATTTCTCCATGTTTTTTTCCATCAAACAGTGCTGCTTTCTTGGAGGCCAGGGTGGAGCAAAAGGACATGCTGGAACAGGAGGAAGCCTTGATGAGTAAGACAGACGACCTCTCAAAGCTCCTTGGCCGAAAATTTCATCATTTTTTGAGATCTTTTCAGAGAAATCGGATGAAATCTCTGATGTTAGGAAGATTTGCATTGAATTTGGACTTCATTGTAGCTTGTCAGATCTCAGTTGTTCTTTTGGACATCCGTTTTTCGAATTGCAGCTCTTCTTTTCAAACCTCAAAGGCCGCTGTTGCTTTGGATAGGCTCGTGTTAAAATTTGCGCCCAAAGAGGCCACGGAAACAACTCGGAAACCCATCTCGGCACCATCTTTAGCGAACTTTAGTGGTTTCACAGTTGAACAACCGAAATGTCGTGGCATCATATCATCCTCGAAATCAGGGAACCAGAAATCCCGACTTTGTTGCCACAGATCCCAGGGTCACGACTATGGCAACAACATGTCGTTGAGAACAATGGGGGGTACACTAAAACCGTCTAAACCATATATGATATATATGATATATGATATATATATATATGATATATGATATTATATATATGATATATATGTATATATGTATATGATATATATATACATGAAATCCATTGAAACACCATATTTGGGGATGAACATCCATAGCCAATCAGCTAGTTTGACGTTCACCATAGGATGTCAGGGTCAACTGACCCATAGCCAAATGAGTCTATCGTTGTTGAGACATCAGCTAAGAACTAATCATACATTTATATAATTACTAACTATAGTAATATGCCAATTACAATGGGGTTATAATATGTTATAATCAGAAAATCGAAATCAACTATAACAAGTGTAGTATAGTTATCAATTGACATCACAGGGAATTATCAGTCACATTCAAAGCAATATTTGTTGATCATAGCGTGTCATTGATCCAAATTGGATAATATTCATTTCAACCATGAACATCAACCTGATCGGATAATATTCATAATAATTGCAAGTATAGCTAGCTTGTCATTAATCATCATTAATCATCATTAATCATCCACTAATTTGAACATTTCAACCATATCAATCATTGATATCCATTAAGATGGGGTTATAATCCAATGATCAATCGAAACCCCCCATTGCCCAAGGAGTTTGGAACGAGTGGTGCAAGGATCCGTTGCCGCCTCCGGTCTGGAGGCCGGCCTTGGGAGCTGTTGTCTCAATAGAGAGGGGCAGTAGACATGGCAGATGGCCAAAACATGGCAAAATGTGGGAAAATATAATGGGAAAATTACATCAAATTACAGGAACATCTGTTTTTTTTTTACCATGGAATTTTGAGGGAGTGTGGTGCCTATAGGGTCAATATACATGTCCGTTTCGAAGCTTGCAGAAGAGACCCAGACACCGAAAAGTTGACGTTTTTCTTGAAAACACCGGTTTGGCCACGGCGAGCCAAAATAGGGGAGCATCCTGGATGCGGGTCAGCTGGTCATGCTTAGCATATTGAAGAATCTTGTGGAGTTAAGCAATTTCGAAGCACAGAGGATCTTGGTGGATGCTGATCGTGCTGCCCGCAATTTGTCAGAGATTCGTTTTGAATTTTGCCAAAGATTCGTTTTTCCTTTGTGACTTTGGCATGATTTCACAGTAATTCTGATGGAATCTTTGCCAAGTCGAAATCAGGTGGCCAAAGCTGCGCAGAAGATCCTGGAAAATCGCCAGATTTGGGAGGTCTGGGCCAGATTCGGCCACCATCTATGATGTCACCCCATTTTTGTCCACTTTCTGAAGTTGAGGAAAGGTGGGAAAGATAGTATCTGTATCCACTTTACCAATCTTTTCCATGAGCCAAGTGAGCATCTCACATGTTTCAATAATCATTTCAATATACTTTCATCTCGATATAGTTCAACAATAAATATTGATATTACATATCAAGATGGAAGGTTAGAACCATGTAATATCACTATTGTTCAACCATATTAAATATTAAATATCACTATTGTTGTTTTTTGTGATGGTTACATATCAAGAAGGACCAACTTGAAGGACCTTCCTCCATTAGGACTCCAACAAAATGACCCCCATCTTTCAGCCGATTCTTCGCGCACAGGCACATGCCAATCAGAATCTGTTGCTGCGACAACAAGCCAAGAAATCAATGAATCAGTGCTGTGGCGATGTTTCAGAAAGCATTTTGCATCAATTTCCTAAGGGATTTCCATTTTGTCGTTATTTTCTCGAAATTTGGATCCAAATCAAGGGCTTTTCTGTTGCATGTTTTGAACATGCGGAAGCGATTGTGGATATTGTGGGAACAAATCACAGCCTTGCTTTCTTTCAAGACCTAGTCATTGGATACAACGACGAGATGTTCGGCAGTTGCTCTTAAACACATCATTGATTGGTTCGTGCAAATTTATCGACTCACGAATTTTCCACCACCTTCATCAAGGGTTAGTTTCTGGCATTTCTATCTTTTTCCGTCATTTTCCATCAAATTGCATCAATTTCCCATAATTTCTCCATGATTTTCTTGGACTCCCAACATGTCATGGGATGCCAAGTGTGACCTAAAATACCGAGGTTAGCCATCGAGCTATTGGGTGCTGCCACTTGTCACAATCCCATGGTGGAAGCCATATTATGTCTATATATATATACACATATATTATGTATAATATATATATATATATATCAACCCCAAAATAGAAAAGTGAGACACACCTCGACATATGTATGATCATGTATATAATATCATCGAATCATCTATAAGCTCCTGGAAAGACTTTTCCATTTTTTTTTGGGATGGCTATATATATATATATATGTATGTACATGATCTCTATAGTATATCGATTTTTATATTCAATATCAACACCTCATCCATCAACACATCTCTATTCATGCTGAATGCCATGAAAACGTAGCCAGGTGCGGCACGGACACTTGGCATCACTTAGCCAGGACGAGTTTTTGGGAAATTCGGGGATATGGGGTTGCTTAAAATGGGGGATCCCCAAGTCACCATTTCCATTACTAAACTGATCGTTCACGACTTGCATTTTTTTGGGCTAGCCCCATTGAAACCTTCAGTTTGGATGAGTTGTCCAGTTGTCCAACTCTCATTTAGGGCTTGGTGGTTGGACATTTTGCCTGGCAAAGGCAGCAGATTTCTGATGGTCCGTGAACTTCGTTTCGTGGTCAAGGTGTACTGAGATTATGGTCAACTGTGATTTTTGGTGGGAGATATCCTGCGATGTTTCTCTGGTTTTTGAGAAAAACAGTATGACATGATAGAATTATGATATATATATATACACATATTGATATATTATATTAAGAATCATTGATATATATTATATATATATTTGATTGATATATTTATTTTCATTATATTCAAACATCATCAAGAATCCATGTGATTCCCCCCATCTCAGTCAGATGTGTTGGAATCCATCAGGAACCCAGAAGCTGTTGGTGTTTCCATGGTGCCAAGGGATCACTGGCCTAAAAACCTGCGCGGTGGCTTCGAAAGTGAAGGCTGGAGATTTCTGGAGATTTCTGGACATGATCGGATTAGTTTTATTGAAGTTTATTGGTGATGATGGTGATGATGATGATTTTTTTTTCTTCGAATTTCTTGAATCATTTGATTGGACATCATTTGGACATTGAACAACATTCATGGAAAAAAAAAGACTTCCGAAATCCAACGTCAGAAAGCAATTTGGCTTTAAAAGACCCTATTTCTGGTAAGTCATGGAAGGATGGTTTATGACCTTGGGTTTACCACAGAAACGGCGTCATCCTTTTCTGTGAAGGAGTTGAATGTGGGGTTTACTGCTCAGGTTGAACGCACAGAGGTTGAGTAAAATTAGGGAGGTCGAATGATGTGGCTACTCACGTTGTTGAATTTTTGGCCGTCGAAAACAAGATTTTTGGACATTCCCAAACCCATTGCTGAATGATCCAAAAATTGGAGCTGATCTCTATCTTGTGAGTTTTTTGTTTTTTGACACGTCAATTAGAGATCTCATCCTGACATTGCGAAATGAACGGTGATGGAAAATAGATGGAACATTAATCAATAAGATCACTGTTTTGGTGTGTGGCTGAGGGTCTTCTTTTTCGATGCGTTGGGGCTTGCAGACTTGTGGGTCACGACTTATGGGACCTTCAAAGTAAACCAAATGGAAAGTGAATCTGTCTGAGGTGTGAGTTGGATAACACGGGACCCGGGACCCATGTTTTCCTGTCATGTCAATTTTGGTAACTGCCTCATTGCAAAGCGCTTCATGATAGAACCTGCTGTCCAAGTCGGATTTCATCTAAGCTTATCAGGGTCAGCTTGAATCCACCAGCCCCAGCCCGCCGTTTGTTAGGGGTGACCAAATCGGGTCTTCGGGTGAGGTGAATCTGACGCAAGTCAGGGAGGAATTCTTCGCGGCTTTGGACCTTGGGTCACTTGGCAGGTCACTTTCTGCATCCATGTTAATTATAGTGGATAATTATAAGTGGTTAATTGATAGTTATAACCAATAATAAATCTAGTTAACTCGTTGTCCCATGTGCTGTGTCCATCTCCCACGAACGACTGGAGGAAGGGTAATCTCTCGGTGTCGCGGATGAACATCGCAGCGGCCTCAGTGAAGCTCCAAAATCATCGATGACACGACAAAATACGACAAACACATGACGAAACCTGGATTTTTTTCAGAGATCATCAGATCATCAGATAGGATATCCATGGATATCCAACTTTTTCTCGTGATATCAACAGTAGGATCCCCCCAATCATCATTTGGGGGCCACATTTCGCTGTCGAACGTGGAATCAGGAGCTGGAGGACCTGGAGAAAGCCATCAACGTTTCGGCCAATAACCTGACGCTCTCCATCTCCTTGTCGGCCAACTTGGTGCAGGAGGGCTTGGAAAAGATGGAAAAGCACCCGGAAACGGCTGGAAAGGGCAACAGTTCCTTGAAACCGATTCTGAAGAAGTGGAAAGGGTTGGACAGGTTTACAAAGGTTGAAGGAAAGGTTGAAGGAAAGGTTGAAGAAAAGGTCGGTGCAATCTGCATGCAACGTGCGTTGCCGTTGCTGTGTTGCCCATATCAATCGCTCCTTCCAGGATGCAGTGCTCAAGGCCAATGCCAGCAAGCATCTGAATTCCGCTGTGGATGTGAAGGAAAATTTGACCAGTCTGCTGTATGAGAGGGTGTGGATGCTCAGAGATTCCTCAGATCATCTCAGATCCTCAGATCATGAAACTGTTACATCTTGTTACATGTAGCAAATGTAGCAGCTTAGCTATCAGATCATGCTAAGATGACATCAATCTGGACATAGATTTGGACAAGTGTAGAGCACCCCAAAACATTTGCAGATTTGGTGTTTTTTGATTATCTACATATCCGCAATGACCCATCACTTTGATATGAAGTTAGCTCCAGCACCGGGAAGCAATAAGGGTTCCACATGATTCACATTTTGCGTGTTATTTCAAGGTATTTCCCCTGGCCTAGATTCATAGTTTTGCGGCTCCTGCGGACTTGCACAGTCTCAGGGGCGAAACCGTGCTGTTGGAGTCCATGAAAATCGAGCTATGGAAGTGCTGATAGGTAACAGCCAGTTGATTGGACGATTGGATCAACATTTCAAACAAGTTTCGGATTTCAGCATTTTGCTTTAACCAATGTGTATTTTGGTACTTGCTGATGTCATGGTTCCAGCCACCCAGGTTCACTTAGTAGAGAACATTTCGCACGACACATCGCGACTTCCTCCACTGGTGCGCAGGGGAAGTGATGGTTTTGGTGCAGTTGATGCAGTTGTGGATCCCATACCCAAACCATCCGTAAGGCATGAGTTGTTCAGATAGCTTGTTCAGATAGGTTGGTGCCTTGTTGGTAGCAGCAGATATAGCCATATAGAAGCCATATAGAAGCCATATAGCTATGACTGGCTATGACCATAGCTGGTTGATGCAGCTTGCTGGTTGCTGGTTTCATTGCAGTTAATGTCCTCCACGGGTCCACACGACAGTCACGACAGTCGACCTGAAGAGGGTGCAGGGTGGAAGGATACCTTGATCATTCACCACACACGAATTTAGCCAATCCACACAACTATTATGATATAGGATACATGATATATCATTATATATGATTATCATTGACTATATGATGATCATTATGATGATCATTATGATGATCATTATGATGATCATTATGATGATCATTATGATGATCATTATGATGATCATTATACACACGACTATTGATACATGATATACATGTTCATCCAATCTTCAGCCAATCGTCATACAATCCTTGAGTTATCCACTTAAATTGGATCATGATATCCCCCAACATTTTCTGGCTTCCCCAATTGCTGGAAATCATATGATGTAACCCTTGATCATCGAAGTATCATGCTTAATCGGCTTAATCTTATAGGATTAACAATTACTGAAACCTCATCTTTCGCCGATTTTCATGGATGTGTCATAGATGTGTCACCCAGTTTTCACGGACCAAAATCATGTTTTTCCACAGGTTTCTCGTAGATTTTCACCGAGCTCCCCAGATCAAAATTCGCTGTTTTCACGGTGAACCGGGTCAGGCGGATCGTGCAACTCTGAACCTGTCTATGGGCACTACAGCTTTGGTGATCTCGGCTTCACAGGTGCCGGGAATCCTTGGGGGATGTGATCATGGGGCATCAAATTACCTGTGTTAATGAGGTTGATTAGGTGGATTATGTATACTGTATACACTGTATAATAGTGTTCAGTTACTTTTTGGAGATTGATAGTCCAATCTTACATTGTGCTAACTTCATGATCTTATCCTCATGAAGGTGCTTCATGATACTAATAATGATAATGTTTGGACGTTAACATCATGAATCATGATTAAGTTACTCACAGGCCACTCATCATGATGACGATCCAATCATAAATGATGAGAATGGGAATGACAATCCAGCATCACATTTACACCTCATATTTTTTTGTGGTGATCAAGGAGAATAACGGGAGGTTTCCGTTTTGTCATGGGGGTACCCCCTTTTTTAGTCGTCATGGATGACCTCATCGCCAGGCCGAAGGTTTGGCCAAGCAGCTGCAGGTCATCGACAGCAGCATTCAGGTCCGATGCTTGGGATGTTTCATGGGCAAATCACAGGAGTTTCAATGAGTTTCAATGAGTTTCCTGCGGTTTCATGGCATTTCACCGGAAAAAACCTGATGAGTTTCTCTTTTGGATGGCGTATGATGGTGTTTTTGTCCTAAAGCAAACCTTAAGCAAACACGTGAAACATCAAATGCCAGCTCAAGACTGGGACCGGCAGCCAGAAGTGGACTCGGCTCACCTGATGTCACCTCAAACTCATATTGCAGCTGCAAAGTGGATGATTCAAGAATTTATAGATGATTTATGGATAATTAATCTATAGATATCTATGGTTCATTTATGATTTATCGATATTTCATAAATAATCCATGGATAATGAATGCTCAATGGATGATGGATGATCTATGAAACCCATGACCAGGAAATGTACCAAGAGACGCTGGAGACAGATGTGCACATGAAGTTGAAAGGACTTACTCTGCCCGGAACCTGGAGACCTGCTGGACACCTGCTGGACACCTGCTGGACACCTGGAGAGATTGATCTATCAGCAAGAAAATGATCATCCACCAAGGGGCTTGGTCTCCAATTTTGGGCCCCCCAACTTTGATTTTCATCACTTTTCATCCATCTCAGATTGGGGACTCAAAGGGCAAAACCATCCCTCAGGCAGAAAACTCTTCGAGAGGCACAGAGAAAGCCTTGGGAAATGGAGGACATCATTTTTTTTTGGTTAAAAATTGAAAAGATGGATGATAAAAACATATAAAAAACATATTAAAAACATATAAAAACCATATGAAAACTCCAAAAACAGTTGGCAAACTCCATCGATTTTGGAAAAGCATTTTGTGGCGCCACCATGGCCACCATGGCCACCATGGCCAGGCCCTGAGAACCTGTGCGCTGGGCCTGAGATTGGCTCGGCTCTCTGGTAAGGAGGCAGCTTTTAACACGCCTGGAAAATGGAAGAAAAATGGTGGATTTGGAAAAATTCATCCCAAAAATCGGCAGTTTCGAAAGGAACATCGGCAGTTTGAATGTCAACAAATCATGAAATCTGAGGGTTTTTTGATGGTTTGATGGTTTTCCCATCATTTTTTTGAGAGCCGCCTGAACAGAAGACATCTGGAAGGTGATTTTGCTACAGGAATTTGAGTCAAATGGAGATACACAGCAAAACACCAGGATTGAAGCAGTGAGGATTGGACATGTCAAACCAACCTACCGGCTTTAGATTGAAACTTGGTCATGACTGGATGGTTTGATGACTGGAACAGCAATCCGAAGACTTTTTCGTTATTTGCGATGATTCAACACAAGTTGGGAACCAACAAACATGATGTGTATATGTTTTTTTCATGGTTGCGCTTGGTGGTAAACATGCTTGCGCGTCCTGTAGCGCAAGCGGTGGTTTTAATGGTGGACGATCCATCCCCAGATGTTCCGCCAGGTGAATAACAGCCTGGCGGAGATCTTCCGCAACTTCCATGGCATCTATGGAAATGCCACTCGAAATCATCAACCCTGGCTTGGCTCTCACAATAGGATTCCTCCCCCAAAATTGGGTGATCAAAACTGTCAAAACTCATGAAACTCTTAAAACTGTTGAAATGCCCAAATTGCTTCGTCTGAAGATAGGCACATAGACCCAAAATTCCAATGGTTTATCATCACAACAGTAGAAGAATTCTTATTTGGGGATATTCTGTAGAATTCTTATACTGTTCAGTAAGTGATGATTATACCTCTGTATACTGTTGTGGAATATTATAGACTATAGCTGTATCTTCGTATCACCATCGTATTCTGAGGGATATTTCCATATTATATATAAATATAGTATATATATATATTATATATATATATTTATTACACCATAATATACATATAATATCACCATAATAATCACCATTTGATAGCTAAAGCACCATCTGATATATTCTATTATCTATATATCACCATAATAAAATTCCATATTATCACCATATAAGTTCCCATTTGACTAATTTGTATGCAAAACATGGTATCACTGCATAGTATGGTGATTATTGCTTCTATGGTAAAGATCATGAATAAGAATAGATAAGAATAGATCAGAATAGATAAGAATAGATAAGAATAGACAAGAATAGATTGATAATAGATGGTTTCTGTTTACAGATTGGAAACACAGCCATCAATTCCCATCCGAGGCCTCCTCTCCCATTGTAGCTGCCTCAGTTCCAGATTTTCGCTGTGATTAAAACCCAACTTCCAGCGGCTGAGGAGTTCCTTCGAAAGCCGGGTGAATTGCAGGCAGAAAACCCAGAGTTCTTCGAAGTAACATGAGGAGGGTAAAGTTAGATCTAGTTGCATCTAGCTAGATCTAATTTCTAGTTGTTGTTTCTTTTCTATACTGCCCCCCCACGGCACTTAACAAATTCTTGGGAATCTTGGGCGTCCATTAAGACAATATAACCCCGCAATATGGGTATTTATTGCCACCTCAACCTTTTGAAAAAAGGAGGTACTGTATTCAATAATATTGATACGCCATAGGATAAATTTCTTCCTGAACCGTTCAAAACCCTGGTGCCCTTTTGTTTACACCAAAATAGCTGGTTTCTATTGATGCTCATTGTTTTCATCCCATCAACATATCCATGGTGTATATATACATATACATATACATATACATTATACATATACATTATACATATACGTATACGTATACATATACACATACACATACATATATATATATACATATGTACATAAATATACAGTAATTTTCTTCATGATGTAGTCAGCTTTTCTCTCCGCCAGTCCGTGACGAAGCTCAGCACGCTGCACACCAACAGCTCCCCGCACAACGCCTCGACTCCGGCGCGGCTCTCGGAGCGAGGGCAGCAGTGGCCAGAAGCCGAAGATTCCAAGGACATCGGGGGGAGGATAGACATCCATATATCAACATATATCAACATGTATATTAATATGTGTATATATATATATTAATATGTGAATTACATGTAATTATATTAATATGTGAATTTTTGATATATATATATAGATCTACACGACTATAATTATATTGTATCACAACAAGAAAAGTGACAATCATAGTTCTTATGACAATATAACATATATACATATAAGCATATAGATCATCATTTTCAAACCTACATGAGATGATCCGAATTGACTCCAGTAATTTTTCAGCGGGTTGAAACTACGAACCAGCTGGATATCATGGTTGATCATGCCACAGGGTATCCCCCAACTTTGGATGAAGGAGTCTTTGGAAAGTCTCTTTGCAGGATTTCGCGAGGTATCAAGAAACCGCGTTCTGTTGCGGAACTATATTTTTTTTGGGTTCATTCAACTCAACCAACAAAATTGAGAGATCCAGTTTTCATCAGTGCATTTGCCATCCATTTCCCATCCATTTCCCATGGGATTTCCAGGAAGTGCCGTGGAATCTACCAAATGACCCGAAAACTGCCGACACCACCTCGCTGCTCTTTGGCGTTCCGCGCGCTCCCCCTGAGCCTCGGCGGATTTGGTGGATTTTCGGATTTTCGCTGGGAAAATCGAACATCGCAAAGCATGTTTGATGACACTGGGGGGGGATAATTTCAATGGTATTTCCATGGTTTTTGGGCAATATAAGGTCAATCTGGGATAGGTTAAAAATTGTGAACATATGGCGATCAACACCTCTGAAATACCATATTTTGGGGGGATGAAAATAATGATTACCACCTATGTGGGAACAAAGGGTACCAGGGCTTTGACCAATAGCCGCGCAATGGGATATTGGCTAGAAGAATGGCATTTTTAATGTCTTTATTTTTTTTGGCAGGACGTATTTGAGCATGAAACATGGAAGGCTTTTTGGTAAATTTACCCCTTGAACCTATGGATTCGTATTGCGGTTGGGTGAGTTTTTATGGTTGAAATTGGTTTGGTGCCTGCGATTCCCGCAAAAAAAACATCCCCCTACCATTGGATACGATGAGGGCCCCGAAACATGATAGATCCAATACTATATAAATCGTTTTTTTTTCCCCGAGGTATTCAAGATATTTTAAACCCATCTAATCTATTGATTCTATTGAATCTTGAGGGGGGCCAGGGATTCCGAAACTTTCCGGATTTTCTTTTTGAACTAAGGTGCCACCTTCCAAGGAGTCGAGATTGCTGCACCTTGGGCCTGCAGATTTGTTCCATGATGACTCGAAGATGATTTTAAACTATTGATCGAAGATGAAAGATGATCCAAGATGCAACAAATCATGGAATATCTTGGCAAAAAATGGAAGATCTGAGGCCAAATCTGTTGATTGCCTCGGCCATGTCCCTCTTTCTGATACTGGGATCTGTGCTGTTGTGGATCGTTTCTGCCTAAACTGTCAGAAAACGCGGGAAAACAGGGCCTGGCGGCTTGGCAGCTCGGCGAAACCTGGAACCTGGGAACATCTGGCAGTTTCGGTGCCCAAAATTTTCGTTTCAAGGATTGTTGGAAAAAATTCAGTGTATCGACAAGCATATAAGTTATCGAAAAGACATGGAATGCTGGAAATTTATCGAACAACCAAAGAGATCACGTCTGAAATCTGGGCAGGATGATCCGGGCGTGACCAGATCCATTGACTGGTACAAATGCAGCCGGCTACCGGTGGATCCTTCGACTTTGGAGAACGGAGAGTTGGGATGTTTTTTTGGATTTTTTCGGGAAGATTTCTAGAAATTGGGATCTTAAGAAACCATGAAAACAGTAACATCATTTCACATTTCACCCTTCGCGAAAAAGTACTGGAAGGGCAAGAATCACCAGTTGCTACTTTTTTGTGCAACATGGTGCAACCCTTGTCATGAGAATCGTTGGGTCCAGAGATGTCCTCTCCAGAAGGGCCAGGATTTCAAGGTCTTCGGAAACGCGATGAGAAAAGTCGGGCACCCCTCAGGTTGAATGCCACCAGTATTTTTTAGCACAACATGATTTCTTCAAGGCATTTCAAGACTCAACCAGGATTTTTATCTTTTTGGTATAGTAATAAACTGTGGTTAAACCAGGTGGATGATTGTTTTTTTTAGGTGGGTATTAGATTTTTGGGGTGCGGGGACTATCCAAGTTCAACCAGTGCCCATCCTGCCTGTAACTCCTCAAGGATGTGATTGACCTTCCGGGCTACGGCTATGCCAAGGTGCCAAAATCAGGACAGGGTGGGAAATCAATTTTCCATATGATTATTATGATTATTGTGTACACTAATATACATCTTCAAAAACTATAGATATACTAACGAAATTCATGTGTGATATATGTATATATATATATATACATAATCTATAGATACATGTTTATATGCAATACTTAGATCTGAAGGTTGCCATTTCTTTGATACCAAGATCTTGACATGCTTTTTTTTTCGATCTCAAGATCTTGCGTCATCCCCCAGATCCTCCCTCAGCCGCGGCATCGCAGGGGTCGCACTACGGTCCGCTGGTGGCCGATTTCATCGTTCACCGGAAGGCCTGGGACGTCGTGGTTGATGGACTTATAGCTTCGCCAAATGCTTGGTGAGTAAGGCATCAAACGGCTCCAAAGCATTCATCAAGTGTGACACGACTTTTGAATTTGATCCCTGAAAGCTTCAGAGTTTCCAGATTTTCCAGAGTTTCCAGAAAACAAAGATGTTTTCCCCAAATGGACACGTGGAATGGCGAGCTGCTTGTGCTGCTTGTGCTGCTTGTCTCGTTGTGAGTCCTTGCGCTTGCTCTACTGCTTGGTGGACGCCAGAACTGGGTCAGGGGCCCAGCACTTGGTGTCGCATTGGGTGAAACGGGTGGCCCCTTTTTGAGACATTGGTGGCTGAACATGGACTTGAGATGGGTTTTCCCATGGTGTTCCTATGGTTTTCGATCTCTACACTTGAGAAATCCATAGAAATCCAATCAGTGCCTGAGATCTTCCTTTAGGCCATCGAGATGAGATATGTGGGATCCAGTGGGATCCAGAACCAGAGCCGTCAGAGTCGTCAGAGTTGTCAGAAACCAGTTGGATGATCGAGGATTCGTCCCTGCGACTGGAAGTTCTACGCTTCACTGGGTGAGAAGGGCCCTGAAAAGGCCAGGCCTCGATGTCGAGATATGTCGAGTTTCAAGGACATCTGGTGGTTTCTGGCCCCAAATCGCTGACCAGCTCGCTGTTTTGGATTGCATTTTGAGTGGATTCCTGTTTTCTACTGTTTTCTACAGTCTCAACATGTCTCAACTAGTTTCAGCAGTGGCCGATAGTGGCCGCCAAGGTACCAGAATCAGGCATCAATGTTTGTCCTTTGATGTCCTTTGATGTCCTTTGTTCCAGTTTGCAGGATTGCCTGAGTTTCTGAGGGACAAAAGCACCACTTTCAATCCATATAAAACGTCAGCTCCATGACGTTTGATGTGTCACATTTGCTGTAGCCATTTCGGCTTGGCGTTGCCTGTTTTCATCATGAGCTCTACGGTCTGGAGCTCGGGTATTAGTCATGTGCAGAAAATATGAGTTACCATCCCCCAAACGAACAGAGACCCAGCTGTGGGTTTGGAAGTGAAACTCCCAAGGAAATCCGTTCCGTTCCATGCCGTCACCCGAGGGATGTCGAAGAGTGGTCGTGGACCCTGTGTGCCTCAGCTTCACTGTGCTTCATTGTGCTTCACTGTGGAACTTGGATATCACTGATCTCACCAAACATATCCAAAACTGCTACAGGTCTTCAATGATCTTCACCTCATCACCTTCAAATACCTGCAACATGTTCACCCAAAACATCTTCCGATCTTCCGTATCCGAGGCATCTGGTGACATGGGGTGGCGGCTTGATGCCGGCCGTGGGATCTCTGGAGCCTCGAATCCGGGAGAAAGCCCTCTACAGTTCCGACTCAGATCCGATGATGTCAGATGTTTTCTGTCGGAGTTTCCCCATTTTCTCAGATTTTCCAGGTTCTCAATGGTCAATTTTGTATCATCAGATCTACCACGTTAAAAGACATCACGGTGATTCCCTTTTCATGCGGGAAGAAAACTGACGCTGTCTTTGTGGTTGTGCTGGTTGCTCCTGCAAGGATTAGCATTTGGCCATTTGGCCATTTGGCATGCATTTGTCCATGTGTTTTGCCATGTTTTGCTTCAGTTCAAGGCTCGAATGTTGCGCAGGTTCTGCGCATGGTTTCACCTTGCTGTCGCGGTGTCCACCGCGTCCACCGCGTCCACCGCGGCATCAAGCTGCCTGCCGGATGCAGTGCCTGATAACGAGCGCTCGTACATTAAAGATGTGACGGGCGAAGATGTTGAGATCAAACTGGTGGCCTATGACTGGCCATCGGCTGAATTTGTGACATCAATTAGTCAGATCCTGATCCAAGAGGTCTTGGGATACAAAGCGAAGATCCACACGACAAGGCCTTTCTCAGTGCTGGAGGCCATCTTATCCTTGACCGGATGCAACGATATGACATGTGACCGAACTGCGGACGTGGCAGGCTACGTGGCGCATGTGGCGCATGTGGTCTTGGAAAGTTGGTTGGGCTCCATGGGATATGCGGGAGAGGAGGCGATGTTCGTAAGTCCATGGGTGGTGAAGCCTATGAAGATTCTGGGCATTCTTTGGACTGGTACAGAAGCTACAACGCTTCCAGGCGGTCAACACCATCCATCAAAAGGTCGGGGTCTAAAAACGACCAAGTTTCACCGGCTCCTTTATGGTACCTGTTAAAGCACATCTTCTGTTTTGATCCATTTTGCCATGCCAGGTATTTCAGTTCCTTGGAAGACGTCCCCATCTCCGATTTTTCCTTTTGCAATGACAGCAGCACCATGTGGACGGAGCCGGCCTTCATGAACAGCTACCGTGGAGTGGTGATTTGGATGGCCTGCTGGAGGTGCCGAACGGATATCACGCCAAGTGCCAGGCCTTCGATCGTTTCTGGATAGCAGCTATCAGCTAGCCTGCAGGCAAGGTCCGCATGCAGACATATGCAGACTTCAGATGAGAAATTGGATAGTTATGGAACGTTGAAATCAATGGATATTAGAATAAGATATGATAATATTATAAGGGGGAGATAGTCGTTGAGTTATAGTAGTTATAAATGATTGGATATATTGGCTGGCGGTCCCAAAGGTTAAGATGATTTCGGTGCTGGAGATTTTCCGGGCCCAAACGAGGAAAACCCCATCCAAAACTCATCCGTTTTTCGTTGCGACAACGAAGGCACAATGTCTCTGAGTGCATTCCCATCCTGTCCCATCCTGTCCCATGAGTATGGTTGGTTGGTGGATGCCTTTATGGCCTGGATCCTTGGACGAAATTCTTGGCACGGATCATTTTCCGAGGGAAACCATTGGTGTTCCACATCTATGTTGTCTATGTTAGTTTACCCTGGGCCCATGTGGGTACATGGAACATCATGGAATATCATGGACATCATGGAAGATCTTTCAGATATATGGAAACCCAGGTCAACAGCATATGCGATCCCGGCTGCCGTTGGAGTCCTCGACCAAAAGAGACAGACCACCCTGGCATCGGCGGAATATTTTTTATTCCTTGGCCAGAACGCACTCGGTGCTTTCATATTGGTTTCTGGTTGTTTCAATAAGACATATATGTGTCATTATTTTTCTGATTTTCCGTGATGAGATTGATAAGATTCTGATATTTCATTGATCACTTGCACAGCTCATGGATTTGAACATGAGCTACCCCATTCCATCCCATGGTTCGTATTTTATCATCCCAATGAAATCACCGGAAATGAGCTTCACCATGGTTAACCCATATATCAACTGCCCATTCTTCAGACGTTCTCCAGGTTTCGACCAGATACATCGCAAATTGCCTTCAACCCGCAGCCCATCGTCTTCCCAACGCACAGCGCCAGTGAATGGGCTGTTGGGAACAAACGAACTGCTGCGGTGGGCTCGTACATTGGCAAATTGGTGAGTCGGCACTTGCGTGAAAAGGCCACTACTGTGGTGACTTTCTTGGAAAATCTCAAGTTGGAACTGATGGAAATGCAACAGTACCTTGGGATGAAAAATGGGGCAACCAGCTGGGAACAGGTGGGAAATTTTGGAAGTTTTGCAGTCCAAAGTCCAAACAGTTGTTGTTGTTCCTGATCTTCAAGAGTTTTCCCTAAAATATCAGTGTTTCATTGGACAGTAAACTGACAGTCAAATCATTGCTTCCATTGGTCCTTTAAAATCTTTAAGGGTTCCAAACCACAGGTGGCTTGCCGCTGGATCTTATCAAATCGCCTGCGATGGGAAAAATGGATTCGGCCTAGTGGATGCTGCTGGGAGCTTCGTGTCGTCCCGGAACGTGGCCACTGGCTGCGGCTTATGCACACCTGGAAGTCAGTCCTTGCCGTTGTCGGATGAGATCGGAAGGACCTACCGCTGTGATTTCTGTGACTTGGGAAGTTACCAAGAATCCTCCGGTGAAACGCTGTGCATCAGTTGCCCGCTGGGGCGAATTGCTGCGGAACGGGGTCGTTCGCAATGTGAAGCATGTCCACCAGGGAGCTATGCCGATGCTTTCGGCTTGCACGCATGTTCTCCCTGTGGCAATAGTTGCACTGGCACCGATTTTACCCTCAGTTGATGCTGGTTGCTTCTTGGTCTTGTTGATGCTTTGCACAAACTTGTGCCTCACAGCGATGTTCCAACCATGGTTGTCTTCCTTTGCCACTTACATGGATCTGCTGGCGAATTTCTGTTTTCTGATCATCCTTTTTCAGGGCGCCTTCTGTGTGGAAAATGCGAAGGGTCCATCTGGCATGATCGTTTGTTCAGTGGCTCTCTGGAATCCTCCTGTTTTTTCTGGGCCTATCTCTGTATACTTTGGCAGAGACACTCTTCGTTCGAAGGCGCAGCAAACGTTATGACTTCTTCCTAACTCATCACAAAATATCACAAACAGACCTGCGGCAGCATTGCGCGGCTCATCAAATTGGAACTCCAGCAGTGTGGCTGCCGCGTGTGGACATCGACGACCTGTCGTCTCTGGCGCATCTCTTTGCGACGCTGAGTCAAAACGTGGAAGCTTTGGTGGTGATTGCCTCGCCCAACATCTTGACGTAAGTGGTGTGTGGGTGAAATTGTGACGGCCCACGTGCAAAAGATTAAAACCATGGTGGTGGCCTTGCCCAAATTCAGTTTTCCAGATGCCATGTTCATTGAAGCCTTTGATTTGGCGATGGTGGATTTGCATGATTTGGCCGCCCATGGCCTTGGAAAATCCGAAGTTCGAGATGCCTTGAGGAGCTTGAGAGGCCAGAAAACCATGAGGCTCCCGGAGTGGTTCCAACCAGTTGACCTTTTGGAAATCATCGAAGAACTCTCTGGGAAGCCCACGCAGAGATGTGAATCAACTTCAGGTCTTTCGAGGATCTCTAGCTCCAGCTCCTGTTTGATTTTGGCCAACCATGATGATATGGAGGCATTGGCAACAGCACATGTCTTGCGAATTTGGATGTTTCCTCACTTGCTGCAGAAACGAATTTGTGGACCTTTTGTGATTGCTCCAAATGAATCAATCTACCAGCCGGGTGCGGTGCCGAATTACAAATTCTTGGTCATTGTGTGCACCAAAGACTGCCTGGAAGTTGTGTCCATGATTCGTTGGATCACAGAATGGTACGACTTTGCATCATTTTGTCATCTCTTTCCAGTCGTGCGGCCATTGATTTTCGCAGGCTGGCGCAAAGTCCCAATGTCTCAAAAGTCTTGTCTGAATTGTCTGAAGGTTCTGGCAGTGCCTCCTATTTGGCCGTAATCCGAGTGCTGTTCAAATCGCCTCGCGCTTTTCGGCCAGTCCTGGGGAGTTGAACTTGAAGCGGCTGGACAGTTCGCAGAGCTGTCAGATTTGGACCTCAGATCCCTACTGTCGGGACAACATCCGACTTTGAAGAGACCATCACCCGAGTTGGAAGCCCGACTACGAATTTATACACCTTATATCACCTTATGAGAATATGTCGAATATGTTTAATATGTTCATTTATTCATTTCTACACTTAGAACGAAGTAAGACTTTGTGTTTCCTTTTTAGTTTTGCGGTTCTTGCCCCAACTTTGATACGTCCTGCAAGTGCTGCACTATTGAGCTCCCTTGATTTTGGTGGAGAGTACAGTCACAGGTCAACAAGCACAGCAGTGGAGCAGTGGAAGCAGCGGAAGCTGAGATTCTGGAAGACCTCGATGTGTTGGTGGAACGCGCCTTCTGACCCTGTACGGGAAAACCCAACAAGTATTAATCTTGTGCGAGGATGGTTTATATGTTTACATATATATATATATATAATATCAGTATTATATTTACACCCAAATGGTAAACTCATGGGTAAATTGGGGATGGTATTCTTATTATCATCACCATTACCATCCATTATCCACTTACTTTCATTACCAAATTGAATATAATCCGCTGCCCAGCTCTGTCAAAATTGGGTTTACCCACATTGCCATCCAAAATATCATAAAATATCCACGGCATCTGCCAAAGGCAGTTCGGGGGTTGCCCTTGTCGTGGCTTCTTGTTGATTGTGGCCTGTTGCTCTGGAAAAGTGCGGATGAGTGATGAGTGGAATCAGTTTCATTGATGGTATCTTTGATGGAATCAGTTTCATTGATGATATCATCATTAGTAATTGGAGTACAAGTAGAAGAATCACACAATACTCAGAATATAAAACTAAAAGCAAGAGTACCTTTTTCATGGCCATCCTTTGGACATGTCGTAATGGACGACCTTCCTACTCACAGCCTTGCCACCGAGGCTACTACCTTCCCAAATTGGCAGAAGACGGACATTCGGATGAGGTCCCCGCGGTGTACCCCACAACCATTGGTCCATCGGTGAATCAACTGTTCACCAATGGTGAATCAAAAGCATCATTGGATGGACAAGAGTTGATTCAGAATTGATGAATAATCTATGAATAATACATGATAATCATCACAATGATCACAGTCATCACAGTCACATACAGTCACCATATGATGGCCGTCCTGTGCTTCGGGCATGGACAGGTGATGAACCGCTGCATCGCGAAAGCTCATGGCAGAGTTCCAACGGGTCCATCGGGATCCATGGTGGGAGAAATCCACAGAATTCATGGATCATTTGACCATATTTGACATCAACATTTAGCTGTTTAGCCTCATGATGTATCTGTTTGTATCTGTTGATGTATCAGTTGATGTACCAGTTGATATATCTGCTTCATCCTGATTTTAGATGATTTCCATGGAGTTTCCATCACCGCAACACATTGGTTGAACCAGTTGACACGGACAGGTGGATCTGGTGTTCGCCGAAGTGCGAGCGTGGCGTCCTCGGAGCGGTGTGAAGACGATGTCCTGCGTTGAACAATGGTGGAATGCCTTGAGAATCTGGCCAGTAATGGTTGACAATTTGACAATGGTTGATATTCTCTTTGAAATGATGTGAAATGCTGCGAAATGCAACTTGTGATGTTCATCCGAAATTTGTTGTATTATGTTGTATTTGTTCCGAGACCGGTGTACTTCTTGGCAATCTGGGTCCGGGTGTACCTTGGCCGCACCATCAAGATTTGGACGGGGGGTCAGCCGCTCCAAGCGAATTCGACACGAGGCGAAGGCAGCGCAAGCTTCGAGTAGCAGCTGCACGTGGATGTCTCATAGGTGGAGTATCCATCTGGAGGGAAAGTCCCTAACTTTGGAGAGTCATTGAGTATATCACTGAGTACCTCGAGTTAACTTGACATATCTTAACATATCTTCACATCAGGTATCGCGTCATATCGCATTGAGCTTGGCCGTGAACGGATCCAAGATCACAATGGATCACTCCCTGCTGCGCCGCGCCAGTCATTCCTTGGGACATGGTCGGAGTGAGCCGCAGAGCCTCTTGGCCCGGTCCAAATGGCGGCGGCGGTGCAGTTTTCCGATTTTTGTTCCACTGTCATTCCCAAAAGTTACACCAAATCCAGAAAAAAAACATTAAAGCATCTCCGGAAAAGATTTACCACACTGAAAGAACCCAGCAGTTTTTCCAAGCAATCTGCCCATGTTCTGGTATATATTAATTATAAAATCTACCTAGTTAATCCTAATTACATTTGGTCATGTTTTTGGGGTAAATAAACCAAGCATATGGAGCTGTCATTGTGAGAGTCATTTGTGAGGCATCACCGACCTGGTTCAACCGGTCCACCCGAGCTCTGCACGGAGCTCAGTGGCTGGTGAGTTGGGGATCCAAATTGAAGAAACTCCCAGATGTTAGAATCTCACCATAAGAAAATTATAAGAAAATACGTTTTTGAGTATCTTGAAGTACATAGTGTTTGGACATATATCAACATGGTCATCTGAGAGAATATTCCCAAACCCCATATTTTGACTCGATTTTGGTAGCTGCAATGTCGTGGTTCCGAGTTGACGATATCTTCTACATGTTTTCTAAGTTTGTTCATGAAAAGTCAGGATCGTCAGAATCCACCAGAAAACATACCCAAAGCCTAGAACAAAGGGTCCAAGTGAGAAGTTGGTTTCTAAACCCATATCAAACCAAACTATATCGGCATATGGTTAGAAGTTGGTTCCCACCACAAGAAGATGCAGTTTCCGGCTGAATTGATCACCCGAGGGTCGTCGCCGCAGTGTGGCAAAAAGCTTGCCCCTGAGCGATCAAGGTGCAGATCAGGGCACAACAATGGGGAGACTGACAGATCCTAACATGTTAAAACATGCTTAATATACGGTGACTAATGATTTGTAATAATTTATAATTCATGTTATACCATGCAGTAACTAATCATTGTTATTTGACATACAATGTTAAACCATCTGGTGACTAATAAACGGTTTTTAACTTATAATGATACGAACGGTGAATAATGGTTTGTACTGATGTGGATAATGATTGATATGATGATTATAAACCACATCATGATACTATAAATCAACTAATTATCAATAATGTGTATAAAACACAACTGATTGGTTTATGATATAGTATGATACTACCCTTTGTTAATCATAAACCAATCAGTTGTGCATGACTTGCCGGAGAATTCCCCATGAATTTCCCATCAGGAGGTGTGGGTGGCCTGGGATACATTGCAGGACTGCTCCGGGAACCATTTCTGTCATTGAAAGACACAGCTCGTTCCCCAAATGGTTGAGAACTTTAGGCTTTTCATCTTTTTTCTTTGGCTATCTTTGAGATTTTCTACTTGAACAATTTTGAAGAACGTAAACATGACATATCTTTCAAGTTCCATAAGAAAGCACCAAATCAGCCATGAAAACACCACCAACCGCCACCAACGGCAAGCCCGACAAGCCCGGGGGATGCCCCAGGACCGCAACGTCAGTGGGGCCCCTTGGCGCGGCTGTTGAACGACGGCCGGGTTGGCCCATGATGCCCATGATCCAATGTTTCACCGAAGCTTCGGCCACGGCTTCGGCCACGAGCGAGACCAAAAAAACGAGACGGATCTGCGGCTCCAAAATGGGAGGTGAAAGATGTTCGGCTCACTTTGAGTGTTTTTTTTTTGGTTTTGGACATGATCTTTGGATACAAAATGATACAGATGATATTTTGGGATGGTTTCGCTAGATTGCGCTGTGGTGGGGGATCAGTGGATTCTGTTCATTTTGGGCTGATGGTGCTGACGAGGATTTCCATGGCAACAAGTTTCATCCTCATGGCAGTACAAAAAAAGACACCGGGGCTGGAATTCTGTTGCCTCTTCCCCCTGATTTACAGCTCGGTGTGTCAAATTCTCAATTTGGAATCTTTGGAAAGTTGGAGAATGCAGGAGAATGCTGGACAGGTCTTCATCTTGACGAAGTGTGATATGGTGATCCCCAAGAGTTTGGCGAAAGTGGCCACCATCGTCTTGGAGGACATCAAGAGCATCCCCAAATCCAGTGACTTGGACGATTTGAATTGGCATCGTTGCCATCAAAGGTTGTTTGAAGCTTTAACTTCTCAAAACCATTTAGCTGGGTGTTGTAAACTACATGTTTTCTTTATGGAAGTTTTCAGTTTGTTGACTCTGAAAGGATTACAACTTGCTGATTGCGAAAGATAACTACCATTTCAGTGTATTGAAACCATCTTAAAGTTCTTAAACCCTCATTTTCATGGTCAAAGAACAACTGATGAGGGTAAAACCGGTAAAACCTCCATTGTTCTTGTCGAGGTCAACGACTGATCATGGCCTCTGCTCGAATGGGTCATTGGCTCAGCCTTGGTTGCAGGAGATTTCAGCGGAGAGTCATCCAAACCAATGGTGAAAAGGGGCAGCCCAATTCTTGGAAGCACCTAAATTGCCATGTTTCTTGAAACTTGAAGTTCAATAGATGCTTCAGCACCTGAACTGTGGCCCTTTGCATAGTACGTAGGTTTTACATAGTATATTTCAGAATGTTGCAGGTGTAGCTGGCCCAACGGCGAAGTATAGACAAAACTTCACAACAGTTGTAGCTTGATTGGCAGCCTTTTGTAAGTATAGTTTATAATAATTACATATGTAATCCATTTAACATAGAGATTCAACTATAGATAGAATGTACTCATTGGTCAATGCTTATCAGTATGAACAACCCATCCATCCGAAAACCCGCCAGGTCAAGGTATGCACGATCTGCGCTGCCACCTTTGTTCAAGGGTCAGCGCGTCAGCGGTGGAGATTTTGGGATTTGACAAAAAAAAGGGAACAACAGTGTAACAGGTGGCTGCTTCAATGTATTTTGATGTATTTTGCCATTTTAGTGGGAAACAGATGGAAACGTGATGTAAGATGAAAATCCATTTTTTTCCTCACTATACCCATTATGATACCTATATTTGATGGGTAAATCGAATGAACTTCGACCTGGAACTGCTTGACCAACATCATAGCCCAGGCAGTAAGCATGATTCGGGAAGTGAAGAAACGACAAGAGAAGTTGGAGAACGCTGCTTGATGCGAGAAAATCAGAGCTGGCATCTTGATATGAATCGAGTGATGATTTTTTTTGGACACATTGGAGGAAACTATGGTAACTTTGCCTTGAATCCTTGAGGGGGCAAGACCCGGACTTCCCTTCCGGGCAGATTTGGTGGACATGGATCTTTTTTTTCACATTTTTTCACTTTTTTCACATCCATGAGATGACAATGGAGTGTTTATGGACAAACAGATACATATGACTCATATGACTGCCAAACATTACCGATGTGAAAACATGCTTGGGTACATCCCCATTTGTTGTTTGGAATGTGCTCAGGATTCTTGTTTCAGGCTTTCAATTATATCACTTTTTGCTTCCCCTGGGGGATGGGTTGAATCCATCAAATCCGACTGTGTTGAAACCGCACATGGGTCAAAGTTTACTTCCCAGCTGGGTAGATTTTCTATCCCACTGGGGTCAAGTGACCAAGTTGTTTGAGCCCCAAAGCTTGACCCAGTGCGACATGATGACAGATGTGTCATATGTGTGGCTCAAGCAGCTGTTGTTGCGAAGCCGGCACGAAGCGGTGTTTCAAGCGAAACCGGTCTCAAAGGACCAGATTCACACCATTATGAACCAACCTAGATTGTAGATAGCACAAACTTCACGACCTGTTTGGACTTTGCACATTTTATACATGTTCCATCTTTCGCATTGGTTTTGGACGATACGATATATACTAATATGGAATTTGACATTTTTTTCCACATCCAAGATTGTCGGCCTAAGTGATCCAAAAAGTCGTCCTAAGTGAACCTTGGACCCCTTGGCTTCGATGCTCCTTAATGATTCTAGGCGATTATTGATTGACCGGTTTGACATGTTTTGCCTGAAAAATGATGAAGATTAGCCGGCCCCAGCTGGAATTTTGTCGGGTCCAACAAATCCCAACTGATGTATATCAACATAAAAAGGGGCCCCGAGAAGATAGAAAACGCAACCCCTATTATTTTGTTGGTGATTTATTACTTATTTGGGCACCCCATAAACCAAAAATCAAAATAGATCAGAAAGCTCTAATGACTCTAATAAGTACAATGCCCTGCTTTTGTGAGATGAATATGATTTTACCAGCTATTTTGATGCTCAAATACCAGGACTTTGACCTGTGCCGCCATCTGACAGGAAGCTCCCTGCGGCGCCGCAACAGCTCTGCAACTTGACGAGCCAAGGTCCATGGCCCTGCATGCTGTTTTTTTCTGAACATGGTCGTGGAATTTGAATTCGGTGAGTGACGCTAATCCAACAGTGGAAAGTGTATCTCAGTCAGAAAGTCATTAGAAAGTTGGTAAAATGGCATGATGTTTGATCCAGGTCGTAGAGTATCATAACCCCCACGAAAACCTTTCAACAAACAGCCACTGAACAATAGAGAGATGCATCAATGCGCCACTTCCGAGGCAATCTGATTTGTGCCTTTGCCACCATATCTTCCATTTATCGATGGCAAGGTTTTTCAACAGCATATCGACTTCGACCGAGAGTTGTTTTTGAATCCATGTTGACGAAAGGTTCGGAAAGGCCCTAATGCCGGTTTGTGCTTGGCATAACCTCGCGCGTTCCACGGGAGCTCACCGAGACCGCTGTCGGGATGCCTAAGATGGGAGTGCAATTTGCTGTTCCTTTTCAATGCGTGGGATATCGTTCATGTTCGTTGATTCGTTAATGCGATCTTACTTGGCATTAAAACACCTTAGAAGATGTGACTTTGGAGCTGTGCCGCTCATGACATGGCCACCCGGAAGCCATTATTATTATCATTTCCTCTTCACGGCAATCGCTCTTTCGATCTCTCCCCTTGACTGGTCGCGTTTCATGGCGGCCTTTGCGATTTTGTGGTCGCTCGTGGTGTCCCAGGACCTTGATGATCCAAAAAAAACGCTGGGCGTGGATAAAGTGGGTACTGAGGAATATGAATGTTTGATAATGTTTGACTCTCGTAGAATTGCTAGGTCCATGGCTGAAAAATGGTTGATGAAGTTGATGAATGTTTTTGCATAGGCGGCCACAATGGAACCCCCAGCATTGACAATGCAAATTCGAGTCCTGAAAACACCAAGCGCTTCTTTTTGTGTTTTGAGGATTCAAAAGACACAACACCAATCTTTTGTCTTTTTCTTTCATAGGTTTGGGTTTTGCCATGTCATGGGCCCTTGTGATTTCTTGTCTCCATGTCATTACAAGGAGGCCTGCGCGGCAGAGCAGTGTGGTTTCAAGGGTGGGTCCAACACCGTGTCTAAAGATGTGGCCTCCATGGTCCAACTCAATGTTGGCCAGTCCTCCAGCATCAACACGATGGCCCTAAAGAATGGCGCCTATTACGTGGCAGCAACACGTCGCTTGATGGACCAATGGAAGTGAAGCCGGTCGAATCATCGCATGTTTGGACAGAGAACTGCAATCAACAATTCGACGATACGCATCATTTCAAGAAACGCCCTCGTTGCATGCCAAAGGTAGCCTAGGCTACCTGAATTCCATGTACTTTAGTATATTATATATAAAATGCATATGGGTCGGAAACAAATTCTTCGCGGCTTTTCAGTCTTCTCACGCCCAATTTTCTTGATCTGTGTCTGTGTTGGAAACGTCAAAAGGTTTGTGTGATTTGTTGGGCTTGTTGTGTGATTGGCTGCGGCGAAGAGTTGGTTTGGATCGTGTATGTGTTGGAGTCCGGGGGGCGGTTTGTTGGTGAGATGGGCTTGTATCCAGTGAAACTTGCAAGTTTGCCTTTTCTTTTTTTGTACAACATTGGTTTCTCATGCTGCATGTCGAGTCGGATGGACAGATCGTTGAATGTGTTCTTTGTTTGTTCTTTGTTTGTTCTCTGTTTTAGATGGAGTCTCTCAGTCTCTTGAGATCGGCTCAGATCAGTTTAGGTTCTCTTGAACTTCCTCAGTGAGCGACGTTTGTGTCGTGTGTGACCAGGGATTCCCGACTGAGGCATAAGCTGCGATCAGCACTGCAATGACAACAACCTGGGCACCTGTAATGCGGAAATGACCAACAGTGCCACACAAAACGACCTGCAAGACCTGGCTCCTGGGTGCACCTTTGGCACGGGTACGGCATCTTATGCTCCTATGCTCTACTGGGCGGCCGGGAAACGCTGGTGCGTCACAAACATCGCAAATTCAACTGAGTGCGGTCAAACAGTAGAAAATTATCCAGCCCAACGAGTCTGCTACTGCGAGGCTGGTGGTGTTGCTGGTGATCCCCATATCCAGAGTTTGCAGGGAGCCCATTACACCTTGCTGCAGCAAGGCTTTTTCGTCGCCTGGAACTTCTCCAAGGCTGTGCCAGCATCAACTGTGCCAAGTGCAGCTCCAGCTCGTGGGTGGCAGCTCCTTGCGGCCTATGCAGGCCATGGCTTCACCACGCAAGGCCTGCTGCTTTTGGATCCCCACTCCGGGCAGTCCATGGAAATCACAGCAGAAGACTGCTCTTGGCGCGTCAAGGAGAAGCAAACCCCATGGCGCAAGGCGCAGGTGGAGTTGCTATCGGCAGAAGACGGGACGACCAGCCTCCAAGTGAAGAAGCTACACGAGAAACTGGGTGAAACCAAGATCTTGAGGTCTGCAATCCTGTTGCAGATGGGGTCAGGGTCCGACATGAAGAACATCTCAACCCTTGTGGTCCATTGCAGGCCAAAGCATCACCTCGACTTCAAGGTAAGCATGTTCCAGAAGAGCGACATCGACCATGTGGGTGGTGAACTTGGAGTGGCTCCAGACGTAGACCACAACTACCACTTCTTGGTCAGCAAACAGGGCATCATGCGAATGAGAGCAGACCAAGAGTTTCAGGCTGGGATGACTCAGAGACATTTTGGAAACGACGGAGACACATGTCCAGACTATCGATTCCCAAAGAGACTAGTGACTACTACCATTGTTTGGCTGACAGCAGTTGTGGAAGGTACTATACTTTGAATGCATCAATACCACTGTCTTCAGCGCTACTAAGGGGCTTTTGGTACATGGGATACTCTAACAGGATTCCTGACACTTGAAGTATAGTATCCAAGATTTTCCCGAACACTTTTCCCTTCTCAGCTGTTCGTCAGAGCAGTCAAATCTATAGATATGTATAGTATCATGTATATGATTACATATGTATATATGTAAGAAGTGATGCTGGGTGTACTTGAACCCAGTTTCCATACCATTCCATACCATTCCATACCATTCCATACCATTCCATACCATTCCATACCATTCCATACCATTCCATACCATGCCATGAATTTTCAGAAGCCTTGTTTTGAGGCACCTGGATCGTGGGTGACCTTGGGTGGCAGCCCAGCTGGGGCCGCATACTTGGAGAAGCAACACCAAACAGGGATAAGTATGGTGCAGTCGCAGGGTTGCAGTGATGCTCAGGAGGACGATGCCAGAGCCATTTGTTCGAAGCACCTCCAGCAAACGACTCACCCGGAGACGTTTGCTGATTGTGTGTACGACTTATGCCATGGAGGTGATGAATCTTTCGCCCAAAGTGCGGCAGCATTCCTTTCGGAATCCAGCGCCTGATAAACTTTAGGCACGAAAGCAAGCCGCCGCAAATGGCTGGAGTGCTGGGATGCTGAACGCAAACGCGTGTACGTCCCAAAGAAGAAGTGAAAAAGACTACATTTGCCTGGCCGCATACTAAACGGGATGTTTTTGAATTAAACACAAAGATTTTTTGAAACGATGAACATCAGTAAACGCATTGTAAACAGGGGGTTGATGTGACCCTGATGTGACCCGGTCGCATCGGCTCGTGCCTTGCGGGAATACATGTTTCCAGTCACCTGATGTGACTAAAGTTGATGAGAGTACCCAGGACAAACAGTCTGTGCTGATGCAAAAACGCGTTGGTTTTTTTCCTGCTGCTGAACTTTTGCAATCTGCATTCCAAGCTTCACTGCCCGGCTCTTGAAAAATTGTCTGGGTGCTGTTTTTTAATAAGGGTTTAATAAGGCATCTAATCATTTGGGAAACCTTGCATTTTAAAGCCTTAGCACAACTATGGCTTTCTAAAGTGAAAGGACCAGCTTTACCCAAAGAAAGGTGGAGAAAGGGTTTTGCTTTTTTTTCACTCCCAAAAGTTGGTGCTTACAATAGAGTACCATCCAAGCAATTATATTATTGAGTAACTGAGCCACTCATGAGGTACCCCCTTGAAAAATTGTCTGGATGCTGTTTTTTAATAAGGGTTTGATAAGGCATCTAATTATTTGGAAAACCTTGCATTTTAAAGCTTTAACACAAATATGTCTTTCTAAAGTGAAAGGGCCAGCTTTACCCAAAGAAAGGTGGAGAAAGGGTTTTGTTTTTATTTTTCACTCCCAAAAGTTGGTGCTCACAATAGAGTACCATCCAAACAATTATATTATTGAGTAACTGAGCCACTCATGAGGTATCCCCTTGAAAAATTGTCTGGGTACTGTTTTTTAATAAGGGTTTAATAAGGCATCTAATTATTTGGAAAAACCTTGCATTTTAAAAGCTTTAACACAAATATGGCTTTCTAAAGTGAAAGGACCAGCTTTACCCAAAGAAAGGTGGAGAAAGGGTTTTGCTTTTTTTTCACTCCCAAAAGTTGGTGCTCACAATAGAGTACCATCCAAACAATTATATTATTGAGTAACTGAGCCACTCATGAGGTATCCCCTTGAAAAATTGTCTGGGTGCTGTTTTTTAATAAGGGTTTAATAAGGCATCTAATTATTTGGAAAACCTTGCATTTTAAAGCTTTAACACAAATATGGCTTTCTACAGTAAAGGGGCCAGCTTTACCCAAAGAAAGGTGGAGAAAGGGTTTTGCTTTTTTTTTCACTCCCAAAAGTTGGTGCTCACAATAGAGTACCATCCAGACAATTATATTATTGAGTAACTGAGCCACTCATGAGGTACCCCCTTGAAAAATTGTCTGGATGCTGTTTTTTTTTAAATAAGGGTTTGATAAGGCATTTAAAATAAAATTAAAAATAAACATAAATAGATTTTTTTTTTAAAAAAATAAAGTTAATTAAAGCATTTGGAAAAAAATATAAATTGAAAAAACAAATCTGGAAGAAAAATCTCACAATAGAGGCCCCCCCCCAACAATTAGCATGTGACTGAATTAGGAGCAAGAAATTTCTCACAATAGGGTACCATCTCTTTAATCGGGTGCAAACAGCAATTAATTATGGAATGGCAGGCAGACTTGAAACATGTAAAAGAATCGAAACGGGAACTTTGACATTTGACAAAAACACATACAGTACGAAGGCTTAATGAACATAAAGATATATGGGGAAAACAGCGCCAGCGCGTACTTTAGTTTTGACGAAAAGAACTAATTTCAGTAGTTCAAGAAAAACATTTCATTTTCTCGGATGTTTGGACATGATGTTCATTTGTTTTGAGCAGCATTTGCCATTTCTGTCATGTCTTGCACGATTGCTTTTCACCTAGACGGATTCCCATATGTAAAATGAAAGCGGCACATTTAATTTCGTTGCATGTAGGGGGTGCCATCGCTGATGTTTTTGTTTCTTGATTTTTATATTTATGGGTTAACGCCCTCGTACTTAAAGATGAAAGGGTTCCAGAATTTTTAACATACCGCAGCATTGGCTCATCGTCTAATGGGTGATGGGTGAGCCGACGCCCCTCGAGGCGCGGCTTGCCTGTAACTGTCAGGCGTGCTTGGCTTGGAGGAGGTGGTTCCTTACTTGGGGGCTGCCACTCTGGTGAGAGTCAACTTCGCGCAGTTGGTGTGCTGCGCCACGCGGTGTGCGAGCTCTCAGATTTGATTGAGCTGCGCCCCTCCGGCTTAGAGGTCCCCTTGGCAGAGGGCGCCTCAGAGCCACCGGTCACTCCAGAGGAGCAGGATAGGACCGGTCTTAGGAGTAGGTCTTCAGGTGAGAGACCATCAAAGGAGAGGCAGCCTGACCCGTCACCAGACAAGAGAGATAAAGGAACCAAAGCCAAGTCTACAGAGAGAACCCAAGAGGGCACAAGTGCAGAAACCCTGAGCGTAGGAGATCAGCAGAAGTGGCTGAGAAAGACAAGAAGAGTAAGAGGAAGAGGAGTCCAAAAAGAGGAGACAGTGGGGCCAATAACAGCCGTTCAAGGAGGAGGAAGAGGAGTCACTCTCAGCGCAAAGACCAGCCAGCGAGCCCACCTGCTTCCCCTCGGGGGGGGTACAGGAGAAGATCCGGCCAAGGAGACTAAGGAGGAGCCCCTTTCAGCAGGGGAGGGACCTGCAACCCCCCCCGGCCAGTGGACTGTGAGAGAAGCCGCTGCACCAGTGTCACGGCCTACGGATCGTCACCGAAGGCCCCCAGAACCCCCTGGACCGCCTCCGGGTTGGGTTGGAAGCCGGAAAGAGGAAAAGAAGTCCAAAGGTCAGGTTAGAAGAGAGCGTTCCAGAGACATCAACCTGTTTGGGTTTAGTCAGGAGCGTAAGCAGTGGAGAGAGAATAGAAGGTACGCATGAGACAGGTTGCAACACCAGCGGCAGCAAGAGGAGTTCTACTTCGCCCCTTTGCTGCATTGAAAATAGGAGGGAGTCGTAGTGTGCGGCGCAGACCAGGAGGAGAGGCTGAAGAAGGGTTGCAACAACAGGCAGTGCCTGAGGAGGTATCGGCCAAACAGGTCAAAGAAAGGTGCTGGTGCAGAGGAGTGTTAGGGGGAGTGAGGCTGGCTCCCGGTGCTGTCGAGAGTGGCGATTGGATAGGGGCCATCAAGGGAGGCTCCTATCCACAAAGAGCGGCATTTGGCATCAAAGCGAAGCAGGGTGAGATTGAAGGAGTAGAACAGAGAATTGTTGGCACACCTATCCAGGCGGAAGAGAAAAGAAGGCGAGAGAAGCAAGAGCAGGAGGTCTGTATCGACTTCACCCAGGGCCAAGAAACAGAAGAGGAGAAAGATGTAAAAGAAAGTGAAGCTAAAGGAAGTGGGGGACCAAAGGGCTCCCGGAAAGGAGAGGCTTGGAAGACAGGCAGCTCGAAGAAAGGCTTGTATTTGACTACAGAGGTGGAGCCTGGTGGGAAGAGCCGCAACAAGCTTTTCAAGAGAGACAAGAGGATTTTTAGAGCTATCAGGGACAGCGGTGCTTCTTCAACGTCTTCATCGTCAGCAACGACAAGAGGCATGGAAAGAGACAATTTGGTGGAGGATAGGAGCCAGCTGCATCGCACTACCGGTCGAGCTCCGGGCGGGCTCTCAGAGGCAGTAGACAATTGTCAGTGGAAGAAAGAGGTCAGACAGAGGTTGAGGATAGAATATAAGACCCCCAGAGGGGTCAGAGAAGAGGAGAGGAGGTCAGGTTTCCCGGCAGAAGAGAAGGTAAGAGACCAGCCAGACCCTGAGGAGTTTGAACAAGAAAAGAATAGCGATGCAGCTGTCCCAGGATTTAGGGCAAAGGAGAGGAGACCACTGCGGAAGAAAACAAGAGAGCGGCAGATTCAGAAGGCATAGGTAGGACTCAAAAGAAAAGAATTGGAGGATCTTGAAGAGACGAGGCTGAGCAAATGAGAAAACGAAGGGAAGGCGAAGTGATGGTGAGCGGGGGGGAGTAACAGCGCTCCCGATTGTAGATGTTTTTTCTTTTCACCTGTAGTAGCTGCCACTACTGCAGGGTGCAGTGGATGTACAGAAGGCAGTAATCTGTCAATTTCGAGGTGCGAGGTATCACAGGACCTAGGCATGGGCCAGGACCGAACTCGTGAAAAGATGATGGGGAAATCAACGGAGGGAGTGTCGCTAGGGGAAACTTCAACTCGGCCGGATAGCAGGATGGACGAGTTTTTAGCACGGCACTGCAAGGCCTTGTCCACGGGCAGGCTATTTCTTCTGCCCTCGTCCTCCTACATCCTGTCTCAGTTTTTTCCCCAGGTGACCCCGGAGGTGAGTGGTGTTTTGCGTTGTGTTGTTTTGTCTCTTTGTTCCCTGAATGGGAAGGGATTGCTGGTCCTGTCCGGGCTTTGCATACCAGCATACAATGTTGAAGGGTTTGTTAGTGGACTGCTCTAGGGTTTCTAGTTGGGTGGCTGAGTCGCCTGTTTTGTCGTGGAAGGACTTTTTTTTTCGGGTTAAAAGTCCAAGTACTCCGCCTCTATATACTCAGGGTACCTGCAAGTTGGCACCCGTTTCCTTGCCTTCAACCGGGCTCTGCCAGCAAAGCTATGCGGAGCCAAGTTGAGTATCCCTGTAGTGCCGTTTAACCCATAGGTTTCAAAAAATCGGCTTCTTTGGCCCAGGCGGTGCACTGATACATAGTCAACCAAGCTTTGCGTAGGACGCCAAGCTCCGGAAGAGGGGCGGAGCTGAGAAAGGATAGACCTTTTTCAGTGTCAAATCCAGTTCACCGGATTTATCTCGACAATTAGGGCAAATGTAAAAAGCACCCAAAGACATGGCATCCCTCCTTCGCGGAAAGATTCCGCCTTTGGCCCAAAGCCTGCAAGAACCCTCATGTAGCCATGGGTGTTCCACGCCACCGGAATGGCAAGACAGTTGCAAGCTGAAGTGCAGGGAGCTATGGTGGAGGGTGAGCTAGGGATAGCCTTTCCCAAAGTGGAGAAAATTATGAAATATGTACAGCTGGCTAAACTCCTGTTGGAAGAAAGAAGGAGCAGCCGAAACCAAGTGCAAGTGGTAGAGGGAGGTGTTGGAAGTAGTGATGGCAAGTGACGCTTCGGAACAAGGGCGTTATAGCTAAGTTATAGCTAGTATAGCTGTACAGTGCGTGGAGATGTGGTGGAACCCGGAGCTATTCCCGGTGTGCTAACCATCGGGTTTTTTGATGCAATAGGAGCGTTGCGAGCCGCGGCGG